AACAACAGTGGGAATGCTACATATGACATACATGTGCCACATAGACCACAGAGAAAAGTGTTGTGATGTTACAACATGACGTAGTTTTGTGCACCGGGGCTTTATGTTTTTTTTATCTAAGCATCCTTGATTTCAATTCACTTGCTATACTGCTTGGTTGTTTTACGCAGTTAATTAGTATTCTTGGAAAAAATTTGTTAATATAGAGCTTGAAAACCACTTTAACAATCGCTACAACAAATTACATTTATGAAAATCTATTTTGTAACATACCGACTGTCTTCTTATTTCTCTGTAGCTTGGGAAATCAGCTGATTCATCTAGATGTTCGCTGGAAAATTCAGAAAATATTTATACATTTCCTAAATATCATTATTTTTCAAATTTGGCTTATTTTAATTTGTTTTTCTTACCTGGATAGAAATTGAGCTTCTGCATCATAAATTCGACGTGAAAAACATCTTTGACAATTTGCAAGGAAAAAAAGTATAAATATACCGCTGACTTGATGTGCCTGGAAGTAAGTAAAAATTGTATTTTTAAATTTTCGTCCGTGAATTATCCACCATTAACAATAGTGGAACAGTGCATATATTCAAATAACCTAGAATAGATGAATAAATCTTAAAAATTTACTTCACCTTCATTTTTGTATAGTGCGTATCGACGTTGAGAAATTTCTTTAAATTGACTACTACTTCTTCTTGATAGTGTGATGTTTGAATTCAGACACATGTTTGCATTCAATTTATACCTTCGGGAAACAATTTTCGTCAAATTAAGAAAATGGAAATTTTATATACAGTGTGTGATATCGCTGAGTGTTCGGAATTTATTTACATATATTTAGAAACTCGTTTATGTAAGACTGATGACAGGTTAATTTATATAATCAATGGTTTCGTACAATGAAACAATGAATTAGTACTGTCAACACAGTAGAAAGAGACATACACTCGTATACATATATAAAAATAACAAGAAACAAGATTGTTACTATTTTGGTCTGAAATCTTATGTATTTGTGTATCATGTTTTTCTTGGTTTTGGATTCTGGTTAATAAGAGCTCGCAAGACGTACGTGTTTGAAAACAATTCCGTAGTTTCATATATATCCGAGTGGGAAACTGTTGTTTATATTATTCAATTTATCTGGCAAAAATGAATACGTAACTCGTAGTTGGCTTTACCAATTAAATTGTATCGTAAATATAAGACCCGCCTCGTTTATAAAATATAAGTACGTCTTCGTTTGCCAAGCTTAGAAATCGTCCTTAAAAATGATTGATATCGATTTGATCGTCGTGCTATCACTGGTAGCGTAATATCGATGAGCATTGTTTGTTTTTACAACAACCCTGCGTTTACCAGTGCTATTTATGATCGTTAATAAAAGCACGAATGCAATGCATTTATTGGATCTCCGCTCTATAGGAGACCCTTATTATCAGTCGTTCTGTCTGTCTGTCTGTCTGTCTGTGTATCTGTCTGTCTGTTTAGATGTAGCGTCTTAATGGCTGGACCAATCTGGATGAAATTTTTCACATGGGTTATCCTGTCACCCCAGTAATGTGCGTTTTATAGAAAGTCCGGATAAATGTTTCGTTTCCATGGTAACAACGAAAAACGCTCCGATCGTTATGAAATTTCTATTTTTTTCACAGTTTATCGCCGTTTTCTCGCCAACCAAGTCGAAAATTAAAATTCCAGGAGCGCTTCCTTCCGCATGGCAAAGTACTCTTTCCAATAAGTCGTCTTTGGTCTCGATACTTCATAAACTGGAGAAGCCTTAGGGATTTCAATGAACTTAATTTCCCCATTTAGTCACAGTATATCAGTCACGTGAGTATGTCAACGGAACGCGCAGCGTTTGAAATGAACTCAGCGGAACTGGTGAGCCGGTGCAGGTGTTCTTGATATACGGAATTATTATTTGCTTGAGATTTGATGTACTTCTCGCTGTTAGTGGGTGGTTCACCTAAACGCTGGCTACAAAAGCCAACCGATTTAATTGCTGTTCTCTATGCATGTCGCATCATCGACATCCGATTCGGAGCAGAGCTCAAACTCCGAATAACACCCTGGCTTTTCATCGATTCCACATGTACCTGCTTTCCGTGACGAGTCTTGCAACTCAGTCATTATGTCCTGGCTACCCTGAGTTTCAGAAAACTCTGATTGTGATGAAAAAGCTTCATCCATTTCACCCTTTTTAGTGAGACTTTTGAGGCCTGTTATAGTTCTGTCCATTACTGTTATTTTAGCGTTCCGTGCTTTTATTACACGCTCCTGTCGTTTGTAACTGCTTTCCATTCTTTCAATCAAAGCTGCAATACGAGCTGCAGACGCTGATACTTGTTGTGTTGCTAAAATAGCGTACTGGCTGTCGTACCCTTTTTCACGAAGGTGGTCGGCAAGTGCTTCTACGGAATCTTTTATGAATTCTGCATCACGTTTACAATCTTTGAAATACGCCGTCATTGCCCCGCAACAAATAATCGTCAGCTAGTGCAAAACCTACTCGCCTCTCGCCTATTTCTTGCGAGGAAATTTTCATGAATTCACTTCCAAGCGCACAAATTAAAGAGATCTAAATCTGAACGAAGTTAGGCCGACCACTAAAGTGCTACAGAGACAAAAATGAATTGAATCCTCGCGATATACTGTATGCCGCGGGCCTGGGTGTCAGCGGAGATCCTGGACGCCTACCGGCTTGTGTCAATTATATGTTTCTCTGTTTACCAATGACTGCTCTGATAATAGTCATCAACAAGGATGCGTGAGAAGATCTTGAAAGTAGTTTCTATAACGAAATAAGTAATATTTATGTTTCTTCGACCAAGAAAAAAAGTCTTGGATTATTTTTCATGACGCAAGTAACCACGACGTTTATTTTCGTAGCCCCGCCTCAAATTTTTTTCAAATTTTTAAGAAAAAAAATTATTCTTGTTTTTTCACGATACTAATATATATTTTTTCATTATTTTTACGATTTCGATTCAGCAAATAGTACAGCTGTTATAAAAGGATACTTATCTTAAAATTCCATGTCTCCCAAATGGCTTCCAGATAGACTCGTGAATTTTTATACCGAGCTAGTAATTTAAAAAATGGTAAGCGCTCACATACATATAGGTTTGCAAAGGCTGGCAACCCGCCATCCATAAATAGAGATGTCGGGCCCGTAATACCAGATGCTCCTAGCAAACTAATGGAAACAAGTGCCAGTAACCAGGGCCTGTACCACCATAGCAAAGTTTTTTAATAAATGAATAAGCTTCTGCTTAAAGATCTTGCTTAGTGCATGTTGAGGCACTCACGTGGAACTCATTTCGGCTTGTGGTAGTGGTTTTAGAGCATATTTTGCGATTCTGCAGCTAACCTATACAGGGATTTATCTACTAACGGAATTGTCGTAATACTCATAAAATGATCCTATTTCTTCAAGCGATTTAGATGTTTTATGAAGTTTAAGTTGCTTATTAGGGTCAGAGTACGTGAACCTGACGGAAACGCGGTTATTCCATTTTAAATCGCGATGCCTCGGTTCCATGTGTCGGCAGACCTCTGGTCTGAAGTTTTTTGGGTTCCTTCAATTGTATATCGTCATCATGATGATTATCGCCATCTTGTCGACGTCATCCTCACTGTGTTTATTTTCTTGCATCCGGCGTGTTGCGTTTTTCTCTTTCACGTGTCATCGTTTTACGTATTCATTTTATTATCGTCCCTCAGGCTCAGCAAGATGTTCATGATTGCATTTCTGGTGTTAGCAGTTTAGGATTTTAATTCTTGTTATGACAGTTTAAGATTACATCGCTTTTATAACATTGTGGTTTGAATTCATTTAGTAGTCTCCGTTTATAGCGTCTTTTCATACTGTATTTCAAATCGTTCGATATAACATTATATTTGCATGTCTGCAGCTCGTATTGTATTGTATTTATAGTGTTTTATCTTGGTTGTATATCTGTCGTTTTGGGACTATGCTGTTACATGGAGTTGTTTTGTGTAAGTAGTAGTTTTATATTCTTTAATTCTGTATCAATTGTCTTTGGTTTATTTGGTGCTAATTACTTCCTTTTGTATTTTAGTCAACCGTTTTGAATATTTTCAATAAAATGAGTCTGGCAGAGCGACTTATCATTTATGGGTCCCAAAAGTGACACCATGTTCTGCTAAAACACGAGTAAAAACAAATATGATCGCAATCACTACTAATCGGAGTTTATTAAGTATTTACATTTCACATAATTTTATTACATTCCATTCATACTGATGAAAGATTGCTAATACGATACAAAATATTCTTTTCTATATTATTTGACAAACATAAACGTCTTGTTTCTTTTGTGAGCTGTAAACTGTTTTGTAAACTGTTGTAATATTCATAAGAACCATTATATAATCGAATTCAATTTTATTTTGAAATATCGCAAAAAGCCAAACAATGGGTACATTTTGACACTTTCTAATTGTTTCCTTTATATTAATTAATCGTTATAAAACATATTTTGTTGATTCGACTTAGTAAGACCAGTATAAGACAGAATATTGCGACATTTTCAAAAACTCTGAGATTAACATACTTTAACACACTTACATTATATATTATAACACTTGTTTGGTAAAATAGTCAATAAGTAGCTTAAATACACACTAAATCAGTGGCTTTCAACCGGGGTTCAGCGAGCCTAAGGCTGAAAACCACTGAACTAAATGATAATACTATTCGCAATAAAGTAGAACAAAAATCACATGATTTTTATATGAAAAACAAACATATAAATAACTTTGTCTGAATAAATTCAGTGTAGACTTTTTCTTGAAATTGATTCTTTTTTGTGGAATATATAAAATGTTTACACGCTTCATAAAAATCAACCGCCACACGAGACAAACTTTACTTTGTTGGGCAGTAGTACATAAAACATTTCTGAAAGTATTTGAAGCATTTAATGAAGTTCTCAAAACATTTTTAAACATATTTTAAAAGCAAACGACAGATTAAACTCCATGTCCCAGGTTACATTCGATGTCCAGCAAAGGGTCTGTTTACACAGGTGCATCCGACGGCTACTTTGATATAACGAGGTCGAAATCCATCCTCTGCTCTTCTTACTTCCTTTTTTACGTAGACTTTCTCACTGTAATGTTCTCGCAGGATTTTAGGCTCGGAACCAGACATGTCAACGCAGTGGGTGCATGCACAACACACTACTGGAAAAGCCTGGGGTGAGCGTAAAGGATCAATGTCAATTCTGTAAACAAGTCAAAACATGATGCTTTTAAATGTGTAAACAATGTTAATAAAGTGAAAAGTTGGAGGTTTAAATATTTTTTCATAATTGTCTTTCATTTCAACTACAAAATGAGGTAACATAATGCAAACCCGCGTTGTAATGTTAAAACAACAGTCAATGCAAATTTTATGTCTGTAAAACGACCAATCGAACCTAATCAACTTACTTTGTTGTCCAAGGAGAAATGCTACTTCCTGATAGATTTTCTTGATCATTCGTTCCAGAGTATCCTCTGACGTATGGACAATGTCTTGGCGAGTCAATGATTGATGGACAATCAGCCTATAATTCAAAAGCGGTTTAATTTTGCATAATCAGCAACAGTGGGAATGCTACATATGACATACATGTGCCACATAGACCACAGAGAAAAGTGTTGTGATGTTACAACATGACGTAGTTTTGTGCACCGGGGCTTTATGTTTTTTTTATCTAAGCATCCTTGATTTCAATTCACTTGCTATACTGCTTGGTTGTTTTACGCAGTTAATTAGTATTCTTGGAAAAAATTTGTTAATATAGAGCTTGAAAACCACTTTAACAATCGCTACAACAAATTACATTTATGAAAATCTATTTTGTAACATACCGACTGTCTTCTTATTTCTCTGTAGCTTGGGAAATCCGCTGATTCATCTAGATGTTCGCTGGAAAATTCAGAAAATATTTATACATTTCCTAAATATCATTATTTTTCAAATTTGGCTTATTTTAATTTGTTTTTCTTACCTGGATAGAAATTGAGCTTCTGCATCATAAATTCGACGTGAAAAACATCTTTGACAATTTGCAAGGAAAAAAAGTATAAATATACCGCTGACTTGATGTGCCTGGAAGTAAGTAAAAATTGTATTTTAAATTTTCGTCCGTGAATTATCCACCATTAACAATAGTAGAACAGTGCATATATTCAAATAACCTAGAATAGATGAATAAATCTTAAAAATTTACTTCACCTTCATTTTTGTATAGTGCGTATCGACGTTGAGAAATTTCTTTAAATTGACTACTACTTCTTCTTGATAGTGTGATGTTTGAATTCAGACACATGTTTGCATTCAATTTATACCTTCGGGAAACAATTTTCGTCAAATTAAGAAAATGGAAATTTTATATACAGTGTGTGATATCGCTGAGTGTTCGGAATTTATTTACATATATTTAGAAACTCGTTTATGTAAGACTGATGACAGGTTAATTTATATAATCAATGGTTTCGTACAATGAAACAAAGAATTAGTACTGTCAACACAGTAGAAAGAGACATACACTCGTATACATATATAAAAATAACAAGAAACAAGATTGTTACTATTTTGGTCTGAAATCTTATGTATTTGTGTATCATGTTTTTCTTGGTTTTGGATTCTGGTTAATAAGAGCTCGCAAGACGTACGTGTTTGAAAACAATTCCGTAGTTTCATATATATCCGAGTGGGAAACTGTTGTTTATATTATTCAATTTATCTGGCAAAAATGAATACGTAACTCGTAGTTGGCTTTACCAATTAAATTGTATCGTAAATAAAAGACCCGCCTCGTTTATAAAATATAAGTACGTCTTCGTTTGCCAAGCTTAGAAATCGTCCTTAAAAAATGATTGATATCGATTTGATCGTCGTGCTATCACTGGTAGCGTAATATCGATGAGCATTGTTTGTTTATACAACAACCCTGCGTTTACCAGTGCTATTTTTATTCGTTAATAAAAGCACGAATGCAATGCATTTATGTCAATTATATGTTTCTCTGTTTACCAATGACTGCTCTGATAATAGTCACATCAACAAGGATGCGTGAGAAGATCTTGAAAGTAGTTTCTATAACGAAATAAGTAATATGTATGTTTCTTCGACCAAGAAAAAAAGTCTTGGATTATTTTTCATGACGCAAGTAACCACGACGTTTATTTTCGTAGCCCCGCCTCAAATTTTTTTCAAATTTTTAAGAAAAAAAATTATTCTTGTTTTTTCACGATACTAATATATATTTTTTTCATTATTTTTACGATTTTTATTCAGCAAATAGTACAGCTGTTATAAAAGGATACCTATCTCAATATTCCATGTCTCCCAAATGGCTTCCAGATAGACTCGTGAATTTTTATACCGAGCTAGTAATTTAAAAAATGGTAAGCGCTCACATACATATAGGTTTGCAAAGGCTGGCAACCCGCCATCCATAAATAGAGATGTCGGGCCCGTAATATCAGATGCTCCTAGCAAACTAATGGAAACAAGTGCCAGTAACCAGGGCCTGTACCACCATAGCAAAGTTTTTTAATAAATGAATAAGCTTCTGCTTAAAGATCTTGCTTAGTGCATGTTGAGGCACTCACGTGGAACTCATTTCGGCTTGTGGTAGTGGTTTTAGAACATATTTTGCGATTCTGCAGCTAACCTATACAGGGATTTATCTACTAACGGAATTGTCGTAATACTCATAAAATGATCCTATTTCTTCAAGCGATTTAGATGTTTTATGAAGTTTAAGTTGCTTATTAGGGTCAGAGTACGTGATCATAATGAGCATTGCATTATGCTCCACCTCGCCCAAGATGCAATTGATTGAGTAGGCATGCCGAAACGGCAAGATATTTTTTCATTCAATAGTAGTACTTCACCAAGCAGCGGATGAATGTAATGTTTTGTATGTGGTGAATGTATGATAACGCCTCATGAAAAAAATGGGAGTTGAAAAAAGTAAGGGGTGAATGTGGGAGATATTGTTTCGTCCCATCTCAAAGCAATTTATGCCTGTCCCATTTCAATCCATAAGTTTCCCATTGACAAGCGTTGTGATTTCTGTGGGAATTCCATTCCCATGGATGCCCTTGCCGGTATCCCACTACAAAATGTAAAATAGATACAGATATATGAAGAAATAGGAGAATCATTTGAAAGGTAAAAAAGTATAAAGACTAAGGTCACCTCTGGCGAATTAAGTAGCTATGACTATTGTGGCTATGGCTATTGTCCAATGATAAATACAAATATGTGCTGTCCAATCACATTCAATGGGACTTTTCCCATGGACACGCCTGTCAATTAGCATCATATTTATATATTATATGTATGGTACCCAATAAATATATATACACATGTTATGTATTAATAAAAATAACTGTAAACATGGTTTAAATATTTGAATTTTAATTAAACACCACGTTCACAGTTATTTTTAATGTGTATACTAGTATACATTTTATTGGGACTTTGTATATGTATATATGTATTATTTCACTACGGTTTAATTTTCCATAATCGAGAAACAGTGGGAATAGTACATATGGCATACGGGTGCCACTTAGACCACAAAGACAAGTTGTTTTAATATACTACGCTTTACCGAATAGCAAAACCTAATATATAACCTATATTTCACGCGCGCATAGAACTACAGGTACCTACGTGTGTAGAAGATTGAATGCGCCATTAATCAAGTTTCATTTGCTCGAAAACATCACAAAAATTTGAATACAACTGAATGATCCAAAATCATAAAAACAACAATTGTGGGGCAGTTGGGGCATATCAATTACAAATGCGAAGCAAATACAGCACCGTATCTTATCAAACATATGCGATATAGCATATTTTTATACACAGCATTAATGACGCACGCGAACGACCCAATTTCAAATAGAGATGCGCACAAAATGAAATTGTATATTGATATGACTCTGTGTGAATGTTTCTGATCCAATACATTAAACGAAAGATATACATTATTAGAACACTTAGTTGAAAAGCATTTGTTTTTCACAGCGTGAGAAGATAGATCGCGTGTTATTAAAAACACTATTTATATATTGTTTATATTAATATGCTCAGTAATCAGTGTGTCAGAAGACATTCTTTAAACTGGCTTCTTTGGCAAATTTTTAAAATATTCACAAACAAGGTAAGATTTTCACAATTATACAAATGCTCTTGTTTTCCACAACTCAAGATAAACATTGAAGGCATTTTTTTCAAACACCAGGTGATTCGTTTTTGAAAGTCAGTTTCAATTTATTTTTAGGCAGACAAATAAGTGTGGAGATTGCAGTTTTAGGTGGAACCGATGGTATCACTAATGTTTAATTTACCACTTTAAATGTTTCAAAGCTTTAAAAACATATTATTTATAAGCGCACTTTTAAAATACTGATATAATATATATCATTAATGAAAACAACATCAATATTTCTAATTAAATATGAATCGTCGATTTCAGTTTCGTTCTTCAGTTTCACGTTCGCACAAATTTGTCTGCAGTCCTAAATTTGAAGAAAGTTAGTGATAATATCGTGTTACAATAAATAGAATTAGATTTGAAAATAGTCGAATTAATACATTCTGATTCGAAATTCGATTTGACAATATATTATTCAAAATTTACATCCCTACTCTCAACGAGAATACTTTTATTTATTTGGTTGAAGTGGGTGTGGCTTTTATTACAAGTTTTATTCCCTGGGTCAGTTTAAGAAAAAATGGGGAATACCCCAGAGTAGTGTTGCTCGGACTCAGTCAAGTATAATACAGCGTCTGATATAAAAGCATATATAAGTCGGAACTATGACACTAAACGTGAGCACATAATCTTCGACCTTTACAAAAAATGTATGCATACAAAAGAGCGATACTTGAATGTATGGATACGAAATCGGGCCACCGGTACCGGTACTGTAGGTCCGAAACTACTAAGTTTGCTGGAATGATCTGCGTGTAAGCAATACGGAAGCGGTCGGAGTACACCGATATACAAAGCAATGCTCAAATATATGTATACGAAGTTGTTCACTCACCTAGACTACAATGCATTACCGGTATCGACAAACTTCCGAATTCTGCGTAGCGCGATTTGCAAAATCAAAACCGACAAAAAGGGGTTCACATCAATAAAAATTAGACAGAAAAATTGTGAATGAATATCAAACTGATAAAAAATTTAGAAACAAATAAAAGTAATGGCTTTCTAGCGACAACAATAATCTTTAGCCACTTTCAAAGCACTTGATCCAGCACTTAATCATTGCAAAGCAAATACCTACAAGGAAATTAAGAAGGTAAAAGGTTAGGAACAACAGCAACAACGTAATAATAAAACTACCCATAGCTCCACTTCGTATCCAAAAAGTGTTCCTCTTCAATCAGAAAAAGTTATCTTTAATATATTCAAAATTATGATCGACTGGCCCATTAGTTGCGAACAATGTTTTCGATGTTAAATATCACCTGATTGTCGAGAATAGTAGACGTAGAAATGTAGCCAATTAGTTGTTATGTAACTATAAAACTACGCCAAATTGGCCCAATTCGTGAGAAACTCATGAGAAACAAAATTAAATATTCCCGGAATAGCAATTATCAAATTCTCGAAATCCAATTTCAAATTTTAATAGCCTTTCGGTACCACCCCATGTAAAAATAAATTTCATTTTCAGTAAAATTCTAATTGAGTAAATTCGAAATATGCCGTTTAAAACTAAATTATCCACTTGAGAACAACTTTTAAATTTCATAACTTGAGTAAGTACGTGACCAGGAACACGATGACTTGGCAATAACAAGTTAATTGCTAGTAATGAACTTTAAGAAAACACTTTTAATAATATTTGATTATAGTGAACCGAAAGCTACCCGGAAACCGGAATGACGCGTTATTCTTCTATTATTAATGTAAAAATCTGTTTCTTTATTATATTTTAATTGCTCTGTAAAAAGTTATATATTCAGCAATGTGTTTTGTGTTAATCAGACTAGATTTGATCTAATTGTGTGTGCATAGTATTCTGTATATATTGTCGGAATTGCAATAAACTCATAACGTGTTTTCAAACGTGTCTTTACTACAGCCAAAGGCTATCGACAGATAGACAGTTCGAGTTAACGAACGCAAGACAAAATTATTGTCAGTCAAGGTTGGGGTTATAATCCACAAACCTGACCAATCTACAAACAATCTACGTGTGGTGGTGTGATTCACTACATTTTGGTGATACCGACGTGATTTGAACTCGCAACCACGTGGCAACTAATCACTACAGAAACACTTAAAACATTTTTCATTGAAATTACACATCCTTGTAAGAACAATATCATCGTGGAAGCCTTTTTGAAAAATTCAGTCATTAGAAATAGCATCAACCATCACTTCAGGTCACTTAATGTAATCAACCAATGTAATAGAGATGATGACAACAACCGCAAACCAAACCCCAACGAAAACAATCTATAAGTCCATTTCAAGTCCAATGTTATCCAATCAAACAGCAAAATGAACACAAATTTGCATCATCAAAACGAAAAGAACAACTAAGCCAATGGGTTCATCTTTCCTGGTTGAAAATCTCTGACCTATCCCTTTTGCACGAGGCTTACATATTAGTATATACTACAGGCATACGGAACTGAATTTCGCTCTATTTTATTGATTTATTGGACACGAAATGTACATATGGATCGTTTTGTTATTATGTTGTTGTTCTTGTTGTTGGTATTTTTCTTCTTGTTGTTGAGAGAAAAAATATCGTTTTTGATTACCTATAGGACCAATTGATTTCAAGTGGTTGAGGATTGTAACTTTCGCTAGAAGGCTATTACTTTTATTTATTTCAAAAATTACTTTGGGCTCCATGGGATTCATTTTTTGTATGCGATGAAGTCATCAAAAGATTTGATGCTACTTCATTTTGGTCCTCGTGTCCATATATTTGAGCATAGCTTTCTTGTTTGTTTTTATTATTTTAGAGTCTTGTACAGGAGTGTGAAGAAGTCAGAGCCATGGTTGCGAATGATATATTCTGAATACATGGCGGATATACTTGAATAAATTTCACTATTCTTGGAAATCATGACTGAATCCGAGATCGCCATCCACGTTACCCCGTTTTAGAATTGCTCAATCTACTTTTTCTGACTACGTTTAACGTTGGATGTGTTTTTGATGCTCTATAGTCTATTTGTTATCTGTTTATGTCACGCCTTCAACTATTGTTCTGTTTTTAATCACACAAAATTTTCTGAGGGTTTTACAGACTTGGAAAGCTTATGCAATGGAGAACCCTACCTCTGCAAAATTGGTGAGCATGCCAGATTGAGAAATAAAACAGTATCAAAGATTGGAAGAATAATTTGTTGTTTGAAACATTATTAAATGAGAATCTGGAATAAAGCTATGTGCAAGCATCTCCAATTACTGAATGCTGATTTCGATAGTTTTGTGAACAATTCATACCAGTATAAGGAATTGTTTGTGAAACGGATGGACAGTAGAGGACTTGTGCGAGAACATTGAATCATTCCGGATTCAATTGAAAAAACTTCAGAATAATCAGTGATAACTATTACATACCGGATTCCATCCTAAAGATAATTTTCGAAGAGTCATATATATGCCAACCTCGAGTTCTATTGTGACTTACCTATATAGGGTATGATTATGCTATGACAATATCAAATATCCCATTGGTCTAAAAATGCAGATCAAACATATTTTTCTAGAAGTAATGAAATTTATGATAAAGCCAATAACTGCATGATTTGCTGAATGATTTATCTGAAAACTAAAGTTATATATGGTAAAATATTTTCCCGAAAGGATAAATCATAAATCGGTTGATAATCTAGCGCAGGGGTCGGCAACTTTTTGAACTCAGCGTGCCAGTTTATGAAAAATGAGCACCTTCACGTGCCAAACATTTTTATGTGTATGGTTTGCATAGACAACTACCCGATTTGAATAGTAAGCGGATGAGAAACAAATTCATTTTATTGGATAACGTGCATGGAAACTAGCATACGAGAGTTTTCGGCACACGGCATTTCTACATCATACCTGTCTTTGGACGACTTAATAGGTATTAAGGCCACTCGCGATTATTTTTGTAGCCAAATACTAAAGGAGATAAAATTAATTTTGGTACTCCCGTAGTATGTGCACCATGATGGCGGACACCGGAACGTAGTGTTTGTACCAGGTTAGGGTTAGGCCATAATTTCAGGTACAAATACTACAAGAGTCATTTGGCTAGTTTCGAAAATTGTAATAGAACGGAATGAAGGAAAATTGGAATGAAATTATGCCCTGACCCGATCGTTTTTGTTAGGGCTACATGTAGCTCACGGTGAAATGATGAAAATCAGCCAAGCGCGCAGTCAGGATTTTCGAAAGGGGGTGTTTCAAAACCGAAAATTTCCATTCCCTTATGAAACAGTCGCCGCGATTACGCGCTCGTTCGTTAGAAAGGCCAAGAATCGTCTACCAATATCGTATACCTCTCCAGTAAAATATTCATTTCATGACAGCTATAGGAGAATCTAAAACTTTCTTCTATATTGATTTATCTTTGTGTCAAACGTAACTCGCGGTTACGTCTTCTTGCGTCAAAATATAAACACTATCAGTCTGAAATACCACCTAATCTTTCGGTGTAAAAACATGAGATAAACATGCCTAATTGTATTTAGTTTCGATTGATCGTATAATAACTCTCAGCGAATTTCAATTCTGTGGTATTTGCGACTTTTTCAGTTTTCCAAAAATTTTGAAGGAGGCGGATGATCGACTGCACCGCTTATCTACACCGATTTTAGGTACAGATTTCGGCCTCTCGTCGATTGCAGATAAATATTGCATGTTTTTTCAATGTATTTGTCGATTTGTTATTTTTTGTTCAATTGTAGAATGTTTGTCGTACTACGAAACTAAATATCTTGGCGTGACATGGAGAAATCCTCTCGCGTGCCAGGGGTTGCCGACCCCTGGTCTAGCGTGTTTGATTAATCATCTCAAACTGGATGTTTTTGGAATATGGAAATATGCCTAATCTTTCAGAATTATGTCTGCAATTTTCTTTTAATCAGCAGTGAATAAATTTCTCTCAATGTTTTATGAATATATGTTTAAGCTCATTGCTGTAGGTACAAAACCATATCCGAGTGTTAGTCCTGGTACTGGTGAGTTGCTTTGTTACTGTTTAACGACAATCTCCTTGACTGCCTGCCATGTTCGTTTCATGTCACATCTATTGTTCAATGAACACAAAGTGAACCTATGCGTCGTTGTTCTTGATCTCTTGCAATTTTTAATAAATGAAAGAACAATGTTCAAATATAGTCCGAATGAGACCTTACAGCACCGAGTTGACAAAAAAGACCGGCCAAGCGCGACGAAAAAAATACTGTTTCTCTTCAATAAAAATAAAATAGAAGAATTTGGGGTGAAATAATGTGTCCAATAGAACTCAAAGGAAAATTAAATATTAAATATAAATAATTTAAATATTGAAGTCGATTGATCCATTAGGTGTTGGGGAAGTGATTTTTAATTAACAAGAACATTCTTTACAAGAACAACAAGAGCAGTTTAGAAAAACGATCTTTGTATCAAATAATTTTATTAGCATTACAATTCTTCGATCAGTAGTTCCCAAGCTCTGGTACTCGGACCTCTGGAAGTTATTTTCTTCACCGGACGCGAATTTTTTTTTTTTTTTCTGTCATCGTAAGCGATTGGTTACCGAAAAGACTAAACTACTATGCTAGTTTAGGCGATTTCCCTCTAGTCGATCAATTAGGGGTTTGGAAAGTATGATGGTATAGATTGCCCAACGGTGTTTTGGCTGGCGAATAATCACACTTTTCAGGTTCAGTTGCGTCACGAAAGCGTTTTGTTAAATCTCTTGGATACTAAATAAATCTAGGCATACTTGATTTAGTTGAAATAGACTTCCCATCGCATAAAAAATGAACAGTGTTACGTAAGTATCATCATATTTATACAACAAATTAGAATATTGCTCGTTGAAAAAATTGTACTATCTTTTATATCCTTCGTGTGAAACGTAAGTTCAAATATTTTAAAATTTCGCGCCAATGTTCACCTTCCACGTGAATGTAAAATTGTATATATGAGTCTAATTGACCATTTGTGGTTTGAGCTGTTTTTTGATGTGTCGTGTTTTTTAAGCTGTCCTAGTTTATGCTAAAATATGAATTATGTTGCTCAAACACAAGTTAATACTTTCCGTTTCACTCATTTCAATATTTTGTTACCGTTGCGCGAAGTCATTTTATTTAATGTTAACAGACTGCGAGGGTATGTGAAGGTTGGTAAACGCCGATATGAATAATATATACTTTTATTCATCTCTTGAATCATCAATTTTAAATCGAAGATCTTATTTCAATTTATTTATATATACGGGATGGGTGTGGACGTAAATGCTTAGACAATGTATGATTCCGATATAGAAGGCTGTTTTTCATTACCTTATTCCCAATCTCGTTATATTAGTGGTTTGAAGGTGGTGTAAATTTGGAATTGGGTGTCAGCAGTTGCAGGATGTATCAGTTTACAAGGGTTAATCGAAAAAACAATATTTTTTTTTCGAATCCCGTACTTACGTTATTTAGGTACCATAAATATTTATTTGCATCGCTGTCGCTAAGGTATATTTTTTCATAAAAAAGCACTCGGGCTATTTGTATATGGAAGTGAATGATTATCAAATATTTACAAAATACGTAATGCACGAGAAAGAAATTAAACAAAATTATACGGCCTTTTGCGAATGTAGTCTTTATTTCATGTCTTCATGATCAATCTAAGGACGTAAGTTTCTAATGCATTCTCATAAAATAATTTTTCCAATATTTTAATCGAAATAATTTTGATTGCAAAATGATTGAAGTAAATGATACTTGTAATTCTTAATAATTTGAATATCCTTTGACCGGAACGACGTCTCTCAATGTGGAGGCAGCTGAACCGATATGGAAGAGAAGAATGGAGTATTGGCGTCTAACCTACAATGAGTAAAAGTAATATCAAAATCAAGATTCAGAGATTATTTGTGCCGGACGATACGAGAAAAGACCACGCTGTACTTTGCATACCCTTATTTTGATATACATGGCTATGATAACTCATTATAATATTCTATAAATGAGTTTGAAAATATGTTAAAAATAAATCATAAACGATGCACCTAAATATGACCTCAATTTAATCAAATTCGAAGATATTTCGATTTTGGTCAAGGTTTTTGCAAAACTCTCAAAGCTGGCAATGAAAATCCTAATTTGGATATGGTGTCCTATAACAGATAACAGCCGCATTTGCGGAGTTTCGGGCAGTATATAGTATACTGTCGGCGTTAGCTATATATTACGTTAGCAATCAGAGTTTATTTTCCAATTCAAGAACTGTCATTTTGGAGCAGAAGCGAATTTTTTCATAGCAATTCTGTATTTTCATTTTAATACCCACAAGAGCCCTTAAAATGATAGGAAACGATTTCATTTGCTGCCGCGGAAACGAGGGTTCCGGCATGTCGCCGGTGACCGTCGTGCATTATCGATCTGAATGGAAATATTCGCACGAGTAGTTAGTTATATTTCGTAAGCATATGCTGACATATGTAAAAAAAAAGCCGTATGAAAATGCGTTTCAAAAAAATATTAAAAAACAAATAGTTTTGGAACCAAATCCTTACTAGCTTCTTCAATAATATAACATTTTTCCTAATTTAACCCACATCAATCCTCATTAATTTTAATAGTATCTGTTATATCATACCTCTCTCCATCTTTTTTCTGGGTCGGAATCGGAATCAATGTCAAACAATGAATCAACCAAACCCGGAAACGCAGAACTTGCGTATGTATCGTGCAGACTCGGTGCGTATATCACATGCCTTGAATATAACTAAGTAAGTTGAATGCAGTATATGAAAATTTAATTTCAAGTAAAACAATTCTTAGGTACATGAATAGAAAGAAGGAGTCAATTCACAAGGAAGAGTTGTAGTGAATTAGAACTAGTTGTGGAAATCAGAGGTCTTGCACAGATTCGCGCAAACACATTCATGGTGTATTGTGATGATCAGCAAACAAGGATGAATATGTGGAACTAGAGAATGAACATATACTACGAAAAAGACGAAAAAGTTATGATATGTTACCTCACATTAGTTCTGTTTCCTATTCCATTCATATCAATAAATGCTCGTTCCAGCTGCATTAACTGATCATTAATAGCTCGGAGTTCGATATCACTAAACGAAAGTGAATAATGTTACTTGTTAGTGGAAGAGTAGAAAAAGAATGCTTATGAATATATTGTTGAGTGATTACGTTTCAAGACGCCAAACCACTCCGTTTAGGAAGAGGCACCATTTAATATTTGTTTTATTTCATTTCTTTTTTTGTTTAAAAAATGAACTAAATCCACTATATTATTTAAGCTTGTTCAATGTAATTTGCAAAATTCAAAAATCCAGAATGAATGCAAATTAAAAATCTGAAAGACTACATTACTTCATCTTTAAATACACTAACTGAATATATAAAATAACGCGATTAACTATTCAAATTTTTGATGACTTGGAAATAAAAGAACAAAATAACTAGTTTCAACTAACTTTGCGATATTCACGTTTTTTACCCTTGTTTGCATGTCTTCTGCAGCAGATGAAAAATTTTGCAGTGCGTAATCAAATTCATCTGAAATAGTAGATGTTTTGATATTTCACACTACAAGATGTATAACAAGATCAATTATGGTTAGTTATATTATTCTAAATTGAATTAAAATTTTTTTGGTTCATTCTGTATTATAAAGACTCTATCTACTCGTGTGTCAAGTTAACGATATTAGTGACTTGAAGTGCAACCTCCAACTTTATAGTGTCCCCGAGTTAGTAGTTTGACTTTAAGACTTGGATCAAACCTAATACAACTTACTTAAATTGATCCCGTTATCTGACATCAATTGTCCATAAGCCTGCACAAAAATATCTTTGTCTTCCCATAATCTAGCAGCGTAATCCACGCAATTTAGAGGTAAGACAGGATTGTCAATGAGTCTCCAAGCAATTTCAGCAGTCAGCTGAGCAACTGATTTCGTGATTCTGAAGTCTGGATCTACGATATCCTTCACGAGGTCAAATGTTTCATACACTGAGTGGTAAACAGGATATGATCGAATTCCAATTGACTGAAAATAAATTGTGAGTGTGGGTTAGAGTTTAGTTAGAGTGTTGAAAACGAACTGTACTAGTTCTCGTCGTAGCACAGCTTATTATTGGACACATTTAGTGGACATAACGATCGTTTTGTTGTTATGTTGTTCTTGTTGTTCTTGTTGTTCTTTGACACTTTTTTTGGACCCTAGTGGAAATATTAAAAAACCGCTTTTCTCTTTGGTCACTGGACCAAGTACTTTGAAATTTTTAGTGATTAAATATGAAATCTTTCTCCAGAAGGCTATTACTTTTATCTATTTCAAATATTTCTGTTAGCTCGGTGAGATTTGTTTTTGTTTGCTATGACGTCACTGAACGTTCTGCGGACGCATATGCAGGCACTCCTCTTTTTGATCACGTGACATTGAACGTTGGCGTGACGGCGGATCCTGAAAGTCGTTGCAAATCGCAAGTTTTTCGAGGTTACCGGTGAATGGCGGTGATGCTAAAGGTACGGTAGACCCAGCGCCGGGTTAACCATTAAACAATATAAGCACGTGCTTAGGGCACCAAGCAAAGAGGGGCACCACAGAAATTTTAGAGCAGAATTTTATATAGTTTATCGGTGTTTATTAAAATATTACGAATTCACCAGACGACTAAAACTTCAAAATATTCGCTTATTTTTCGTCTTCAAGTATCATATTAACCTTCTTTATTAAAAATAAACACTGGGACTCATTTATTGGACACGAAATGGATCTATGAATCGTTTTCTTAATTTGTTGTTGTTTTTCCTTCCTAGTATTCTCCTTGTTGCTGCATTTTTCTTTTTAAAAATATTTCTTTTCTTTTCAACAATTGGACCAAGGAACTATTTCCACTATGTGGCGGTTCCACGGTCGCATTTCAACGATCTAGTGGTTAGCGAAGTCGGGAGTTTTTTGACAAGGTAGACCAGGGTGGTCTAAACCCTGTCATGCTGATACATTCCGTGCGGCTCACAGATCAATTTTAGCGTATATTTGTATCTAATGGAGGAACGTTTTTGAGTTTTTTTCTGCTATTTCAACTGGGGTTGGGATCCCGAGATTCAAACCCTTTTTCTGACACTTTGTGCCTTTATTTTAGTAAAAACACTCCTCTGTTTTCAAAGGTCGGCCATCTGATAGTAGTGACGAAACGCAGAACCAACTTAACGCCGCCCAATCCATTTTTTAGCTAGGTCCCAAAATACCAATTTAGACGGACTTGGTTGGTATTTGACGATGGCACTAAGCTTGCTCACGCTGCAAGTTTTTAAATTACTCAATATAACAATTCGTAATAAAATGAGTGTCGCAAGAAATGTGACATGAGGAAAACACGGCGGAAACGTATTTCCTTGCCCATTACACAGTGTCTGTTTTAATTTCAAGTACCGTAATATCTGTCACGGAAGAAAATAATTTGAAGCGACAACGCGAGATGCGCAAAATACAACGGTAATTCTCGGGAATTAACTTTAAAATAACTGAAGGTTTTATATATCTTTTTCAAAAGAACGCCACCCATGCAACATAATAATAGTCTGATTAGAACGGTAAACTCTCGTTCTTTATTAAATTTGAACTGAGTAAACTAGCGATATTTCGATCACTTTAGGGGTTTCTCCGACTTGCGGCCCGCGAGACCTCCTCAAAAGCTTTTGCGGTCCTTCAACCTAGCAACCTTGAAGCACCCTGGGGTAGACTAATTTTAAACTACAGTTGTGACTTGTATGCTTCGGTATTTCGATTCACGTTGAGACTGGAGGCATGAATCTTTATTGTCACACACCCTCAGGATTAGAGCTCAACCGATATATATCGGTCCGATATTGCGTGTTTGCCGATATATCATATATATATATCGGCTATATATAACAGTGAAAAAACTAAAAATGTTCGTAAAAGTGGTGGTGCGCATTTCCAATACGTCGATAATATCCTTGTCAACCAATTTGCGACCACCGTGTTTTTGTCTGTTTGATTGCTGTGATGTGGTGCTTTGTTTATAATTTGACGAGTTTGGTTCGAAATAACCGTGTTCTTATTAAAATATAAGACGGTCAGAAATGCAATTAGAAGCCCAATGTTTTTAAAGATAGAGAAGTTCTGGTACCGTAATACAGCGCGGTGACACTGAACTAACTCGTAGCTGTCAAAACCTTGAAAATCCATACAAATATAAGAGATAAAATAATGAAACTTGGCAGGTGGGTAGAGTTGTGTTTCTTTCAACCATCTTTGAAGGTTTCGCGTTTTTACATTTAAACGAGGGGGAATAGGGGGGTGCGCATTTCCAATACGTCGATAATATCTTTGTCAACCAATTTGCAACCACCGAGATTTTGTCTGTTAGATTGCCGTGATGTGGTGTTTTGTTTATACAGGTACTGGTAAGTCACCGCATATGATTTTTGGGGAATTGTTCTGCGTGTCCATATATTTGAGCATTGCTCTCTTATATTTATTTCACTTCGATTTAGTATTCCAAACTGCATCGCACATAGCAGTATTGACACTGAATTCAATAGGAAGTATATTGTGGTATTTTTATTCCCTTGGATCTTTTGTTGGAAGCGCCAGCCAAAATAACACCCCCGCCACCGCTCTGAATAAAACAATAGGTAATTATCCAGTTCCGGTTAGGGTTAGGAATACAGATTTCCGTAGAAATTCAAATTTTCGAATCGCTACTAACCTTAACTTGATAATTACTAATTTTTTTTTATCTTGAAACGTGGCCGGTGTGTTTCATCCAATATCACATTTTTGCGTTTTCAAGCTGACCAGTGGTGACGTGGACTAACATGTAACAGCGAAGATACCGCTTATATTTTTGCACGTAATAATTTATAGGTTGCAAACTTGTGTCTCGCGCGGGGTAATCAATAAAATTAACGGTGAGTTTTCAAGCCTGCTTCTCAGCGAAATGCGTCAATATTCTAAATACAATGATATCTTATGTTTATTGTTAAAATAAAAAAGATCTATTTATAAAGAACACCTGAAATATACCTATATAAATTTTATATTGCTAGTCTAAAATTACATTGCATGGAAGAACTTACTGTATCGTAGTAATAACGAATATGCACTGATGGTATTCCGGTAATTTGTATGAAGGCCATGTAGTCGCTCCCAGATCCAAGCGTTGATATTCTGAAATTATGTTAAAATAATAAGATAGAAATGATATGATATAGAGACGGGAAAATAGGGATTTAGAGGGGAATTCAAAAAAAAAACAAGAAAGGTGAATAAAATTGATATCATGCGAAGAGTATGCAGGAGCATACGAAAATGGGCATACTCACAATGGAAGACTGTTCGGGTCTGCAGAGTCTTTAGGGCTGCGATCCGCCCAAGTTTCGTACATTGTGTTACGACCATCACCAATTTCGCTGTCGTGGGGTGTCTCAATAAACTTTGCTGAATTAAATATTAATTCATTGAGATGCGGGCCTGCTCCCATCCTCAACGTATAATTTCCTTGCACTGCAGTGTCAATATTCAAATACGCGACGCTCCTGGATGAGAGTAGTTTTTGAAACTCCTGAAAAAGAACACAATATAGCACAGCGAACGCCATTTAGCTTGATATGGTCATCTGACACGGATACATCCGTCCAAAAAGCAGACTTATCCCGTAAAATAGTGCCTGAATTTTTTCATTACCTTTCGTTATGTAGAAGACGTATGCTATGAAAAATGTATGGCTTACTTCCACCCATTCTGTAGAGCCTATAACTCCGTATTCTTCCGCACCCCAGTTACATAACACAATTGTTCTTCGTGGTCTCCAACCCTTTTTAACAGCTACCCCAATAGAACGGCCAATTTCCAGTTGAGCTGCAGTGCCAGATGATGGATCCATCGCTCCAAAAACCCAAGCATCTCTGTGATTCCCAATCAAAACGTAACGATCTGCAAGAAATACATTTTTACATGTAATCATAATTGATTTGGCGAAAGTTGTCTTTCTGTATGGTCGAATCTCTATTTATTAAGTTTACCACTGCATGAAATATTCCAAGAACAACTGAAAATTGTAAATATTTGGTTTTCTAAATAAAGTGATTGGATATTCAGGGTATTTTAAATTTTTTTTTCCACTTTTTTGACAAACGACGCTGTACGCTATTCACATCTACGCTTGATCTCTTGAATATCATTAAGATGCATGTATCAAAACAGGTGGTGTCACTATAAAAGTTTTGATTTCATAGATACTTTGCTGTATAGTGTCTTAGCAATTGAAAGGCCAAACACTGCATATTGGTATTGACTTTCGTTAATTACGAAGTAATTAAAGCAAGGAAGACGGACGGGTTGACGTGTTTCATCCCGTATCGCTTGATTATTATGACGTATGTTTATCAAATTGTTGTCAGAATATACAAAAATATTACAAAGACTAGTTTCGATCTGTTTTAATGTTTGGGGTCTTATTTGTTCATTTCAAATAGTACTTGATATCTGAATAACGGTCCGCTATGCGGACGTATTCTGAACGTCAAGAAGACACTGAACATTTGTCGTATCCGAAATCTGGTTCGACCTACCTAAAAATTGGTACAATTTAATCGGTATAGTTTTTAAAAAGTCCATAAAAAGAGTTGACCTCAAGGACAAATTTATCATCTCACAAATGAATATAAAGCGTAGAATTTCCTATGTTTTCGAGCATTCTTTGGTAAACCATTCTTTGGCTAACCAACTTACTTCAAACAACTTATCAACTGTGCTCAACAATATCAATAGTATTTTATTCATGGAATTTCAATGTCAACATGATGTAAGTTTTGAATCACTTAAAATAACTTGTAGATATTCTATCGCAATTCTATATGCGAAACAATGAGCGATTTTAATACAACGATACCTTGCCTATCCACGATTCTTTCTCCAATTTGGGGATTGGCCAAATAACTTGAGAACTTTACAGATATCACAATTGTAACTACTGTATTGATTTCGATTCTGGGTATAGTCGATATTTCTTGCTCGCTAGAATGCTATGTATGATTATATGCAACGTGTGTCAATTGTCTTTTACACTACATTGCAACAATTGCAATTTCATTGCAACTTCGGAAAATTCATTGAAGCAATTCTGTTTCAAATTTCCTTTTGTGGACATGGATTATCGCAGACTAACGACCCGGTGAAGCTTGGTAGATTGATGAAGTGGGAGGCTATTGCTCTGACCTGTGTTGGTATAGCACTGCTTTACTCTAATGCTGGGGTAGCAGCAAGTGTCTTCCCTGATGTAGATGTGCGTAATCCGCCATCTACGGTATATAGTCATATAGTGAATAAATACTTTGTTGATTAATTGGTAATCCGATTCTATGTTTACCTGGACTCCAGTAATATCATACCTGGCTCTACCTCTCCGCGAATGTAACCAAATATATTGTGTGTTATAGCTCTTTCGTTTTTCGTCGTTATATGCATCTTGATTTTTCTAAACAAAAGATCATGAAACATAGCATAAGTACCAAGTATCATGTTTAATTACGTAGAGGTGAAATACCAGTAATCAAACATTCAATAGTAATAGACTCAACTCTAGTCGCAAAGAAAGTCGTAAAATGAAATAGAATCGATATTCAATATAGGATCGAGTCTCTCATATCGTACGTTATATGCAGTGGTGGGATTCAAAATTTTTGTCAGCCGGTTTCATCACACAAATGTCATATTTATCAGCCGGTATTGTTACAAAAGTTATTTTTTTAGTAATGCTAACCGGTTCGCCGATCTCGTGAAACGCATGACCTTCTTTGAATGTATGTACGCGGGGACATACGCAATTTTGCAACTCGACTATATGTACCAGTCCTGGAAACCAAACAATCTAAAAACGGATGTAATTCGTAGTATATATGTCTAATCCCCAAAATAGCTAATCTGTTTCAATTACATTATTTTTTATGTTTGCAAATATATATTTCATCAATATAACACGCTCTGCACATCCACCGAAATAAGACTAAAGGTAAATATAAAGAATAAAACAGCAATTTACTCTTATGTAAAAGCCAACCAAGGTGAATTGGACTCAGACAGTGAATATCACAAGTGCACGCCTTCCTATATTGTAGTATAAATTGAAATTTATAAGCGCTAAGCTAGAATCTGAGATGCAAAAACTCGAAAACCCTTCGCCGAGGTTATTTTGCCTTTGTGGCGTCACAATAGTCCTGCGTTAACAATGATAATTCATTATGACGAAACAATTGAACAAATTTGCATATCATACAAAATCTCTATTTTTATGGGTTTCGGAATTCTTAAAATAAAATCTGAGTTAACAGACAGGTCCGCAGCATAACATAAATACCTATATCATGAAAAACTCCAAACCGCCAAAAATGACTTACGCAATTCGGTTATTAGCGTGACGATATACGAATACTTATTACATATTGTGTTACATTATACTCGAATGTACTTGGAACAACACGTTTACCGTGGTAAGCATTTTTGGTTCCGGATCTATGGAAGCCCGACCTATATCCAACCATGTGTGATAATACACCTATCGACACGAGAACCAAATATGAGATTTGCAAAACTTTAATAAGATTTCACCTAATTCATGCAATCTGGGTACGTTGAAAGCATGAGCAAGTGCCGTGAAAAGAAAAACTATATTGGGTGCCAATATTTTTGGTTAATCAACAAGAGACTTGCAAAGCCTTTCGAATCACAAAATACTATGCATCTACTTTTGTTTCATTTTGTCCCCAAAATCGGCCTTTTTTAATGCATAAGATATTATACTTTGGTGCACCCTTTGGTCTCATTTCTCACCCAGTATTATTCAACTCGCCGACAAAACCAGGTCCAAGACGGTAAGTTATATTCAGACTCCCCTTCCATTCTTCTGGCACTTCGTCTCCTCCCATTCGCTCCAAGTACTTTACAGCATCGTCATAACCAATAGGAGTAACAAGAATAGTTGGAAGTGTTGTTTCATTCTCGTACATTCTCCAGGCTGTATCTAAATGTTTAAAGAACAAAATACACAAGTTGATGGTTTGATTTGAGAATGAGTAAACAGTGTATCGAAAATAGCATCGGTAGTAGACTAATGAAAGTAGAAATTTGTACAAAAAGATTTGTATCAGGACCATTGTTTAAATTTAAGTTTTTTAAAACTCGCTGCAGAAGGGCTGTGTGCAAATAGTGCGAAAAAAACATTGCTGAAATGGTAGATTACATGATCGGGCATTTAATCAAAATTAAATTTAGTTAGTGTTTTTATTCTTACTCACCTGTACATTCTAATATATACTAGAATGTTTTATTGCCATAAAAGACTAGTTATACCGTATGTAATACATCTTTGGCGGTCAGCTTATTGGTCTCATTTGGAGAGAAATTGTGTCCGAAATGTGGGTAATAGGTCTCAGACTTAACTTACCTATAGCGGGATATTGTGGAGTCAGTGGATCACCTTTCAATGTCTGAAGGTTTCCCCTTTGTGCTCCTGTGCCGGGTAGAAACCAATCATCCGGATAAACACCAGACCACGGAACTGTATAGTCATATGGGTCAGAGTACAAAATCAATCCCTTGCAGCCGTAGCTTTGTGCTATTTGTGCTGGAATTGTAAAATGTTCGTTTGACAAGGTAAGAAATAAAATCCTCGTTTTCCGAATTCACAAGAACGCAAACTACAGTCTATGAAGATATTGACCGACGACGATGATTATATTTGTGTTCACCAATAGTTCGCAGCATGTAACGATAATAGGTTACATGCAGACTGAAATCTCAATTATTCCAAAATCCGTTGAGATTTTTTAGGATCAATATAGCCCACTTGCATCATTTTTTTTACATGTTCAATCCACGCCTCTCGGCCGCCCATCGTGGTGTAATATGCTAATGTTCAATTCTCATTGGTTCAAATAAAACCCATTACCTCACCCAGTTCGCAAAATGTTGAAAACGCTATGACTACCGGTAACAATCCGTTTTTTTTTTTAATTTCAAACGCAGTGCGAAGTGACTACTTTCATGAAGATATGTATTACAAGATATGCTATGAATAACGCTTGTATTACTGTACTCGTTTTGTAGGAGTTAATATTTCAAAAGATTTGACGACCAAAAAATTTGATGCGAAGAATGCATCCGAAAATGAGACTTTAAACATGATGCTGAAAAAATGTAATAGGATGATACATAATACACCGCTAATACTGAGAACATGTATGAATGAATGCCCACAGAACTTCGTTATGTACAACTGTTCGCGCTGAATATACCTATTTGTAAGACCATCTAAAATTTAACTGTCTATTTACCTTTGGAACCTCTGAATATTCGCCCATATCTTGATATACAAACATGACCTGCAGGGTTTACTCCTAAATCGCGAGTAAGTTGAAGAAAATCATCAATTCTTGCATAGTTTACATATACTAGATGACCCTAAAATGCATTAGTAGATTGATATAAATCATGATGCCTCTTTCAAAAATAAAAATGATAATAAACGAACGTAAAAATTTTGAAATCGTTTTTACCACAACAAAGTTTGTACAGATATCTGTTTAATCCATTCCTTAAATTGCCTTCAATTACTTTCAACAGTGTAGCGTGAAAGAAAATTACACAAATTTTTTAATATGAATGTAAATACTAATCCGGAGTGTTGTAATACAATTATGATTTTAGAAAAAAAAATTCTATTGATATAATCGTGCCATAAAATGCGATAATATATAAAATAATACCTCTGTATCACCCGTAGCAGAGTAAGCATTGAATGGATTTACGACTTTGTCACTTATTTGAGAATCATCTAAGATCTTTTCGCTAGGTTGAGATTTGTATAGTTCGGTCCCTGCAATTAAGTTCATTTTATTCGTAATTTCCATGTTCATAATATTTTCATAATAAATGAAATTTGTAAATAAATCTGGTTTTAGTGCAGGAATTGCTGGAAAGGTTAGAGAGACATTGCCAAGGTAAAAATTAATTGAGAGCAAAAACTAACCTGATTTGTGCTCAACGTTGTAAATATTCATCAAATTTAACTTACCATTGTCTAGTATGACAGATATTAGATTTGAGTCCTCCTGATCTGGATAAGATAACAAAACATCATACGGATGAACTTCGACATCAAATCCAAAATCTTCCCATTTCCCCCTTATGTAATCGACTAATATTTTCTCATCGACATCGCGACCAGCAATATGCGGCTCGTCGGTTAGTTCTCTGCAAAACAAATTGTTTGGCACCCATTATGATGAGCGTGAAAGCAGTAATAACCTTTAAGTGTGGTTATATTGCTGTAAAAGATATTACGAAATTCGGTCACAGTCCTACGTTATAAAGGGTTTTCTTACTTTAAGTATAATTCAATATTTTCAGCCTTGATTTCATCTCGTATTTGTTTAGAAATTTCTGGATCTGAAGTTGGTGGATTTGGCTCAGTCGGAGCTGAAGACGTCGGATGGCTGTACCAGCCGATCAAAACTCCAATAATTATTCCAAATGCAGCACATGAAACGGCAACAATAGCAATCCTGTGACTCGGTTGCATCTTTCATAAGTTAAATAATATTATTGCAGTAGAAATCTTAAAGTAACATATATTGTTATTCTACCAAATTACGCTACTGGTATATATTTCCACCATTTTTGATTGAATGATGAAACACTTTGAATTTTTAGGTTTCAGGATTGCGACTTAAGGCTCCATCAGAGATGCAATTCTGGTCCAGTTTTCTGGCAGATCTATAAGTCCCAATGATGAGGCACAATTCGGAAAGGTCGTCATCAACTTCGTAAAATATACCATTTTAAGTGACGTCTTTCCTGCCCTTATGTCAGGTTTTCCTTTGACCGTTGTGTGTTAAATACATTTAACATTCTTTTGTTATTATTATAATGAAATGCAGCTCTATCAAATACCCTTCTTAGTTTGCAAAAAAATCTGTCAATCACTTATTGATTCTTCCAATTTTTTTTCAGGTTGAGTTTGCTCACATTCTTTCCCAATATTTAATCTTTCTAGGTTCGGGGGTGACTTGTTGACGAAAATTTGTTTTTAAATAAACATCGTCAAAAAAGGCCTTGCTACATGAATGGCGATTCAAAAAGTAGTCAATATTTCTGCTGTATTAGTATTAAAACAAAAACACTACAACACAATATTCTACTAATTTTTTTAGTTGGCTACACTGAAACTGAGCATGGCGGATGTGAACTGGCCATGGTACAAGTTTCCAAGCAAAAGATAATTTCTGAACATGAGTTGCCAGCAAACTTCGTATTGACGTCATTGGCGACTGAGAAACTATACTTTTGATGCTAATGTATATTTATTGACAGGTTTGTTTGTTTGTATGTATCACACACATAATAATAAAGATAATTAGATGACGGAATTATTGTTTGATATACCAAAGCATTCGGGACAACATGTTGGAGTTCTTACTCCAAGCAATTAATCTTATCAACGCGAATAAATATTTACAGAATTCTTGAGGGTATGTATTGTCAGTTTACGAAACATGCGTATGGTTCATTTTAGAACTGGGACTGGAGGCTTCCACAACGATATCCACCACATAGCTTCAGTAGAAGCCACCAAATCTGAACTTTCCCAAAGCTAACGGTTATTATAGATTCTCAATAAGCACAATGCTGATAAGCTGCAGTGATTTGGCGTGCGTATTTACGCATGTTGACCCAACGATTAACACAATATTAACTTAGATTTTGTTAATATATAATTTGTTGTGGCGTAAAGTCTATACGTGTAAATAACATCCGATTAAAAGTACCCCAACCGCAATAAAATAGATTACACAACCGTTGGTGTGTGTGTCGTGGCGTTGATCGGAATTCCTGTTTGTGCCATTGCGAACCTGTAACGGCGTGATAAAACTATTGGCATTAAAAAAAAATTTGGTAAAATAAAGTGCTTTCGCACATAAGGGACTATATAATTATAATATTACTATATAACCGATACCTGAACCCTTTCAAGCAAGATACGAAAATGGCCGATTGATTCAATTGACAATTTTAAAACAAGTCTAGTTTAAAAAATCACCAAATCTTTAGCAATAACAAATGAATACTAGTCACATTAATTCAGCAATGAAAAGGATTTTTTCCGAACTAAATTGCCCACGAAGGGGCGTAAGAGAACAGATATGCCTCGAACGAAATTGCGATTGTTCACGCAGAAATACGGTTTGAACTTGATTATTTGAAATATATTATGTCATTTTTATTGCCTAGAGGCAAAATTACTAATTCATCGCCTGGATGTAGTAGATAGATGACATGATTCTGTTTTTACACGTTGGTAGTTAGGTACATGCAGCAAACCGAGCTGTTCGGTTTTGACATAGTCCAAGAACCGGGAAAAGCCTGGTACTAGTGGAGCTGCTGCAGCAGGCTAACCTTAATAATACTCTCACCGGTGCCAACGTACTGAATAGCACTCAAGTGTTTTGCTATAATCTCAGATCACCCATCTCATACAACGGAATCAATAATAGATTTATTCAGTGCTTTTTTAATTCAGTATGTTGAGAAAAAGAGCGCTATGCCTCTAATAATTAGCTTAAAAATGAGAAGATACGGAAGCGATTGGAAAAAGTTGTAGTAGAATCTATAAATATGACTGCATTATTTGCATTTTAGAGAAACGACGTTGACATCTCTGGGGCTAACTCCAGTACTGCAACTGTCATAGCATGTTCGGTTGTCCTACGCCCAAGACATGGGGTGAACACCGGGTATTCATGCAACTATTACATTTTGTCGAGGACTTGCGGTAAACTGTCATGAACAGCGGGTATTCATGCATAAATGGCCTGATTGTCATATGTTAACATTCTGATCTGAACCTATCATATATCATTCAATCGAATTAATATTACCTTGTTTTATTTCAAATAAAATTAAAACGAAAGAAATGAAATATATGCACAGTGATAAATAGTATGATATCAAGAAAAAACATTATAATAAAACTGTCGCAAATGACATTAAAATCGAAAATTATCCGAATTACAAGTTCTGATTATAGTACCACACAAGAATAAGCTTAAAAATCGCATTCATCATTCATCTGCCTGACCCACACCAGATGGATCATATATGTCTCGAATGACAAAGGCAAATGACACATTAGTCGGATGAAAGTCTAACTACATAAAAAGTTACGAAAGTTAATTTAACCGATTGAAAAAGATTAATTTAATTTTAACAGCGACACAAGGTTATTATAAAAAAGACTAAAGCAGCATTGATTAAATATCAGGCCTAAATCACTCTAAACATCGAAAATTAAAGAATTATATGTAAATATTGGGCAGTGTGTTATTATAGTGTAACGTATGACAAAAATGTCATTCTTGGATGGCGTAATCAGAGTGACGAATGATTCTGATCATATAGCGTAATCACGTTCTTTATTGTTAAAGTGTTTTAGATAATACAGCTAATAATGAAGATTCAAGATTAAAAATGTCATGAAAAACGACCGAGAAAATAAAATGCAAATAAAACAGTGGTAAAAATTAAATAATATAAATGTAGTAAAACAGTGCACTCTTTGTCGCGCTGACCGTTTGGCGGAACTGGATATTATTACATCACTATATTGTGAATTTTTTCTGCTCCGAATCGATTGTATCACACGACAATTTTGTGCGATAATGTTGGAGAGTCTGCTTCCAGTAATGATGAGGTTTCAGCGGGATCATTTGACGTCATAAGATATGACGTGTTAAGAGATTTTCGACATCCTATTTCAGATATGTTCTGACAAGATTGCTGTGGTGTTGGTGGGAGTGCTACATAATATCCTGATTGAGGTCTTGTTGTTGAACGACGCATCTCAACGGCGCTAATAGCATACGGTGGTGGTGGTGAAGGACAATCTGGTAATGACTGACGAGCATCATACCGAGTTTCAGCTGGATCGGATGTATAAGAAGGTTGAATTTGAAATTCCATTTCATCGTTTGATGTTTCCAATACCACGTCGGTTGTGGTTCGAGCTGTTACTGTTTCGTATCTACTATTTTGTACGTTTTCATCAATAGATGAGATGACGGAAGGGTTGGTTGGAGTTTCACAATCAACTGGTCTAGTGCGTGTCACCTTTTCGTGGCCTGCTCCTGCTTGTGTTCTGAAGCACCTCATCCACACTAAAGCCAATATAGCCGCTAATATCACGATAGCCAAACCCATGAATACAAAAGTCATGGCTTGCATTGCTTTTGCAGATGAATCAGTAGCAGCAGAGTCCCGTTCCACTTCTTGGCGGATGAGGAGTTCGTTGTTTGAGGCGGAATATTCACCGTTAACCGAGCTAATTTTCAATTCATGTGTGATGCGTGTCATCTTTATTTCATTTTCTGGATTTTTAATAATTTTCGGAGATTTCACCGTACTTTCTGTCATTTTTTCTGTTGTAGATTCGGAAGTTTCGGTAACAGTGGCCGTCACAGACACAATTCTGGGCGAAACCGGTCGAAGGCCAGGAACTTCAAGTAAATCAGATTCACCGCATCGCCTTCCAGAGAAGCCTTTCGGACAGATGCATTCGTACGATCCGTATGAATTTTTACATTGTCCCCCATTGAAGCAAATATCGGAAGAAACCTCGCACTCGTTTACGTCTACATCGCAGTAACGACCAGTGAATCCACGTTGACATTGACAGTAGAAGTCGTTGGAAAGATCGAAGCATTTTCCACCGTTTGCACAAGGCCGCAGTAAGCATTCATTCACATTTATTTCACAATATTTTCCGACGTAACCAGGTTGACATATGCACCTAAAATAAGAATAATAATAAATTAGTTGTATATTTACAACTTTAAAATATTTCAACCAATATGAATTTATCTTTAACTTAAAATTAAGATATATTTGTTTGTTGTTAAATGAAAACCCAGTAACAACTTACCTTTCGCATCCTCCGTTCATAGCCGTTATTCTGCACCGACCTCCGTTTGTGCATTTTTTGGGAGTTGAGGTGGTAGCCCGGGTCGTTGTCGTCGGTTTAGTTGTGGTTGGTTTGATTGCTGGCATGCCTTCTGGTTTGTAGATTTCGCAATTAACTCCAGAGAATCCTTTCTGGCAAACGCACAAATATTCGCCATTACCATTGTTGATGCATGTTGCTTGGTTCTTACAAGGTTGAGTGCGTTCGCATATTTTGAGATCTAAAAATGTAAAGAAACTATATTAGAAACGTAGTAAATTCGAAATTTATTGCTCTTCCCAGTATGATTTACATTGATTGCGTAATATATGCAAGAATTTTGCAAAATGTCTAGCGTAACAATTAAGTCCTTTATTACCTCGATCGCATTTTGGTCCTCCCCATCCCGCATCGCAGGTGCATTGCCATGACTGGTGGCAAGTTCCATGAACGCATCCTGGTGCTTTTGTGCATTGATTGCAATTTTTGCCTTCCCATCCAGCAAAACATCTGTTAAATATAAAGAAAACACATTTTAATAAAATAAAATAATTCAATTTGACAAAAAAGAACATTCACGTTAACAAATATACACAAATCGAATCTTGTTCACTGAAAAACTTACCAATTGATCAACCTTATTGAAGTTGTTACATGGTGTAAATAATTTATTTATCATCGAATCATCCGCGGGTTGGAGATACATAAAAATATAATAGTTATCATGTCGCATAATGTTTCGTATATTGCGATTAAATTACATGTCGACTTTTCTTCGTCGCTCATTTCGCTTAGATAATATTTCCAAACAATAGGCTTAGAAGGGCTGCGGTGACCTTTTTATAAGCTAGTTCGATACAATCAGAAACGTTTAATACCTTCTAAGTAGCTGTGGTATGATTTTAAAAGCAATATGGAAAGAATATTTCTAGAATATAGCGACGAAAGGAAATTATCCAGATACAGGTGAGTACTGAATTTGTTGAAAAGTGAAATAAATGAGAATTGAATGAAAATTCATATAAATGTTTGATTACAGAAATTTGCCTAAAGTTGGTTTCGATGTGCATATTGCGATTGGAAATACTGGCGAGATAATTACGCTACAGGGACAGAAGCTGACTGATAAAATTTCGGCTATTCATGATGAGGTCTTCAAAACGAAAGCGATTAATCCGAAGAATCAGCGATTATTTCTTGCAGGAGAAGCATTGGAAAAAGAAAAGACTTTATCCGAATGCAATATTACAAAAGAATGCGCTCTGGCACTGAAATGCTTCGTACCAGTTCTTGTGTCTAGTCTCGAATCTCCTGGGCCTATGCTAACCGAGATTGAAGTCAGTCCGAAGCATGACGAAAGTATCGTACATCTAAAACGCAAATTAGGTACTAAACTTGGCATTGACGTGGATATTCAACGACTATATTTAGCGCCATCAGAAATGACGACTTTTCCCAGGAGACGTGAGCTTGACGATATTTCTAACTTATCACGATATTTATCGCCATCTGGTGGTAATAACTTTCTGGAATTGCGTCCTAAAATAGTTTCAATCTCCAGCAAAGCAGACACTATTGTATTTAAGGTACCAATGACCGTGCAAAATACAAGAGACAATACACACGGCTATAATCTACCTAACAACGAACTATTAAAGGCCGATTTGGATGTTAAATTGTTGATGCTACCTCACGAGCACTATCTCAAAGAAGAATTATATTGGTTAAGTTTAGAATTAAGTACAGTTACCATTATTAAGAGAGATCCGATTGTTGATGACATCGTAAAAATATTACAAGAAAACCTGAGGCCTATCGGACGATGCCAGAACCACGACCTAACGTCCCCAGTTCGATTGAAATTTGCTCGAAATAGACTAATAAATGGCGGGAAATATTTGGTACCAGATAGAAAGTGTGGCGAAGACTATCAAATGCGTACGGCGGAACAATTATTGAATGTCGAAATCGACGGACACGAACCACCAGAAAGTACAGAAATCCCCGCAATTTATTTACCAGCACCTCTGCCACCTTTGGTTTCATATGGCGAAAAACACACGCGTTACTCCGTGCCAAAACACCACATATGCATGAAGTGGGAAATTCCATCAAAAGCGTTACAAAAAGAAGTCAACCCCAGCGTTGAAATGGAAATCAGTGCATTTTCATATTCGCGACTGTGTGGATCTTGGGATATCGCCGAACACTACAAAACCTACGTTGAAATATTACTCGAAGGAACTTTCTACACAAACCGAAACAGCGATAGCCACAACGATCCTAACAATATTACAAGGGCGAACGACACCGTTTTCTCACAAAACTGTATGGATATTACAATTCTGGGACCCGAAAACGATAATATATCGAGTTTTAAAATTATCAACAAAGATCCGATGCGGTGGTATCGCAAGAGTGCGGAAGGGAGCGAGAAATACGAAAACAAATCAAAAACACTTGGACGAGAATTGGGCTTTTCATCTCCGTTCCGATATGACACAAGGCCTGTGAACATGCCTAAACCTATTGACGTCAGAAGTGACGTCATTTGCTACGGTAAAGGAGGATTTAGTGAGTTGGTTGCAAATAACTGGTACATTGGTAAAGAAAGAGTTAGTGATATCACCCTACAATCGTCTAAAAATAAAACCAGTATTTTCAACGCTTCATGCAAACGAGGAGTAAATTTAAGCGGAAATCCCTTCGTGAAATTTTCTTACAAAAACATGTACCCGTCTTTAATCGATCGGGAGGAAAACAGAAGAGCTTACGACTTTCGCGTTCAAGCACAATTTTTTGTTTGTGAGTTGGAAGAAGACTTCGAAAAGAAATCAAATTTGACTGATTCTAAAAGGTTCACGATCTTTGTTAACCACGGAGTGACTAAAACTGAACGGGAACCAAATTTCTCAGACACGGTTACAGAATTTACATCCCCAGATTCTGGACAAATGGAGACGACCATATCCGTTGATTTAGCAAACAACCTATGGCTGAATAAAACAGGTCATGCATAAACACTAATGTTATTTTATTGTTCATTTTCTGCTAAATCTTGGTTATTTGATAGCAATAAAAAAATTTAATTGTCGCATCACGTCGCTGTACTGTCACTATCATTCACTTTGTTGGGCAAGGCCCGATAGTTTTTGACGTCCATTTTGCACATAAATGTCATAATAAAAGTCAATCTCCGATATTGTTGTTTGTCTTGTGTTTAGCTTCTGCTTCGCTCGCTATCGCTGCAATCTTCTCCCGAGTTGGTGCCTCGATTACTAATACTCCCTCAGGCGTAAGGTTAGAAGTAATATCAGTGGGGTTAACGTTGGATGGTATGGTAAATTCTCTCCTCAATTCTCTGTAATTTGAAGCAAAATATAAGTACAACCTAACACATATTGCCTCTAATGAACGATGGATTATCGTGAACAATACCTGAACTCGCGATTCCTGCTAGACACGCCACCATCGCCATTGGTGGCTTCTGATTTTGCCATCACCAATAGACTCTGTCCTGCTGTTTTAACCAACAGCTCATGCGGTCTAAAAATACCACAATGTTAAAATAGAGAAATATCTATCTACCGAATTACATTCCGTTAGAACAGTTAAAATCTTACTCGAATCCTTGTACGTCTACTTCTACTTTGAAGTCCTCAAAATGGCCAATGGGTTGCAAACCACGTGACTTGGTCTCGCTCCTGCTGGTCAAACTAGAACCTCGTCCGAAGTCAGAAAAAGAAATTTCTGGAAAAAAAGTATCCCAGTCCGTGCTAAATGTACCTCTTCCAAAAAAATTGTCAATGTCCTCCCCAAACGCCGACCTCATGCCTCCGAAAGAAGAACCGAAAGGCCGACGACGACTCAAACGACTATCTCGAAAAAAATCATCTTTAGAAAGCAATCGCCTATCCCAGTCAAAGTCGCGGTCAGCCCCAAGTGCTGAATTTGATCTTGGTGGCGAGATAGATCCTCTGCTACTCGTTGACTCCTCATGGGCAAAGCTATGTGCTCCTGATGATACACGTTTCTGACTAGGAAGAGTTGAAAACCGTCCTTGGTCTCTCATGGGTGAAGAGCATTTACGGTCAAAATCATCGACAAGCCTATTTACCTCTCTATCCCACGACCTCTCGCTACTAGCTGTATAGTCTTTCACGGGAAGTTGGATAACCGATTCGTATTTAGGTGGTGGAGGAAGTTGATCAGTGGCCGATGAAGATGCATTTGACATTCTGGATGATATTCGTTCGTCCTCGGATGAAGTTGCGACGTGTTCGCTAGTAGAACTGGACGCCGCGTCCGATTTGCTGCTTTCCATGGTTCTTACCATGCTTCTATTGCTTCTTCGTGGGAGAAATATATCGTCGCTATCACTAGAATCGCCCCAGTCTTCACTAATCCAATCCTCCAATACCTTATGCAACTTTCTTAAACCACGTCTGCTTCGAATTGGCATCAGAGCCTCTCAATTACTTATACTTATATTCTACAGAAGATAGAAACTAATTCACACTTCAATTAAACCAAACGCCTGATCAATAGTCGGTGTGAAGTTAAATGAATACAACAGTGCCACAATTTCGAAAAGTAATTCACAACTGCGTATTCCAGTACATTCTGTCAGTATCTGGGGAAATACGCTCCTCGCTGGTGATAATGACTAAGACGACTGTGATGTCATAACCATTCATGGCTATTTACTATCATGTCGTAAATAGAATATCAATATCACACAAGATATTAAGTATACACAGGCATAACCTGAACCCAGCTTTTTGAACAAATAACACATCAAAAATACTCTGATAGTACATCTAAAAGCGACACATGGGCATACTTTAATCGTACTATAAGATTAAACGCAATATGTTAGTCGGATATATTGTTAATCGAACTTTCCAGCAAGCTCTCGATGAGTAAGTACAATACGATCGCGTAACCGTCAGCTGTGCAGCGTAATATTCAAGCGTTCCCCAAGGACAGATATTGTGACCGCGCGTGCCATCGAACTTTGTCAGAATACCACATTTGTCACATGATGGGACGAACGATTATACATATTATATATTTTTTGAATGTATGCAACCTTAGGTGATATACATTCCCAAAGAATGACAAACTATTTTACACTTATACGGAATGTACTGCATGTTATAATATTGCATTTCAGTGAACAAGCTCCGATTTCTTATCTATCAATAAAAACAAACAAAACAATACAAAATATAAATTCTTACCTGCATTGACCTAATGGAGTACAATAACCTTGTCTGAGGTTGCATCTATCGGGGCATGGAACATCCTCTGTAAAAATAAAATCCATAGTTAGAAAAACACAGTATTTACATTTAAATTTGGAAATAAGTTTAAACTGAAACATATTGGTAACGAACGCATAAACTATAGAACAGCTTGGTTTTTAGTGATATGATATCTAGCACGCGACATGTTGGCAATACGGTCGATTTTGCGACAGGTGGAACGGAGCCACGGGCGCCATGCCGCGTATCATGACATCAAAATTAATGGGTTTATCACATAAACGATTCAACGAAGAAAATCGAACGGTGGAAATTGTTGTTTATTTGATACCGAAATATTTCTAGCGATGTTTGTCCCTAGGGGACAAATACACAAGGCTCTACTGACGAAGTGTTAATAATAGTCGACAAAGAGTTGGGCGTTTGCCTCGATTTTAGAACGATTCTTACAATGCGCGACAAAATAGTTTTTACTTCCAAGAACGTGCATATTTTTGCCGGATGGTCAATATCAGAAATTTAATGTTGATAGATGATAGCTACATTCGATAACTAACATTTCATTAAACTCAATAATAAATTTAACCGATGGAGGGTAAGAATAATTAAAAGCGATTGATAAGCCCTACCTTTTCGCTTCGTTAACGAATTTCGTCAGCGAGTTAATATAGCTATTGTTTGGCAAACGTCGGCCATATTTTCGTTCTGCTCACTAATATGGCAGATGGTGAAACTGAAAAGAAACGACCTAGAGAGCAGACGATAATTGGGCGCAAATACAGGCGTGCGTAGAAATATTATCCCGTTATTAACATTAGTCAACGATAACTCAGGTCAAGTAAGCGATGACTTGTGGCCAGAGGGTTAAATGCGCAGATTGCAAAGTTTCCGTAAAATATAACGTATCCTCATGGTTAGTCAGCTCTTGCGACAACTGTCAAGTAACAGTTGTCAAGACGCCGCTAAACGGCTGCCCAAATTTATCTATGGATGCTAAACAACAACATTTCGGGTCTGACATATGTGGTGAATTGATAACAAATTACTGAAAAACAAGGTCAAATACAAATAACAAATCATGTGAAATGCAATGAAGTCTATTGCTAAATGATTTAATAACATTTTCAATTTCCGAATGATTTGGTACAAGCTATTGAAATTCACTCGAGGGGAAATAACGTGCAATCGGATTCCATATTTTGTGCATGTTTAAGCTTCCATAAAAGTTGCCGAATGATTTTGTTGATAGGGATTATGACGAAGTTGAAAATGATTAAGTAAGTAAATACCAAAGTCGACTTTCACGGTCGAACTCACAAAGTCGCAAAATTAAGCGGGTTTAATGGTTCCATAATACTTCAAATCCCTTTTTAATCCCAATTCGCAGTTGAAAATAAAAAATATATTTCCTATTGTACTTGGTGATTATCGCCGTACATGCATCCCGATTATGTAGCTTACGATGGAAACTTAATAACTTTTCCAAATGAATCAATTTATTGTAAAAGGTTGTGCCTAATCACCGGGCATTCGATACTCTTAGATTGAGTTTCAATTTCGTTTTGAACCCCTTTTAGACAGTGTGTCGTAACTACAATAAACTTACCAAACCCGTACTCAGATTACTGAACAAACTGAGCCTAATGGAAAATTGCCTCAAAACATAGTTTTGCCACCCAGGCACGCAAATGACAGATAACACATTCTTTATTTTATCCCTATTTCGTTTGAATTCATGGCGTGCACGATCTACTTAATTTCATTTCTCTTGATTAATTCTTGCGACAACTTTTAGAGCATGGTTATATAGCTTCTAAGTTATTTTGCGATTAAATATGACTGGTTGCTTTAACGGGGCCGTGAGAAGGCCACACTTTACCATAAGCCTTTTAGCAACTTTTACGCCGAGACATTTTCCCACGAATGGAAGATTTGATTTGTCGCCTTAGGTGATGCTCTGTATTGCTAAGCCACAAAGGCATGCCGTGTGCCGGACGCCGCCATAACATCAAATATGATATAATAGATGATACAATGTCGATTACATTTTATCGTAAATGAAAACCGTGGGAAAGTTTATATTTTATCGACTTTAATAACAAATATGTATCCGCAAAGTGGAGATCACAAAAGTTTAAGGACAATTTTCATAAAAAAAAACATGTACGCACGACTTACGCGTGTGTGGCATGTGGATTAAGACTTCTAAGTTTGCACAAATGCAAAGCAAATATCACAAAAAAACTATCTGTAAAGATTATGATAAACACAATTATGACAACCAATAATAAAACTTAGCTATATACTATAAATATAGCTTTATATCAACTAATTTGAATTGTTGTTATCAATTAGTGTCCATTTGCGATCCATACAATATCATTTTTTAAGTGAAGTACTGACCCGGTGTATATTCATGTCTGTTTATTCTGATGCGACATCACAAATGGACGAAACATGATATAGTCTTATGAAAAGGGAGCAGAAATTTAAATCCATACAAGTTACAAAGGTAAACAAAAATATATATGAAACTTACCCGCATAAACTGGGGTTCCCACGATCAACAAATGTACCGTCAGTACCGCCACTAACACGTTCAAAACAAAGCAAAAGCCGGCCATTTCGGGCTCTCGTCAACGTTCTTTATAGTATAAGATCTAGTATTCTATACTCCCGATGAATAACACCAGTAATCCAATCCAATAGAAAAGTTTGCGTGCAAAAGTTTCGTCTTGAAAATCGTCTTTGTTTATACTTTCTTTATACCTTCGTTTTTGAAAGGTTGACGAAGTAGGTAAGTTCGTTGTATAGTAGGTAATTATATGTATATTATTTGTATCTGCGATGAGACAAAAGTATTCTCTTGAAAACCAGCACCAAATAAACATAAATCACACAAAAGGCTGGTTTGTTACCACCCTACCTAACCACTTTCAATAAGAATATCTTAACTTGTTTGTTACAAAAGCACGTAATACAAGACTACTGTTTTTCTTGGTTTGCAAAATCCCTGCAAAATCTTTCCCTAGAATGCAATGCTATCATGGGAAATAGTGGCGCGACATTTGTCTACTAAACATTTTCTCTCATAAAATCTTCACAAAAATTGAATATTAACATGTCCATACATCATCGATCGACCTATTGTCGAGAATGTGATCCAATACCCTTCTACGCAATATTGTGACTACATCGAATCGCGCCCACATTCGGAAGGATTTAGTCATCGTCTCTCGCCTTATTTGAGTTTAAAAAACGCGGACGTATGGCTGGCAGATTAATCACCTTATTGGGTCCTAAATTCAAGTACAACAATGAGAAAAATTTACCCACGCGATCAAATGCCCGTGCTAAATCTCAAGGTATTCATTGACGTGCATGACCTCAACCAAATGGTAATCAATACCCGAACTCTCGTTTGGCCTTTTGTTCCGAAACCACTATGCTAAATTGATTCTATCTAAATGCTGGTAGCAGTATGTGAATTGGTACATCGCAAACTTTTTGAGGAAAACCACTCGTAAGAAAAAAATCACTTTGGGTATTCAACACTAACGGCGCAAATTAGTTTATATTATATTGACTAATATTATTTATTTTTCATATGGCAATCGTAAATAACGTTTCTCCGCGTATCGTACTTTTTCATATTAATGAAAACGACATCGCTAAAGCTACCCGGCTGATGTCCTTGTAATAAGATACAGTACATGTATGTACCATACACCTAACCTCAAGGATCTGTCCCGAAATGCTAAATGCAATCAAATGCTTATTACGTGTTAATATTATAAAAACTAAATTTCGTAGTTAGCACTCTAAGATAAATTCTTCCAAATTTTCCACATCATCTCGACACCTCACCCCATCACGAAATACAATCGACTAACAGGCGGTCACTCTTTGTCGCTCGTTTTATCTATCGGGTGATTTTGAAAGGCCATCTGGCCGCTAACGGCACTTGTACGGCAATGTTTTGTAGGCGCTGGCGCACGTGCCACTTTTCGACGCTTTTCTCTCTTTTCGCCGCCGTTTAATCCTTTTATTGCTAGTAAGCGACAGTTGTCCACCGAGGGACTCGCTCGGGTTGTTTGTTTCATATAAAATATACTCCTGACTAAGCTCGCTTATAGATATCAATGCAGTTTCGAATTTATTACATTTCTAACAGCCGCTATCACTGAATACGGAAAAGATTAGCTTAACCGTCTTAACTCGAGAGATTCAAACTTGAAGGAATACCGCCCCGGATGCATTAATCGCCTTATTGCGTTATAATCATAAAAAGGAAACTATTTCAGCATTAACGTTGAATTAATATGAAATATTAATGCTGAATACCAGATATATAGAAAACTGCGTGAACCTGATTATCAATGCCAATACTTATAGCTAGGCCAAGCAGGCATTTTATTTTGATGATGCTAAGTTTTCAGTTGTCAAAATTGATGATAAGTTTTTTAAACCAATATACCATCAGTTTGATCACAGCATAAACCTTCCTGGCAGAAACGTCCGATCGTAAAAATCGTCTTTGTGTAAATTTCTATAAACATTCAAGTCGTAAAATTAATTGACGAATGAGTTGCATTCGTTCCTTTTTAACTTATATTACAAACAAGTAGACGAAAGACTGCAATATACTCTGCGGGTAATTTGGCTAGGCAGACGCGCGCGTAAATATTCAAATATTTATTACAATCACATTATTTATTTATTTAATCCCCGGTTTCTGCAGCGCACATGAATAGCTAATACCGTTATCAGACAGTCGTTCGAAGCAGGTGCCCGCTCGCTTCTCTTGTCAAACATAGCGGGTATAATTGTTTCTTCGTATCTCTCTACGATGCATGCGGCAGATGCCTTGGCTGCGCTATATGTTTGATTAAACAAAAGCTCGGCATGTACTCAGGCCATGAAAGGTAGCATTTATCTTCGCAAAGACAATGAACACGACAGGATCTCTTTGCTTTAATAATAGCTAATCCAATTTCAGAGGCCATTCTACAACACGTATGCAATTTGCTCACTTGAATAAGTAGCAATTATCCTTGGACTGTGACCTAGGCCAAATAATTGACAAAATCCTATTTAATTGGCAAAATCCTATTTAAAACAATGAACCGGATAAAAAAAAGTCGCAACATGTAGTTTTTTAAATGCCCTCAGCTTGTGCAGAACAAATTGAGCTCCAACTGGATGTTTGTCTACGTTGACGACTGCGAACTCCCTGCACTTGGTCTAGACAGGTCTATTTTTCCTAAATATCTCGAATGTATTAATTTCAATGATAACAATATAGGCTCACTTGCGGTATCGCTCTGACAAACTGATCGTAATAAATTTCAGATTTGCGTGATAAAATCGTACCTTTGCTGTATGCAAGAGGCAAGGCATATCAGAGTAAAATTTAAAATAAAATGAATACTTCACTACTTTCACCTTGGTCTATATATGTATGTCTTGACAACGACAATACCATATTGTGACACACATATTGACATGGTAATTCATTTTCGCACGACCTGTTTCGGGGTTCGTTGCTCGGCATTGTTTCCGAGCAAAAAACATGTGGATTGTAATCAATTATATCTTGCGTCATGACGACAAAAAAATTCTAGTTGCCGGGAAGTCGTTGTGCTCTCACGTTCTCTACTTTCAAGTCAAATCGCATACTGATAAAAAAAAAAATTTGACCTGTATTCTGATACAGTGGAATGACTGGAATACTTTTTGTCTGCGAAAATCAGAAGTCTGCCATGCCACAGAGTATACGCGTAACTCGCTCGCTTCTAGCTGACTATCGTTCTGCATTCTTATTCCTGTTGCGAAAAACAAGCACGGTGCGGACAACAACTAGGAACTGTAACTCCGTGGGACAAGTCGGACATCCCTACTGAGATGTCTGAAAATTTTTCTCCACAAATCATTTCCACTGTGAATTAGGAAGGTCTATACAAAGTTTGTTTAATTCTCCGGTATGGTCGTCGGGTCTATGACTTCTGAAAAACCTTTACGGCACGAATCAGATTTTCAATGCTTCCTATAACTAACAATTTGCTTTTAACCTGTCCGAATCAAAAGCAAATCGTCAAATACAAATTTATCACAGGCACTATGTTGCAAATCAGCCGTAGTGCATAAGATTTTCTTGCAAAAGTATCACTTCCACTAACGTGTGTGTGCCTATTTCGTATTTTATTGCAATCAAATATTGGCGAAGATCGATGATGTTATCAACAAGAATGTGAAACTTATCTTGACATTATCTTTTTACATGCATTGAAATACAATCTATGATTGTATTGTATCCAAATGAAAATTCATTCATCTTCTAAGTACTTTCAATATTACCATAAGGTGGTACAGGAAGAAATTCCCGCTCGATAACCACGATAACAAAAATTGGTTTAATTAATATATATATGTTGCAAATTTCACTTTGTCACCGCTATTAAATAAACACCGAAACCGCAAAAAATCTTCATTCCCCGATTGACACACAAACTCATATCACGCTTAAAAATTTATGTTAAAATCAAATCAAAAGGGCTAGCATCAAAATGGTGCATTTCAAGGGCAAAACTATGATTTCTAATTCTGAACAAGTCTGCTTATCTGATAGTCTGCTTGTTCTTGCTGTAAAAAATAATCATAGTTTGTCAATCCACGAGTAATGGTTCGTAATGAAACTATTATACCAGCTACAAGATGAATAATTGATTTTTGGGGGTTTTAAAGTGTTGTTACAGCACATAGTACTCAGCGTTTATTATTTCTGAAGGGCCACTTATTGAATAGAGTGGAAAGTACTGCATATCTTGTAGTGGATCTTAATTGATCCATAAGAATACACAATGTTGTTATACACTGTGTTATTGTTTAGTAATGTTTGTATATTGATGTAGTATTCTATGAAATATGTTGCAATTAGATCGTTTCAGCTGTTCTCGCTCGAAACAAAATATTTGATGATTCCCATAGCTCGATAACTTATATCGAAGACAAATGGTTTTATTCTCTAGTTTAATCGGGTCCGTCGACTTATCTTTTGCATTTGAAAAAGTCGACGACTATATTGGACAGTTATTTTGCAACCGCGTCATGAAACGTCAAAACAAATTTATCCTTAGTGATTTGTTCAGAAATTAACACCAAAAATTTAAAAAAGTTTCAAATATGATCTTTCGTTAAAATCATACCAGGAATTACAAAAGATATTCTATTGACGATTATAAAATCAACAAAGCATTTGTCCACACGTGCCACATACAAGACAATATCGTATAAATGACACAATGAACTAACACAAAAAAGCCGTAAAATTGATTGATTATTGTAATTAGTCGGCAATTTTGACCCGCCCCATGTTTCGTCGTCACATACTCGAGTGATCAATTATACCATTCTCAATTTGAAAATATTCAATGCGACATGTAGAATCATATAAACAGGCCATTGGTGTAACAAATCAGCGAGAATTCACTTGCCTCAAGTTTATATTGGACGAATCTAAATTCCTGCATAGGATAAAAATGAAAATGAGAAATATTAGAGTGTGTGTGCATCTTTTTATGCGTAATTTGTGAGGATGGATTTTAAATTAACGAAGAAAAATAATATTGTTCACTACACCAGTGAATTATTGCTACTAAAATGTGACATATTTGTTTATACCATGATAGTCCGTATTTACCACCGAAAATCCTATATGAACTATTACATATCAAGGTTATTTTTTAATTCAATGAAATCATTAGGTTTGCAGTAAATTGCCAATGAAACAAAGTAAATTTGCTACAAAATGATTTAGCTTTGTGAATGTGGAAAATTATTTTTTCTGAAGTAAACCAATAAATAAATATTTTTCATTTTGTTTTTTAAATCATTATATTTTTTGCAATTTAATTCATTTCATTTAGTAGCAGAGGGACTATAACGTCTTAGTCGTATAAACATAAAGATGCGCGTCTATAAATAGGGTGATTAGATTTTGACGCTCTGCGAAATTTTACAGACATAACTTTCAAACTATACATGTGTTTAAAGTAAACTCGTCGCATCTGTTGTTTCTCATCAACTCTATCCGTCTGACAAATTGTTACAATGAGTTGTACAATCGATGATAAAGTAGAACCGAAAAATATTATAAAAATTGATGGGAAAACAAGACGATTTTTACGTAACATTCACTCCAAATAGGACAAATAGTATATCATATTTGCTTGGTCACTTTTATTATTTTACAGACACAATTTTCATTTACACGACAATCCTATGTTTTAGTTTTTGCTTACATATCGTTAATGTTAAACGCAGAATGGCATACAATTTTGTAATGAATAAATGGATAGGCAGCTGCTAAACCGTTACTGATAAATGCTTCAGCCACCGCCAAATCTAGATATTGCGCTGGGCAGAACCCTCTCGAGAGCAATCGAATATTTGTTGCGGTTAATTTTAAAATTGATTCTAACGTTGTCACCTGCCGTTTCAGTGCGTAAGTACGCTACGCTTGCTCTTTTTGCGTTTGTCGGCGTAATGGAACTACTTATGGACGTCACCGAGTTTATATTATCGGTTATCACACACAAAATGCATTTTTTGTATTTCACAGATATAACCAATCGTACATAACCCAAGACGTTTTGTATATTTTGAATGTTCAACTTGTGATGAGTTGATAGCATGAGTATGCATTAGCATGATATGACCCAGCGGAGCTACTTTGCGATTTCTATTCGTGGCGAATTACGCAATTATTGCTTTCGGAGTTACATTATGAGCCAATAGCAAGGGCGACAATAAAATTTGACAATCTTTTCCGATTGGTGTTATTAACCCGTCCCCCCTCATATGACGTTACATGTCACATGATTGTAGAGTTTTTAGAAATTTTATTCAGGTATTGAAAGAAGTAAAACAATGAGGGTAAATTATATTCCATTCGACAATGGGGAAAAAAGGTTATATTTGAAATACGATTTTAAACACGACAGTTGTACTTCGAATCTGTTCCAATCGAGTCACGCAGAGGTCGCTGTGATAATCGAGAGAAACCAACATGTGTCGCGTGCCGTTCTTATCGATCATATTATTTGTTCAATAACGCCATGGATTGGATTAATTTATCGCCTATAACTAGATTATACACATCGGATATGCGTGGGTGCATACGTCCAGATTAAATGTAATAAAAATAGTTTCCTAATCTACTGGCTTATTTTAATGCTCTTGCAAGGCATGTTTAGGTATATGCATATACTAAGAAAACACATTTTCGATAATGACACATACGTAACTGAAACTACCAATAATGGTAATTTGATTTCTGCATGAAAATTTCCATATTTCATTGAAATATATACATATCATGTCATACAACCATGATATTTAGGTGAACGGAATCGCCTGTGAATAACTGCATTGCTAGGCATACTTATATAGCCTACTCATAACTAAAAAAAAAGTTCACTGTAAATAAATATGGAATAACAGCCAATTTTGCATATGCAAACGTACCTTTTTGTCTACAAATCTCCCAAGCAAATCGGCTGTTGCACAGGTTACAACTTGTCCATTTTCGGTGTTGGTGGTCAATTTCTTTATATTGCCGCTTTCTAATAATACACTGTAGTATAGCCCGGCGAAACAAAGTAAAGTTGTGATCTCGTTTTGTTTAGAAGCGGTACCACAATTTATATCACAATAAAAACCGCAATTATTGAAAACCTTTGAGACTAAAAATGACGATCAAACAACTTGAGGTCGCCTTACTTTTCCACTCCAGCTTGTTAATGTACTGGTAAACTGTTGAAGAGTGATTTTGAAGTCTCAAGTACTTCTTTGAATCCAACTCAATAAATCGTGTTGTTTATATGTTTGTTTGTATGAAATGAGAATTTTAGATGTAATAGGTGTTGGCGAAATAAATTCTTTAGCGTTTTATTTCATAGTCTTTAGTAGTGATGAAAATAGAAATAACTAGTCCTAGAGGGAATTTTCAAACATTAAAATTTTTGATTATATTTACTTTTTATTTGCCATTTACCCCTGGTATGAGATGATAAATGTGAATGGAATCAATCAAATAATGCAAACTATTACGTTCTACGTGTTATTAGGTATTAACTATCTTATAATATAGGGTGAAATTAGGTTAGTTTCAAGTCAGAAGCTCGTTAGCCCGAAATCATCCAAATGATGTCATCCCACAAATTTCTCACGGTACCGATGACGCCGATTAATAGCAATTCACCGCTAACAATAAGATGAAACCCAATATAGCTGGCGGCACCTAGACCGCATGTAAATCGTCGTCAACTAGAAAACTCGTCTCAAGTATGTCCCTCGTTCTACCTAATGGGTATTTTTGCTGCCCACTCCGGTGACTAAAAGCCACTTTAAGGATGATATACAAATATAACATTTTTTTTAGTAAAACTGACAAATGTGACGAAAACTTTCAAGTGCTCTCATGCTGAGCTAACATGAGAATATCTGCCGTTCATGAATAAATTACATTTTCAAAATATAAAAAAATATGTCAACTCACTATACTTCTGTTTATAGGTATTCTGTGCCTATGTGCTACATTTGTCTTACATGCTAAATGTCGACTTCCATAGGTGTTTGTTCAATTCTTTACTAATTCAAAAAAAAAAAATACTTCTAAGTATAAATCTTAAAATATGCCATGGGATTCGTGAGACAAGCGATAATTTTTAATGGTTCGTTTTTTAAAACATCGGGTACAAAGTACGTTTATTACTATAAAAAATGCTAAAATGGTCTTCTGGTGCGACATCTCTTGTCGACAGAATACACATTGACTGTTTGAAAGTTGCTGTTAAGCATGCATTCACTGGTTGAGCAAAACAAGTTTGTAATACACAAGGTACAAAGTACGTTTCTTGCTGTGAAAGATGATGCGATAGTATATATTTGCAACATCATTTGTCGATTATAGATTGAACGCGGATTTACAGATTGATCTAGTGTACTCAAGTCTATTATAACTATTCTAGTAAACTTGAAACGATAAAGTAGCATTTTGATATTTTCATAAATATAGTAAAGTCTAACCGGACCGGATTTAAAAAGATATGATTAACAGAGCATATGATAAATTTACGAAAACATCTGATTCATTATCCGGAATATATACAAAATTGCATTTAATTATAAAAATATTGTTTTTTTCTGTCTGCAATGAATAAATGAACGATTTTTTTCGTTGCCTAGCTTTATGTATCGGGGCCACTAAACAATTAGAAAACCAACAAACATAATTCGCTTTCCTTGGATTTCTGATTCTTTGAGTTTTCTTTACAATGACACTTTCTTTCATATCATTCTGGCCTACGCTGATCCTGGGACTTCTTGCCGATGCAGACTATAGGACTATTTGGACTTCACTTCAAAACCAACAAATAAGCCCTATCGTACGTGTAGCTCATTCTAAAATATTGTTTTGTAGTATAGACTCTTTGAATACTAATATCTCTATTCGAATAACGTGAGCCATTCTACTCCGGGAATTCAAATCAGCAACATAATATGTAATTTCGCTTATATTTTTGGCCTTAGACAGATTTTGTCTCAAACAAGCGAGCTCACTCATAATTCTGGTTTGAGACTATTGTCTCATTTTTTTAATTAATCTTTATTGCGGCCCGGTTTACAGTTGACTCGCGCGCCAGTCCTGTACCATTACTCACATAACTGCGCATGATACCGTATCACCAACCATATTATTATTTTCTTTCCAATTCTGTCACATTTAATTAAATTATAAAATATTTATAGAAGATGTTCCAAAGTTATCATCTATTCCGTCCCATAAGCCAAATAACAAATTGTGTCACAATGTCAAAAATTATAGTAAAATTATACTTGCATAGTTCAACAAGCGTGAACTATCCAAAGTGTATAGAATCACATCGCTTAATTGTTAAATAGTCAATATTAATAATGCCGATAAAAATGTTATATATATGCTCGCTCAATACAAGGCCTCGAGCACTAACTATAGAAGTTGAACTGAGTAAATTCGCAAGGGACCACTGACGTGCAAAAATAGCAATAAGTCAAATATTATTGAAAGAGTGAGACGGGGGCGGTGCGTGTTTACAGAAGCCCGTTTCTGGCATGTTTAATTAAATTTTTCATTGTTAATATGTAATGAAAAGTATCATCTTTTTTTCGCAAATATAATCACTGTAAATTTAAAACATGACATATGGGCAACTTACTCAGCGGTTTGGTTCCTGATTTGGAATTAACCGATTTCTGAATTGCCAGTAAAATGCTACAAAACGAGTTTATAAATGTTTCATAAAAGCAATTGTGAGATCAGGTAAGAAATCGTGAATTATGAACGTAAAATTAGCCAGCAGGGCAGTCAATCATAAAAAATATGCAAAACGTAAATAGTTTCTTATGAAAAAAATAAGTATGTTCGACTTATTGTTATTAAGCGTATAATTTAAAAAAAATTCAAAATTCAAAACATAATATTTGATTTGACTTGTTGGGTTTCACACTATTTCTTAAACCAATATTGATATATTATATAACGGTAAATGAATAACGATATATTGTATTCATTCTAATGCAGGAGCCACTTCAACATCTATATCAGGTGTAATGAAGTCTACTTCCTTCACACTTTTTCCTAGTGATTCAGTAATTATTCGTGATTTTTTTCCACAATATGTCTTCGAAGCAAACGCACCGAGAAAGGATAAATATCGCCGATATAATTTCTTCTCTGGATCTTGTCCGAGCTTATACTATGAAAACAAATTATTGAAAAAGGTTTTTCAGTAAAAATCCAAACGAGATCAAAATTTAAAAGCGATAAAGCTCTCAAGCGACATATAATATCCTATGAGTGTCTAAAACGGGCAAATGAAATTACCTATAATGTCATAACAAATTGAGAGCCAATGTGCCTTATTCATGAAATAATATATAATGTCGTATCGAAGTTGGAGTATACAATTGTTCACAAAGGTTAATTAAATACGAGATAGTAAGTACAAATGTGTGTATATACGAATAAAAGTATGAATCCAGCAAATACAATTAAAACTATGAATCCATCAACTTTGTTTATTAGTAGCAAATATATATCATGAAGACAATATTGGTTCCTGTAAATTGATAATATTGTCGTCGGTAATGAAGCTATTTCAATATTTTAACATAATATTTTAACGCTTAGATTCAGTCTACAATCTACAACACGTTGTTGCTTGGTGTAGTTGGGTCCGTTTGCTGAAAGTATTTTGCGAAGGTGAATTAATCCTTTTCATTTTTTTGTCGTTTTTGGTAAATATAACAACATTGGTTGATATCATAATCATGGAGAATAATATATTATATCCTGGATCATGGGTGTCATTGAATCATTATTCCTATATTAAATATAGCTTTGTTCCCATAAATTTTTCATCTATGAAATTATATACCAACGACCCGATATATACGTTCTCAATGACAATACTTTGTTTAATATCTTTTTTTATGAGGATCCTTTTATTCAATGGTTTGTTAAAAGAAAACATATCATGGTACATCATAGATTTGTATATGTAATATACTATATAATGCGAATTCAAGTCATATTAATTTCTATTAAAATAATTCCTGAAGGAATACAGATTTCAAACATTGTTAATTATATTGAAATAACGATCATTTTAATAAATCCCAAATTAAAAAAAAGGGGTTTTATTAAATATAAAAGATTTTAATTATATTTGGGTACTTTGAAAAAGGCGGCTGAGGCTCATCAACATTACTCTCACAACTTTGCCTTTGACTAATTTATATATGAGATGAATATATTTTTTCTGGCTATTTTACATTGCATAATAATTTACCATTAAAAAAAATTCATATAATCCTTTGAATGTCGGATTTGAATCCCCGAAAAAGGATCCTGATATTCCATGTACTGCTCCTGCTCCATTCGTTTCTGCATCGTCACATATATTACCATCGTCAGTGCAAAAATTATTCTTGAAATTCCAAGAGCATGGAAGTTGATAAAGCAGATCTAAAATATTGTGTTCATAAAATTAAGTGAATTTTAGAAAAGCAGGAAATTGAGAAAAAATATCTATTTTCAAATAGTTAATTATGGTTGGTTCACATACAGATTGTGCGACAACAATAAGGATTTAACTTTATCTTTCCGACGAGTGAATTTGCCGTCATAATTCGCGCCAAAACAGTCACCTGTTATTCAAATACAAACAAGGCCCATTGTAAGTATTTTATGTCCACAAGTAACTCAATACATTGCTAAAAACGCGTGAATTTAACTGTGATCCACAAGTTACATAATAACAATTATGTTTTGAGAACACCTGTGTGATTTAAGTTGAACGTCAAAGTAAATTGAGATGCTTTATGGTAATGGCGTAATTATGTTGAATTATTATTTTATTAAATTCTGTAAATTTGTTATATTTTTAATTAATATAAACATCATTTTCCAGGCAGTATAATGAAATCATTAATTGTTGACGTGAAAAGAAATCGCTCATGACAAGTAAATTATCACGTAACAATTAAGTGCTTTCAAACGAATTGAATTTTCAGAAATTTGGCTCGAGTTTCTGAATTTTTTGAGGTGACGAAACCCAACAAGAATGAAATTACTAAGTGCCTGGTGGTATTGCTAAATTTTGAAAAACAATACATCATGGATATTTGAACATGAAGAATTTCAGAACAATTAACTTCAATTAATGTTATAATTGCCTCAAGCATCACCACACGTATAATTGTTATCACATTTTAGTTTCAATTATTATCAATTCTTTGAGTGCATTGTACTTATAAGATAAAAGATAATGCCACTTTTGTGTAAGTAAAAACTAAAAATAACTATTGATCTCATATGGTGCCAATAAAATCACATATTTAAAGTAATGTAATTGTTGGGAACTTTTTTGCGAATTGTATACATTTCATTTGACGCTTTCCCCGTTCATTTTCTAATGAGAAGCCAGCATTAACTTCAGCCATGTTGGGGTAATGGAGTCGGAATGGAAAATTCAATTCCATACAGCGAATGTCAATCATTTCTGATATCTTAAATTATTTGCCGAAGTATGAAAGGACTTTACAGGTTTGCAATCGTAACAAAAAATTCTCGTTGAAAAAAAAGTAAATCGTTTTTGAACTCTTTCCAATCATTGGATGACCCTGATTCGATGAATCCTATTTATACATTTTTTTTTTCATATAATTTGAATATATGTATTCATATGTGTATTAAAATGTTAAATAGCGCAGTAAATTTTACGCAAAAATACCCATCAATTCGATTTTATATTATTAATATTTGCCATTATGCCATTTATTATAGGTGTCGCGTCTGTGGTGCGCAAAAGGTACTAAAATATCATGATACACCAAATTGAAGAGCCTTTGACAGGAGCTGATGTGTGTTAACACGACATAATGAAGATGGTATAAAATATTCATGCGTTTGAATACAAATAAGCAGTCTCTCGAGATGTTCGAAGAAGCGAAACCACTTAACGCTGAATTGAACCTATTGTGTAAGCTGCTGTAACAAAGTCTTTGTAAATTCATTGACATTTTACAGAAAATCGCTTTCGTGATTCTCTGAAACAATACTTGTATTTATTTACAGTTTGTTTAGGCTGGTTGGTGCAGGGTTGACCATGCGTAATTGATCAGTGACAATATATTTACGCTACTTAACAATAATATCACCACGAAGCTATAATGCGACAGCAATGCCGTGAACGCAAATTATAAATAGCCTTTGTTTGTGGCAAACAACAGAATATCTGGTCATAATAGAGTTCGGTAATGAAATCTAAATAAAATGACACAATATAATAAAAAAAAAATAGTGTAGGCATCTGTCATATTGGCTAGATCGCATTAGAATATACTTGCAATTTCCACATTAAATTTATTATCATTTTTTATTGTAATATCAACAAGCCAAGCGTGCCTCCCCAGTTGAAGAACAAAAAGAGATTTATTTAATAGTCGGTATACGCACCTGACACTGGCATAAATTGTCGTATAATCATTTGATAATAATGACAATTTTACGTCTAGAAAAAGCATGCTTATACCAAGAAAGCGGCAGTGTATAAGTCATGAGTATTTCACGCAAATTGACACGGTCGGGCCTGTTTACTTTATACTGCTTCGTTGCCAGGGATCGCGGTTACGTACGCGACATTGTGCATAAATGACAATCTTCGTAATACGTCGCAATTTAAAATGATTTGATTGGTCGAATTTGTCGTCAAAAGTCGTCAAAATAAAACGGGAATTTAGCAAAAAACTTACCAATTCTCAATATAAGTTTTTCTTTCATAGTTGTGTCAAGAATAAACACATATATGAATGAAACATCTGACAACTAATGGATGACAATAGGAAAATCGTTTTAAACAGCTGGGAACTGCCATTTGCCCAGTTGGGCAACAAGTTACAAAAGTCCCGTAGGTCCGTTAGCCCGTTCTTAGGTCAAGTACTCTAATGCGTGTCCCCTGAGGCAGACTCCAAACTTAATAGGTAGACCTTGCGGATTGTATTTTATTTTCGTGCTATTACTCGCGTGCTGGCAATTAGAGGAACAAACCGCTTTTATGTTTTGAAAGCGAAAATGAGAACGAGATCAGGTTTTGTGGTTTATTTTTCCTAGTAGCCATATGCTAGGCTCGCTGTCAAAGGTCGTGCATTAACTGGATATAGCACACCATATGCCGCGTGTGCCAAACTGACATCGAACTATTTGCTAAACATCGGCAAAGATAAAAGATATATAAAGGCGATTAAGCAGTTTCTGAAGAAGGATTAGAAGCGACACTCAGCTCATAAACTGACGAAAAAAGGTCATCTGCTCTTGATTGAGTGTTAATGGATAAATGATTTTCATTTAAACCGATGATTCAAGAAGCGTAATCTAAGTACGAGAAATTCCCGCCCTTTTCATTATCATTAAATTTTAATAAGAACGTGACTTGAGATTAAAACGACATTTATATTCGCGCGCCGAAAATTGCAAATTGTCTGTCTATATTTCCGATTACTCTGGTTCTCAAAAAAGTACCAATTTCTTAAATGCCAAACGTCAACGTGTCATTCTTCCCTGTGAGAAAAGGATTGAACACACAAAATGAGACTTTGTCCCGGTCTAGTTATCACTAGTGTATAGCGTTACAAATCTATTTTATTCATTGCACACCTCTTACCAGAATTAAAATGAAACATTATATTCAACAACTTCTGATCATGTTCAGCTTCATCCTTATATTTTCTATAAAAATTCAGCAATAAGTCAGCTCCATATTTCGATGTGGATACTGTAAGATCGTCCACATCATGAAACATTTTCCAATCAGCTCTTAGTATTCTCGTGAAATTCAACACCATTACCTGTAATACATCAAACAATAACACATTCAAATGATTACATTAATAAATTTGCACAGAGGTTTAATGAAGATTACAATGCTCTTTTTTATGTCCTCTGATATACTAAATATATATACTATTATTATTTCTTTATGTTCGACAAAGAATGCAGGCAAATTGGCTGAAACATCTTCTATTTTTCTGGTACCCGGAACTTTAAGCAATATAGTGTCAACCTACACCGGAATTTATTTGAAACATTTTCCCGTTTGAATCAGATATAAATTTTTCATTGCTCTTCGGTACACTTATCGGATGACCCGACGTGGATGAAATACCCGCTACATGGCGCTCGTTCATCAATTTCAACTGTTTCCAAAGTTCATCAATCGGTTTTACGAAAACAACGTCGCTGTCACAGTATATTGCGGCGTCAGTGATGTTTTTCAAAATCATCTAAATTAGATTAATATATTTTTAAAATAAAAACGTATTTACTGCAAACACCACTTATTCACGAAGCAGTTGTTGGTGAAATTAGCAATCATAAAACGCATTGTATCACACGATAATATTCACCGGTGACATTATATTTAAAGTACTTGATTTCACTTGGTTTTCCGAAAGTTCTTATCATTAGTAAAAGGTATATAGATAAAAAAAAAACAATTCCTCGTTATTCAAAACATATGAAGGTTGCTAATCTAATGGCTTTTGGGACAATATGTCACATTGAATCCGTAGCCTAGCCTAGAGAAGGGAACAGTTTCGACGCGCTAAGAAAATTATAGGTTCGTATTACGGGATTTACTGAAGCGTTAGACAATGATATTCCACGCTGTTCACTTGCTCAGATGTGTGTGATTTTGGGGAGGAAGTATAAGAGGGCAGAATGAAAGTGAAAAGATAGTGGGGGATTCGATAAAATACTATATATGAAGAGGGAACAGTTTGAAATATTTCAAATATATACGTGTTTTTCTAGTATTCTTACTGGAAGAAATAGCCTAAAAGATCCACATGGCTTGTACCAGCGTTTCCATTCATTTATCAATTCCTCTGGAAGTTGGTTTGAATAATCAGCAGAATATATTGAATACTTTACACGTGCTTGAACTTTGATGGGCCAAGATTTTATCTAAAAAATGACAAAAGTAATATATGACATATGGCGTAATGTTTTTGTCGTTGCTCTGATGTTGCTCATACTACATATTATGCAAATAAATGGGGTGCAAGCAATCTCCACATCAGAAAATTCTATCTTTCAATATTGTATTATAGTATTATTACGTCAAGTCATGTCATGACTTTTCATTACAGCCTTGAGCTCCTCAAATTGTTTTAAAATGCAACTTATTATTCAATATACGTGTGGCATTAACACAGGTATTTTTCATATTTATAACAATTGTATGACGTCACCGCAGAGATGAGCCCCACAGTTGGGATTTGGAACTAACATAGCCTACCTCTTCTTCAAACAAACCCTTTATCTCATCCTCTGTGAATATATGAATATGTAATGGGGATTTGGCAAACATTGAAGCTGATTTGATCATTGTTAAACTTTGGTCCAATGGTTTTGAGAAATCCTGAAATATATATTTATATAACATGAATTTGTGACTGTTAATTTGTTAAAAATAGAACATGCATAGTCTTGCTACATTTTGCGTTTTAATAATAATAATAATTTTTTGCATGATTCTCCATTACGCGAATCACTATATTATGGCTGGAATTATGAGATCCAATGTAAACATAACATGATAGGATCCACAAATGACTGCGGCACACTTTCACGGTTTTTATAAATTAAAAGCATAGTACCTTGATTCCAATATAGCCTGGTCTTCCACAGGATACGACAGCAAGGTGCATCGTTTCCGGTACAGTGAACTTTTCAATGCGATCGAACGTAAAGTAGCTGTAAAATATAAACCCGTTGTGATGCTATAACAAAGCCTCAATACTAAAATGTTTGCATAGATTTCATCAACTCAACTCACCGCATTTCTTTTTCTTTGAAGAGAATCAGGCATATAGTTGAAATAATAATAAGAAATAAGAACATTACTGGCCTCCACTTGATCTTCCATGCCATGTAATAGGGCTGAAACAAATTGTTTTGCTGTTTTACATTTACTTTCGAGTGGAAAATTTTCAATTTCCAAGAGAATATGTTTATAAAAGAAACATTGGAAATCTAATAGAGTTTCTAAGAGATAAAAAACCGCTCTCATTGTATTGAATTGCAAAGCTATTGCAATGACTAGTTTGACATAGATTTGACATACCATTTTGATATTTGCAATATGCCTGCGGCAATTTTGTATACGCCTGATGTCAATATTGTATTAAATGCCAATGGCTGTCCATCATATTATAAAATGTTGTTATTCAAATTTCATTTCAAACGACTCTTCCTTTATTTAAATGTCATGTAGATCTTAGTAAGCTTTTGTGGCTGGTTTGCAGTAAAATATATCGTTTCATAGTTCAAATAAAACATTGTCTATCTGAGTTGCAAAATTTACTGTACAATATAGTATAGTATAGTATCGAATCCCCCACTATCTTTTCACTTTCATTCTGCCCTCTTATACTGCCTCCCAAAAAATCACACACATCTGAGCAAGTGAACAGCGTGGAATATCACTGTATGATGATCATTGTCTAACGCTTCAGTGAATCACGTAATACAAACCTATAATTTTCTTAACGCCACAACGTACCCACGGGCTATTATTATGAAATGAGAAGATAACCAACGCCGACGTGAATGTGGACGCTCGTGGTGATAAAAAGAATTAAAACTGTAACAAAAACATGAATATTCATCTGTAGCTTACCGGTGATTGACTTTGGCCCTATTTATTACTTTTCCACTTCAAATGTAAATGTGACATTCTTCCTCCTTCAACCAAACTCACACTCTTCTCACACTTTTTCTCCAAGAATACTACATGTCTAACAACTTCTTTGCGTCAACCCTTTCGAAATATAACGGTCAAGCTATTTTTGTGTATTTTTCGCCAAAACCGTAACTGCTCATTGCCATTAACTTGTTTCTCAGCAATCTTTCACGCGACATGTCTCAGTACCGACATGACTGTTGAATTGTGTATTAATTCTACACTACTATTTTTTCTTGTTGATACTGGTAGTCCAGTTACATTGTTATCGCGTCACTTTTATCGCAAATATTTTTCTAATCTGAAATTGATGAAACCTACAATAATTCTTACATCCTACTCCAAAATCAAAATTAACTTGTTCGGTTGTTTCCATGCTAATCTTTCTTACAATGGTAAATCCTGCAATAGTATTAGGGAGAAAGAAGGTCTTTCATTGCTGGAACGTGATATTTTATATGTGAAACTTGATGGTACAAGTATGTCTGTGATGCATACTGATACAAATGCTTCCTACAAATTGCCAAAAGGCTTAGGGTCTGAATTTGTTAAATATGCTGAATGTTTTGAACCTATTGCTGGCACTATTAAAGGGTTTGTGCATGAAGTAAAAATGAAAAAAGATGCTAAATCATTCCAACAAAAGTTGAGACGATTACCTTTTTCTATCCGTGATGGTGTTACTGTTAAATTGAAACAGCTAGAAAATGCTAATATAATTGAAAAGATTAATTCCTCTGAATATATTTCACCAGTAGTCGTAGTTCGAAAGAAGACTTAAGAAAAGTTAACGAAATGATTGTGGTTGATGAATTTCCTTTGCCTACAGTATATGAAATATTTAGTGAAACGCATGGTGCCAAGTATTTTTCAACATTGGATCTTGCTTCTGCTTATTATCAATTAGCTTTAGCTGAGGGAAGTAGAGATTTAACTGCTTTTGTTACACGTGATGGTTTATTTCGTTTTCGTTGTGCTTGTTTTGGTTTAGTCTCTGTTCCTAGTGATTTCCAAAAGATGATGGTATCTGTTCTTGAAGGTTTAAAAAGTGTTAAATGTATATATATACTTGATGATATTGTAATTTGGGGTCGCACCAATCAAGAACATGATGCTAATTTACATAAAAATTTTGAACGACTTTTGAAGCTTGGTTTCAAATTGAATGATAAATGTGGGTTTAATGTTGACAAAATTGATTTTTTTTAGACATGTTCTTACTACTCAGGGTTTAATGCCACACCCTAAATTGTCTAATGCTATATATATATACTGGATGCTCCCTCCCCGCATGATACTACTTCTTTACGTTCCTTTCTTGGTTTGATTGGATATTATTCTAAATTTTGTCATAATTTTGTTGAACCAATGAGACGTCTTTTGCGCAAAGATGTTACTTTTTGTTGGAATACTGATGCTCAGAAAAGTTTTATTGCTACTAAAAAGTGTATTTCTGACCATATTACGCTTGCTTTTTATGATCCTAATTTGCCTATTATAATTACTACTGATGCTTCTGGCTATGGTTTGGGTGATATTTTGAGTCAGATTGATGCAAATAAGACTGAACGTGTTATAACGTGTGCATCCAGGACACTTACTGAAAATGAAAAAAGTACTCCGTTGGTGAACATGAGGCACTTGCTTGTGTATGGGCATGTGAAAAATTCCATAACTACATCTGGGGTAGAAAATTGAAGCTGCAAACTGATCATCAAGCTCTTACTATTTTGCTTACATCTCAAGGAAATACCCAACAATCTATGAGAGTTGCTCGATGGAATGCTCGTTTGCTACACTATGATTATACAGTGAAATGCAAATCTGGTGCTGAAAATGAATTTGCTGATGCTCTATCCAAATTACCTCTGAATTCTACTGAAAATGTTGATTGCGAAGATGAATACTACGGATACTGATTTATTCATTTCATTACTTGAACTGCTAGAAGCTACATTTAATGATGCAATGCTGTCTAAAATGAAAGGTTACATTTGTAACGGATGGCCTTACAAAAAAGATGTTGCTTCTGCTTTACAAACATTTTATCATGTACGTGTACGTGATGAGCTGACAATTTACAAAGAGTTGATAATCTAGAGTGAAAGAATCCTTGTTCCTAATGCTCTTACTACTAGGTTGATTGACCTTGCACATATGGCACATCAAGCAACAACCACCTGATATCAATGACGGAAGAGTGCACAACTATGTGACAAACTTCCATTTTATTAATTTCCCCTTAGCTACGGGGAAGGTGGCGCTTTTTATCATAACATTTAAAATCGTTGTGCCACTATATAAATTCCAATTACGGTATAACTGGAAAAAATTAACTCGATGCTTACGATAAAAAAAATATCTTTAAATAAACCAGTTTTATTCATCGTTTGCTACTTTGCAGAAAAGTTAAAGTTTGTGTTCATCTATATCAGGGGTCGGGAACCCATGGCTCGCGAGCCATATATGGCTCTTTTGGTGACGGCATATGGCTCCCGAAAAAATCTAATATCCCAAGACTAAGCTTACTATTGTTACGAGATTTCAAACTCTTTTATAGCCAAATTTGGCAGGAAATTCCCAATACGTTTGAGAAGGCGCGTCCAGCACATGTCTATGTTATGTAAGATAATTACCAGACAGGCATTATGACAAACAAGGGGATTCTGGAACATATATTGTGACATCACAAAGCGATAGAGTTTTAAAAACACTACGGAGATACCTAAACGAAAAAAGGCGATGAGTATCGCAATTTTCAACTTGGGCTGCATGTGAGCAACCGTTCAAGGCCCGCAGCGACTACATGCAGCATCAGATAATCACATTAAGTGTATACTGACATTGTATGTGTTGACTTTTGAGTAAACATTTCAGGCCTGATTAAGTGAAGAAATGTTATATGGCTCGCACGGAAATGAAATTGAAAATATTTGTATTTTATGACTCTCTTGACCAAAAAGGTTCCCGACCCCTGATCTATATAGAGGACTTGCACGGGTCACGTGACATTGTTACTGGACGGCAATAAAACAAAAACGTCCATTTGGCTACTGTCAGTTGCAAGTCGGATTATACGTTTGCGTTTCGTTTGTCTGTTGAAAATGGTTATTTTGTTGTTCTGTTGGCTGTACGTATAGTATAGACAACGAAATGGATCTTCAGTAATATTCCACTGATTTCAAAAGATCCTGAACGTCGCGCAATGTGGATATCATCTATTGCCTATTGGCAGAACTGCTTGGTGTCAAGTCCAGAAGCCATCTTACTTGTGTTTCACTGTTTGCGGACAGCACTTCGTTGATGGTGAGTGATAATGTGGTGATAGTGTGCCGTTATCAATTTCTTTAAATATTCACAAGCTCCCTCATTTCAATGGAAAGCAGATGACAAATTACTGTTATCAGTGGGCCTAGTTGCAGACTTGACTTGTGTAAGACAGTAAGGAATTAATAATCAATAATCTAATAATCAACTACTGTTATTAGTAGGCCTAGGCGTGGACCTACTTGCAGTTGCAGACTTGACTTGTGTAAGACAGTAAGGAATTAATAATCAATTGCTGTAAGGTATTGTTTCCCTAATTAGCAGGTAATCTATTACTAAGTGTGAAAGGTTGAATAGATAACTAAAGTTTAACACCAGTGGCCATGCAAAAAATAACCATAATTCAATTGAATTCGCCATCTAGGAATACGCCCGCCACCGCATCTCTGATCACCCTGGTAGTTTCACAGGTTTCAATCCCATGCGGGGATAGTTATGTGATAGAGGATTGCAGCTCCACTCCCACCGAGGGTGGTTCACATGACCGCTGATCGGTTACGACCATTCCCCACCATCCAAGTCCATGCTTCTGAAAACAAATAACTGGCTCCCCCCCAGATAAATCTTATCCTAATGGTGCTTGTACAACTGATTCAAAATGTCTTTTTATTGTCATTGGTGAAAAAGATATGCTACCCGGAATCAAATTCATTTACGACTAGTGGCTGTGGTGGGATATGGATATAAATTTCACACTCCTTGATCGTTAGATTTTATGAAAACTCTTACGGTATCTGTATCCATTATCTTACAGATATGGGTGCGACCATGCAATAGATGGATGGCAAAGTATAAGACCACAGAGGCACAAGACCTCAGCTTGTGTGACTTGATAAATACATCCTCAGTAGGCCTATCCATTTATTGATGCTTATCGTAATGACAAAGTAACTTGTCATTACTGTGGATTGGTGGAGATAAAGTGTCCATTGTGCTTTAACGAAATCAACTTCAAGACGACCCTATCAAGAAAAAAAAATTGTTTCGGTGGGTCTGGTCGTGAAGGTTTCAGTCTAACGTTGGACACCGATACTACAACCAGATACAGTTGCCAATGAAACCTAAGCGAGGCATAATATTGCGACTTTGTGATCTGAAAGGAAATTCTGATGGGTAGCCGGCTAGCCGCAACCTTTTGTTCAAAGAATATTATGAGATACGACTTAAAGAGTCTAAACTTTTATTTGAGAGGGGTGTAGCCCAAGCTAATTTGCAAATAGTATTCATGGTACCAAATGTATCACACACTTTACAGTAATTATAAATTATATTTGAAAAATAAAGCACATCAAAAATGTATTTTTAAAAAACAATTGGTTTTATCTGCAGATACTAGGTTGATATTGAGATTGACCATTTCAATGCTACATTTTCTTCAGTCAAAAGGCACACTTGAAAAATTTGTGAATACGCACAGTACACCAATTTGTCTAATGTTTTGATTCCATAGGCAGGAGGTTGTGGATCGGTGCTGCTCAGGATGGGAAATTTTTGCCTCTAAATGCATATTACGTGTTTCACATGAATCCATCGTGCTCAGATTCGACTGTTTTCAAGGTCTGAAGGCTCCAACAGCCTTATTTTATGGGTATACAAGAGAATTTTCAGTGTGACATGCATGGGTCAGTTGGAGTCACTAACCTCAAGATATTTATAAGCAAGGATAAGATAACCTGGAAGTAACATTCCATAATTTAGAGTAAAAAATGTATCTGCCTCCACAGCCCTTTCGAATGGAAGATATGATGCCTCGGGGGGAATTTCTATCAAATATTTTACAGTATGGTTCTAGTGAAAAGGGGTGTTGGCGGCTTTTTTTTAAAGTGTGGTAGGTCTAGTCGAAAGACACTTTATAAATGTTTATGCTAACAACTGCGAATTAATATTGCAACGCATACAAGTTAACAGAATTTGTTGAAATGGTCCTGCCTTTTGCCTTTCTTCAAAATCCTCCTTTTTCTAACTATTCTCTTCTTCTCTGGGGATGGTGAAAATTTGAATATCGATGGGACATGTGAGCAGCTGATAATGGGTTATCTTCCCTTTTTCCTGAAAATAAATTAAACACTAATCATCATTTGACAGTGCCAAGTTTGTGTATCAAATCAGTAATAAATTACCTGCTAACTAACAAAACAATCAGACAACACCTTCTGACCATTATTTATGAAGATTTGTTTCAATTTAAAACGCAACTATGCCTACCAAGTTTGTAGGATAGAATTTATCTGTGGTTGGGGACAGATTGCAAGGTGCAACATCGTACGATTACCATTCTATGTCGGGATTAGTTAGCCAGTTATTTGTTTTAGAAGCATGGACTTGATGGTGGGGGATGTCGTAATCGACCAGCGGTCGTGTGAACCACCCTTAGTGGGAGGAGAGCTGCAATCCCCTCACACATAACTATCCCCGCATGGGATTGGAACCTGTGAAACTCCCAGGGGGATCAGAGTTGCGGTGGCGAGCGTATTCTCAGAGAATTCAATTGAATTCTGGTTATTTTTTGCATTAGCACTGGCGTTAAACTTTAGTTATCTATTCAAATTTTCACACTTACTAATAGATTACCTGCTAACTAGGGAAACAATACCTTATGGCAATTATTGATTAATACCTTACACGAGTCAAGTCTGCAAGTAGGCCTACGCCTAAGCCTATCAATAACAGTAGTTTGTCATCTGCTTTCCATTGAAATGAGGGAGCTTATGAATATTTAAAAAAATTGATAACGGCACATCATGACTCACCATCAACGAAGTGCTGTACGCAAACAGTGAAACACAAGTAAGATGGCTTCTGGACTTGACACCAAGCAGTCCTGCCAATAGATGATATCCACACTGCGCGACGTTCCGGATCTTTTGAAATCAGTGGAATATAGCTGAAGATCCATTTCGTTGTCTATGATATACGTACAGCCAGCGGAACAATACGAAATAACCATTTTCAACAGCCAAACAAAACGGAAACGTTTAATCCGACTTGCAACTGACAGGAGCCAAATGGACGTTTTTGTTTTATTGCCGTCCAGTAACAAGGTCACGTGACCCGTGCAAGTCCTCTATATGCTAAAGTAAATGCTACAAAATTCGAAAATATTGTATTTTGCTTTTTTTCGTGTATGCATCACGCCATCACAATTGAAGATTGTTGCAAGTTGCAACTAACGCCTGAAATTAGATGAAGAAATTTAGACAGATATTTACAATAACTGCCAATATTTTCTACGCGAGTTTAATGCGCCATCTTTTGAAAAATGTAACTTTTTTTTGAATAATTCAACAATTTAATATAATAAACTCGGCTACGCATAATATGGATATAAGTTTTTTTTTAATTTTTATTTTATTTAACTTTTGAAAATTAAAAATTAATTACGAAATATGAAACACCTTTTTAAACGTATGGGAATTTTTTGTGACTGTCAATGCAAAACAAGTCGTTTTTCTGACGTCTATGAAAGTAGATTTGAGTAAACGCATCCTTTGATTGACTTGCTCAATTTTCCACTGGCGTTCGGTATTCTTCATTTTTGAGTGCTGTTTGGGGAGTTTTGGACGATATTCAGCGCGGGGATTTTCTTGTGAGATCATTTACTTTTCGTTTAAATCAGTCTTCAAAATGGCGTCGGATCACAGTGACATGGAGGAGGGTGAGGTAGTTGAAGTAAAAGAAGAAACAGACCTGAGACAAAAATTGCTCAAAAGGTACCGTATGGGTGCTCCTACGTCTGTCTTAATATTCCTTATATTAATTGAAAAATTGGACAAGATGATTTTATTCTAAAAAAACTAAATGCAATAAATATCTCAAATGGCAAGCATGTTTTTACTGAACGTCTGCACCAACGATTCAATTTTTTTTAATACAGTAATAAGTTGGTTTGAATCAAAACCTTCAACATGACCAACCAAAGTGAGATAGTTGATCATTTGGCTTAGTTATGCAATATGGCACAGCTTGGCAGTACTCTGATTCCAAGAATACGATACCAAAGCCCCCACACTGAAAGACATCAATTATAACAGTCGGTGCAAACCCCTTCTATACGAGACAGTCTGGGCCTCCTTATCGACAATTCCGCACTGCACTATAAAATAGAAAAGGAGCGCGATCTAAAAACGTCACCATTGGATTCCTATTCCCTGGGAAAAAATAATCCGACTTACCGAAGGAAAAAAATATTTACCGTAGCATCAAGAGTTTTTGCAAAAAATTGCAATTTTGGTCTTGGGACGGCCGGCGCATGTCACGATTAATTCATTTTAATATTGAGACAAGCATGGTGCGATCTGACGCATTTGTTGTCGTGCCAGACGCCCTCATTTTAGAGACCAATTGAGTGATTGTTTTATTGCCAAATGTTGGGGCATCTTGGAATCGGAGAACTGTGTTATATGATCATGCACTATTTTCACCCTATATATTGTTTATCAAGCATGTAGCAATGCAAGAATATCTAACTAATATTTCGATTCAACTAGGGAGCGCTTTGATGCTGAAGAAGAAGAAGATGAGGAAGGATTATCAATAAAACCTCCCCCTGTTCCAACTAAGAAACACAAGCATAGGCACAAAAATAAGGAAGAAAAAAAGAAAAAACACAGGAAAAAAAGAAGCAGATCGAGAGAGAAAAAAAGTAAGTATCAATTATTAGTTTTTACTCAAATATACCTTTCAAAAGAATTTTTGAAAATATGAATAAGATTGCGAATTATTTTCAATGAAATGAAATTTGTTCGAACAATTATAATATGTAGTTTGACAGTTTACATGAAAAAAAACAAAATATACATGTTGTACGGGTGGTAGACAAAAAAATTGTTTAATGAGTGAAATATGGTAATATATTACTTTACATATATAATTGATCACAATTGAAATTATTTTACTTGGCAACGTTTTACTCATTTATGCTTGTATATTTCTTCTTCGTGCTATAATAAGTTTTATCTTTTAACTTTTTCCCAAGATTTTTGGTTATGAGGATTGTTTATCTCAAAGCTGTTTTCCTGATTGTATGCACTTAGAGTCTCATTTTAATTGTCATGTAAAACACTACCATAAGTCTATACAGTTGCAGTAGTTCTTGGAATGTCATTGGTCACTTGTAACTCTGATCACATTGGAGTCTTCTTTACATCCAAGTGAGTGCGAGTGTCAATGCTCCGAGCGAAATCTTAGATTCTCACATATTTTGACCAGAATTATATTTTTCCTCTATTTCATATACAGATGAACAAAAATCAAGAGTCACAGTTCTAAAACCAGACGATAGAACTGATCGTAATAAATACCCAGAAAAATATGATGATTACAGAGGAGGTAAAGATGAGAGAAGGAGAAATGACGATAATAGAAATTATGATCGGTAATTAATAATTGAATTGCTGTAGATGGTTGAAATCGTAGCATACTATTTATCTTGTGATTAGATAGAGGTTCATTTTGTAGCAAGATCACCAGCAGGCTTGTCCAAAAAGAATTGAATATTTGAATCGATTTGTACTTGATTCTATTCAACTTAATTTGGATATTTTTATTTTAAATATTCATTTCTGTCACCCATATTTTTTGTAAAAGTTCAAACAAATATATGATAGTTTGATGCAATGTTGTACTTACTTACCTTATACCTAAAAATAGTCACCATTTTTTCTTAATTGAAAATTGAAATTCCAAAATTGATAGATTAAGCTTTTTAGCTATCTTTTTATATCATACATTAACGCCCAATTTTGTGTTGTTTTAATTAGTGGTAGAGGAAACACAAATCGTCAACCTAGGATTCATGAAAGAAGGGAAGAATTCGGTAGCCGGTTTGTTTCAAGCTTATTGTCCCATTCAGCTTAATTAAACTTATGAAGATAACATACCACCTGAATGAATTTTTATTTTTTTTTTGTTTACTTTTATACCCTGCTCATTTTTTCCTTCACATATAGGTGTAGTTAGCTTTTTCTAAGAAGTTAAGGTTTTTTTATTTTAAATTTGTTTGCAAGTGCGATTAGGAAATTTTGATATTTACAATATATAGAAAACTGTCATTGTAAAACTGACAAAAACTGAACATTATGCCAAACTGGAAACTGATGTTGGCCTAGCTGTGTCTGATTGAAAAAGTACGCAATCTTTCTGAAAATAAAAAATAGAATAAAACTAATCTAACCCAAGTAAGAATTATTATACAACATTTTCTGTGCCAAATTGACCAGATTTTTATTACTTTTTACCAGAGGTGATGCCAGAGGTGACCGAGATAACTATTATCATCCATTGAGAAGAGAAGATGATGACAGAATAAGTGGAGGAGATAGACATTCTTCACAATATCGGTTAGTATACTATTGTTCATCATTCCAGGATTTTTCGGACGCTGTTCAAGTTTTTTGATTGTCCATGGGCACTTATTTTAGGTGGTAGTTTATATGATGCTAAAATTAACCTTCTCCGTGCTCTTGTCAGCCTTGCTAGGCCAAAGCCTTGAAATAACTACAGATGAAAAAATGGAAATGGTGGTAATCAAATTTGATGTTTGATGGAGAGTTTGTGGACAGTGACATACTGACATGTGAATCTGTAGCAACCTTGTTTGTAGGGAGACATTACACCTGGCATTACTTGAGTACAGGCTTTGTAATAAACATGGATTATTTATACTTTTTATAACTATGTGTGGACTTTGTTTGCATACACAGTTGTTCAGTCACAGGAAATAATTCAACTACAATATAACAGTCCGCACAGTTATTTGGTTCATGTCCTTTTTTTTTCAATTAGAGCAAAGCAGCCTTCCAGTGAACCCTGGTAAACTTATTTACATACAAGAAAATTGAAAAATTATCAAGATTGCCTGTATTGTATCAACTGATGAATTCTGTTTTCATTTTATGTGACAATGTGCTGTATTCTCAATATATAGTATTTCTTTATTTACATTCTTCTTTATATCAGTGGTAAAGATCATGGCCGATACCAGACAACAGGTGGGGTAGACTTTCATACTCGTCCTGGATCACAAATCTCAAGAAGAGGAGGTGAAAGTTCATCAGCACAACATAGAAGAGAGGAAGGTAATGAGAGCTGAATAGATCTATGAAAGTTTAATCAGTGTAGCTCTAGTAATAAGGTTAAAACTCACTTTCTCTGTTTGGTGGACCTAAGGGATATTGGTAGGCTCTTTGATTTTCTAATCTAAAACCATATCTTTTGTAAGCATTTGAATGATCACTATTCTAAGATAAATTGTTGGTAATCTCATTGTTATTCTCTTTAATATTTTCCTAGAATTGTTTATCCTATACCAGGGGTGGGCAACCCCTGGCACGCGTGCCAAACTTGGTACGCGAGCCCATTTATTCGGCACGCGAGCCAGGCCTCAGAAACAGGTCATTCTCTTTCAGATAAAAAGTTTCGAGGCACTGATTTATCTGATGAAGCTCGGTGTTTGTTTATTCATTATCGTTTGTTAACAATCTGTTATTCATTTAAAATTTTAAACTCTTTTTGTCTTTTCATGACTTACGAGCCGAAAAAGGTTGCCCACCCCTGTCCTATACCATGTATTTTTCTATATTTGTTGAGAACCAAGACCAAGACTCACAGGCATCAGTGTCATGCTCACTCACTCGTGCATATTTCAGACTTATAAGTGTTTAGTGTGCATAAGAGCTCTATTAATCATTAAATCTTACGCTTGTATATGAATGATACAAATAATTATGATGTGGCAGGAACAGGCAGAAAAGGAGCATGAATATTTTAACAATTTATCAATGAAATTCTGTGTTTATAACAAAACTGCTTATTTATTCACCTTGATTTCTTTGTTTATTTTCATCAGTTCGGGGTGGTAGACGAGATAGACCACCGCCGCCATTACTTGTTCGACGTTATGATGATGAAGATGACAGATCTAAGAATGAACCAGGTGGGTTTGTACCATTAATATATCCTTGTTTTCATTGAATTCATGTTTCAAAATTTCATTTCATAATGGGCTAAATTATTATGTGATATGTGAAACTGAAAGTAAACTAGATTTTGTAGAGTCTTGTTTCTGATGATGCCCAAAACAAATCGGAAATTGGTTAAATGTTATATATTTGATTTCTATTTTTCTTGAACTGATATAGATAAGAAATTTCATATTTATTCTGGGGAAGAGGAAAGATGATAAGACAACTTAATCATATGGCAAGCCACAGCCATTTGTCTGGTTACCAGTCCATGTCGGGTATGGGAATAGTTATTTGTTTCAGAGGCATGACCTTGATGATGGAGGAAGCCATAACCGAACGGCAATCTACTCGCACATAATAATCTCCCACACGATTTTTCTGAATGTTGAATATGTAACCAATATGTTCATGTTTATCGATTCATTGATATTTTAGGAAAATATTCAAAACCGTCATCAACGGTGTCATCGTCTTCTGAAAGGTCCAAAATATCAATCAGAGATCAAGATAGAAAACGAAGAGATGAATCACGAAATAAATCTCCAACAAAATCTCATCGACAAGCTCAAACTTCTACGGGTGTAAGAGTTGAAAATAATATGAATGATGAAGTTTTGAGCATCAATTCATCAGGTGCGAATTGTTTTTGGACACTAAGTGTCGTGAAATATGGATATTTGGCACTGTGATGGCCTAGTGAAGCATTAACTGCTTGGCATCTCACATTACACACCTCAGGTTCAAACCCCATGCTCTCTATCTCACCCAGGGTTTTATACATTCAGTAGGCAATGCTGAACCAGAAAGATACCGGTCCCTCCAAATAAAAGCAACTCCTTATATATTGTAAGATATCAGTGGCTGCTTGCTTGTACTGGGCTTTGTTCTTGAAAGGCGTGAATAAGTGCATGAAAAATCTTGTAGAAAATTCATCGGAACACTTTTCCAGTCACGTTTGACTGAATCTTTTTAGCAAACTCGGTGTTCAGATAAGGTCTTCGTTTGAGCTCTGCTCTCATGTTTATATCAATGAGATTTTTATCTTATATGGAAATCATTAATTTCTTAATGCTTGTACGAAACTTGTAAAAAAAATATTCATTTAACACTTGAACTTCTGTTTGTGTATGACTGTAAAAAGTTTTAGTATTCTTAGACACTTTGCACAAAAATTATGTTCTCTCTAGAATATGTTCCAAATTACCTACATTCTGTTTTTTGGATCACCCCGTATTTAAGCTAGTTATATTCTACCCATTGGATTAGCTAACCTGCCTTGCATTTGGCCCATGGTTACATTTTGATATTATGCCAACCCAGCTTGGATTTATTTCTAGATGAAGATATATCAGAAAATCAAAAAGACGAAGAAAGTGACAAAGATGTTACTGAGGTTTCTATTGTTTTTCTTCAATTAAAACGGTCAACTGAGATTGAGCAGATCTAACCACCTGATTTCTATAGTGAATATGCCACTCTACCAAACAATACAAAACGAGAATATCGGTTGGAAACCGAAGACTTATCGATCGATAGTTAGAGGATCCCCCAAAGCAGAAACTGCAGTTTCGATTCATCCGCTCTTGTAACTTGCGCACTGCGCATCGCACACACACACTCGGCGGGTTTCAAAATTCTCTCGCTTTACAAAAATCTAGATCACTATATCAATAATTGATTGATAACTCGCTAATTATACGACATAATTCGCCCAAAATCAATAGGCTTCTGGTCCGAGATAAGATGAATGCACATGCAAAATCTGGAGCAGATTCAATCTCTCTTGCGTGAGATATCGCGTGCATCTAACAGACACACAGACAGACATTCATACAGACAGACATACATACAGACAGACATACATACAGACAAATACCTATCAATATACTCACCGATCTTAAGATCGATAAGTAATGATGCTAAAAATAAAAGCTTTCGCTATTGAAATTGTTTAGGCACCCTGGTTTTGAGCTCTCACTGTGAATGTATATTTATGGTTTGAAAAGATTCCAATTTTCTAACGTAGTACACAGGTGCTCGGCCGTGTGGCGCATTGTGCTAACTGCTAAGCATTAGGAATATGCTTGCCACCGCACCTCTGATTACCCTGCGTATTATGTACGAGAGGATTGCTGCTTTGCTGGACCCCCGCTGTCGTAGGGTGTTTCACGTAACTGCTGGTAGGTTACGGCTTCTTCCACCATCAAGTCCATGCTTCCGAAAACAATCAACTGGTCGAGAGGCCGTGGTTCAACATATGATTAAGCCGGGATAAATTTGTAAATCCTATCCTACTATTATAGAAACAACAATATTGCTTCTATAGAAAACAGCTACTTTAATTTTTTCAAGGAAACGGCAGACCAGAGCCCAGCAGGATCTGGTTCAGAAGAAGACGTCGAAGCATCTTCAGGGTCTGAGGGTACTGGTGAGGAGGAACAAGATTTATCTGGAGAAGAGAGTGGGAGTGGTGAGGAAGAGGAACCAGGATCTTCTGAAGAGGAGGATGCTGAGAGTGGAAATGAATCTCCTTTGGGTTACATTATTTCTTGTCTTTGTAAATCACGGGTATCCAAAACGAATCATTAATCCTTCAAATGTTGAAATTTTGTGAGCATTATGACAGGGGCGTGCAAGTGGCAGCCAGCTGGCCACAACCCGTTCCGTCGAGTGATTTAGTATGACCCTTGTCGACACTTAGATTTTTCCCCACCAAGCACAAAAGTCGGAATCTGACAATTTGTTTACAAAGGCGCTCACAGTCACATGGGTAAAAATACATGTTTTTTTGTTCTTGTCGCTGCATTAGACCTTTTGCTGTTTTACCCGGTGCCTCTATTACTGATAGCGGTAAAATAATTCAGCCCACGACGCTTCATTGAAATTTAGCGACAAAACGTAAGCAGATTATTTGCCTAGTAAGATAGTTTGCGAGTCGTCGTAGTGTTCGCTCTTTATTGAAAGTCGCTTGCCAAGCGATCTCTTTCTCACAGCGAATTTTTAAATTTGTTGTGTACATGGAAAAACTAAACTTTTTGTGTGGCCAAGCTAGATGTCAGAAGTTGGTCATATGGCCCACTGATAAAAAATAATGCACATTCTTGATTTAAGATGTTATTCTGTTTATTGTTGAAATGAATGCATTTTAATTTTTGTCATAAAACTCAATTTCAATTATTCACACAGAGCCTTTGAGATCAAAGTTTGATTCTCCAGAACCTGATCAAGAAGGTTCAGAATCTGATGATGATGGACAGGAGGAAGGTGAAGATGAAAGTGCTGCATCCGATTCTGATCAACAAATGGAGGAATCTCCTGTTCCTTCTCCAGGTAATTCTTTATTATTATTACAAAATTATTGTAGAATATTTCACGGGAGAACAGATTTTTATGACCGTGTCTGGGGTGATATTTTACTGATTTTGTCCAACATTTGCGGGTGTGCCGTCTGCCGTGTTAGCGAGGTTAAAACCCAATGAACCCCCGAGTTGTTTGAGCCACAAAAGAATGATAGTTTATTTGTCCACCAGAAAACATATTCACAACAAAAACATGATTATTAGAAAACAAAATAGTTCTCAGTACAGACTGGGTGGCAACGATACGACCGTGCGATCATTGGAGTCAGTTACCACCCATTATTATTATCAATAAACATGAATAAAAAACTCTTCAGATATGGTTTAGCATATTTCAGGTGTGTCCAAAAACAACATTAAATTTTCATGAAAAGAAAAAACAAAATAGTTACATATACGCAATACATACGGGCATTAAAAGCTAAATACAATGACGGACAAGTTACACACTTGATCAAGTGTGGTATTTCATACGAATATGCATTTTGAGTAAATGGTGGAAGATTTAAGGCAGCACAGAACCTTGCTTGAAATGAAAGGCTTGAAAACGCGATATAAAAATGATTGTTATTATTGTAATTTCTATTATCAATTTGTTATTGAAATTAATATTTTCTTCGTATTATATAGCTCCATAGGCCATAACAGTTCTGTTTGGAGCTTTCACTCCGAACTGTATAGTAGCTTGTCTTTGCAAATTTTTTAATAGGATAATTTACTTGACATCTACAGAGATATTGAAGCCAGAACTTCCATATTATTTACCTGCGATACAAGGATGTCGAAGTGTTGATGAGTTCCAGTGTTTAAATCGAATTGAAGAAGGCACTTATGGTGTTGTCTATAGAGCAAAAGACAAGAAAACAGGTATTCATGCTTTTATATTGGTGTGCTAACTGCTAATACTATATTCATTACTACCAATGAGAGATAGGATTTTCATATTTAATATGAAAAAGAGTTAAACTGGACAGCTTGATCATATGGCAAATTAACACTTCTCAATATCATCCAGTCTCCAGTGCAGTCAATGCATGATAGTCAACCAGTGCCCCATAAAACTGAACCCAGGTCATTTGGAACATATTCTAGGGCGAGCATAACTTTTGTGTGAATTGTCTAGATAACTGTAACTTTTTTGAGTTAAATCATACACAAGCAGAAGTTTAGGTGTTACTTATTAGTGTTAAGTGTTAGTTATTAAGAAAATTATGGGTTCTGTTTTTGGGTCGCGCTGTACCATGGACTTAACCTTGAGTTATCAATTATTGAATTTCAAACACCATGCTTGTGCGTCATTCGAAGCCTTCTTTATCCACAAAAAGTTTTAGAATATTTTAGGTAATCAAAAGTATGTACATTGGCTGTGATGTCTCACAGTAACATAATTTTTTATTCAGGTGAAGTTGTTGCATTAAAACGTTTAAAAATGGAGAAAGAACGTGAGGGTTTTCCTATCACATCTTTAAGAGAAGTTTGCACTTTATTAAAAGCACATCATCCTAATATTGTTACAGTACAGGTGATTTACTTTGTGCTACTTTCTGTTTATCAATAATGTGAAAGATTTTTATATCTTTCTAAATCAGTATCCCCTTAAATTTGAGAGTCTGATGTAGTATAGTGCCATAAGTACTGTAGTTTCTGTGCAAGTACCATATCGGGTCCTGTGACTATTTCGCCCTACTAGAAGTAATTGTAATATCATACACATAGTCTAAATCTATAGAGCGGAGGTGGAAAACTTTATAAAAAGTGCACCTGCATTTTTTTCATTAATCGTGACCGGGAAAGTAAAACAAATCGAATATGCATTTGTTATGGTAAGTTCTTTTTTTTCATTCGAAAATTGATCTTTTTATTCATTTGATATCTTACGGTCAGACAAACACTTCTGGCACTATAACATAGAGAATACTAATTACAACATAATTAATCTCAAACATTCGGCATAACCAAGTTCAAATTTTACTAATTTACAAATGGACCGAGTGGAGTTCTTTATGGAGCAGACCCATTTCAGAATATATTCAATATTTGAAATTCAAAAAGATTATTTCAGAATATATTGAGAATAGTAAATTATTTGGTTTTGGCCATCCCTGGTCATGACATAATAATGATATTTTTTTTTTTCTAGGAAATTGTTGTCGGATCGAACATGGATAAGATATACATTGTGATGGATTATGTTGAACATGATTTGAAAAGTTTGATGGAAACTATGAAGCAACCTTTCCTCGTTGGTATGAAGTTTACTTTTATTTGTAATATTCAAAAACATCTCTTTGATAAAACTGCAGTTTTATGTTTTGTGTTTGTGTGGTATATTACAATTTCTTCAACTATTGTCACATTCATAAATTTGCAATAAAAATAATGATATACTTCGATAATAAAACTTGACATTTGTCGCTGAATAGATGGAGCTGAAGCTACTAGAAGTATTGGCGTCTCCAGCTCTTAACATTTAGTTATTTTTCACATTTCACATTTTCTAAAACTCCAGAAAAATAGTAAAACATATCCTTTCCGTTTTATATATAATTTTCTATTAATATTCAAGTCATAATATTGATTCAAATGTGAAATTAATGGTACAATGTTCAATTTTGAAATTTAAAACCCTCATGTAATTGTTTTGGGCTGATGTTTCATGGTTATGTTTATACCGAAAAACATTAATAATGGTTACATGAGCTGAAATGGACCCACAGTTTGACTTTAATTTGTATAATTAAGAGGGAGTTTCAAAGTTTAATTTTAAACTCCCTATGTTATGGTTTTGGCTCTCGCAACTACAAACTTAATTTTGGCTGATGTTTCATGGTAATTTTCATAGCAAAAAACACCAAGTGCTATGGAGTCTGAGATATATTTGTATTGGTTATTGGTTGGTTGTATTACCACTAGGGCTGGGCATTTTGAATCGAATATTCGAATCGAATCGAATAGTAAATTATTCGAATCGGTTCAGAGCTAAATTTCGAATCGCCGCCATCTTGTTCTCATCTTTCCGCTAATGGTCGAGGTGAATTCCCAATTTTTCCCAATTTTTTTTCCCTCTGAGTCATATTTATTCAACGAAATTCTAACATATGACTATTTTCTGTAGTGAGTTATTGATAAAACGTGTTTGTTATTCTGTGTGAACGCTCAGTAATCTATCTGGGTGATTTATTCTATGTCTTCAGTAATTCATTTGTTGAGAGGATCAATTACTATAATAAAGTCGCTTAAAATTATATATTATCAAGTATTCGAGATTCGATTCGATTCGAAAAAATTATTCGATTCGATTCTGAAATCACAAGGTATTCGAAAATGCCCAGCCCTAATTACCACTGTATTGGTAAATGTTCTAAGATATGATAGTGTTTTGCTTATTGGCTGCACACTCGCACATCTAAAGCTAGCCTTTTGAATAACCAATGAAATAAAAATTCTCCTATTTAGGTGAAGTTAAAACATTGATGATTCAATTATTAAGAGGTGTCCATCATCTACATGATAACTGGATATTGCACAGAGATTTAAAAACATCTAATTTGTTATTGAGCCACAGAGGAATATTGAAAATTGGTGAGTACATGTTCCATGCGTACTTGTTAAGGGATTTCAATAATAATCGTGGATTATTGGTTCAATTTTCTAATGTATTATGGCATAGTTTCTGAATATGACTAGTATATGATGTAAATTTATAATATTTGTGTTCCACAGTAGTTAATAGTGATAGTTTGTGCATTGACAAATTAACCTCATCTACCATGTCTATTTATACTATTCGAAATGAAACAGACAGATTTGCCCAAATTGTTTCAATCCAGATACCGGTCCCAGGCACAGTGGCTTACATTAAACAAACAATAAAAGATTATCATGAAAATAAGTACTACAAGCAAGCATGAATATACATATCACTTCACTTGCATTTAAATAAGGCTTAGTCAGAACAGATAATCTTAGAAACTTAAGAAATAACTGCACCAGTAACTAGCTGTATAAAACTGATCTAAACCAGAGTGCAAAATAGTGAACCATAGCAAGAAGCAATCAATTAAGCAATCAATTATCACGAAGTAAGTGTACAATGCACACTAAAAATAAATAGTGATTGGTAAATCAGTTGCAAGTTTAAACCACGTTGGTGAGAACAAGTCAATTAGCAGTTCATTCACATGTTCAACTGCAGCAAAATACCCTGAGCACTAATAATTTTTTTTTTATTTCACAGGGGATTTTGGACTTGCGAGGGAGTACGGATCACCATTGAAACCTTATACACCCATTGTTGTTACATTATGGTATCGATCTCCTGAGTTATTACTAGGATGCAAGGTATGATGTCAAGGTCAATGTCAAAAGTTTATCTAGGAGTCTCAACTCTCAACATAAAATTCGGAAATCTTGGTATCTTTTCAATGTATTTTTCTTCTCTAGGAATATTCAACATATATAGACATATGGAGTGTTGGTTGTATATTTGCTGAACTTCTAACAATGAAACCTTTGTTTCCCGGGAAATCTGAAATAATGCAACTCAACTTAATATTTAAGGTAAATTCATAATATTTTATATGTTTACGGTAATTTCATTTGTAAATATTTTATAAACACCGACTTGATGTATTTCAGGAACTCGGTACACCAAGCGAAAAAATTTGGCCAGGTTACGATGAGTTGCCGATGGTGAGAAAAGCGACTTTTGTAAATTATCCATATAATCAGTTAAGAAAAAGATTTGGAACAAGCATAACTGAGAAAGGATTCAAACTTCTGAACAGGTCATTTAAAGATAACACTTTTTGTAATGGTGGATGGTGCAAAGATTTCGGTCTTTCCAAATAAAAGTAACATGATCTATCAGTGGCTGCTTGGAGAGGGCCTTGTTCGGAGCGAAAGTGAATAAGTGTTATATAAAAAAAATATTGTAGATAGGTTGTCAGTGTAACCGCAACTGATTGTCACTTTTCAAATCGTTTCTTAAAATATAGATTAAAATAAAAACTCGATACCAATGTCGAAATCTATTTTGCATCTCCTTACATGAAGTTTCAGGTTTGTTTATGTAATGATGATTAATTGGAAGTTGGGACAATACTCAATAACAATACTTATAACAGTGTATAAAATCAAGCTTTGCGTATTCATAAACACTATGAGCTTAGTGGTTCTTAGCTCATGTAAATCCTCACTGTCAGCCAGACTATTTAAAACAAATCTTCACTCTAAAATTTGTTGATTTTTTCTTCTTCTTGAACTTACCCATTAAAGTATATTTGATATTTTGCTTTGGAGAGTGTTTATTCGAGAACAGAGTTATAGACTATCAGTAATCCTGCATCGTTTAATTCTGATTTAGGTTTCTCACATACTGCCCAAGCAAGCGCATCACTGCCCAAGGAGCGTTAAAGCATGACTGGTTTCATGAAACTCCACAACCCGTTGATCCTGCTATGTTTCCAACGTGGCCTGCAAAGAGTGAACAACCCAGGGTGAAGAAAGTTGTTGACAGTCCTAAAGCTCCACAGGGTGGAAAAGAATACAACAGTCTTATAGTGAGTTTTTTTCCTGATTCTTATGTTTTACGTAAAAAGTCCTCTTTGGTATACAAAATTCCATATATATATATATATATATGGTGGTTATTTATCAAGACTTTACATTTGAAAGTCTCGTCAGGGCCGAGACCAGGTGACTGCATATTAGACTTACCTAAGCTAAAGATGAATGCCTTTTCACTCAAAAGTATTATAAATTGGTAGGATTTTCTTTTAACTGGAAAAATTATATTCCTTCCAAAATTATGATAACTTCTTGCATATCAGCTTGTATGCACCACTTGATGAAAAAGGTGTTTATGCTATACAAATGTTGTTCTATTGCTTCTTTGAGCTTCGATTTTTGGTCAGTAAATCTTGCATTTTATTATACTTAACTGTTTTATTGCTACAATACGAAGGTTGTTTAAAACACTAGAAACTTGAAATGACGACGTCGTAAACTGGAAATGGGGTTTGATGGGAACTATGCTGTTTCAAGTGTTGCTCTTGCCTTGATTTTATAATAATGGACATCTGCTCAAAATTTCATGATTTAAAGTTCATCATGCTTCTTAGACTATTATTGAAACCTGTACGTTTTATGTCACGAACATTTCATATCTTCGAATCACTTGAGTACAACAGAATTCATAATTCAAAGTTTGAAAATTGAACTTTTTTTCTGTAGAATGATGAAGAAGGATTAGTCACAGGATTTCAATTAACTGCACCAAAGCACGGAATAAGTAAACATGGAGTTGGATTCAATCTAAAGTTCTGAAAGCATCTTGTCAGTAATATAGTCTTCAAACTTGCTCGATAACTACCCTACCTGGAAGACATGGGAAGAACCTGAAATTTCAGTTTGAGGACCTGGTGGTACTACAGAATGAACAGATATGCTCCCAGTGCCATGTAGAAACCTGGCTTACAAAATTCTGTGGTTTGTTTGAAAGAATGGCAATTTATACTTCTTTACTATGTTTTATGAATAAAATATTGTTGATAGTACAATCAATGCACGTCAAGTTGAGTTTTTGCGTTTGGTTCAAGGGGAAGAATTAGGACTGATTGCAAGTATGTAGTGTGGGACCATCTTTTAAGTTTTTAAATGGAACTGATGACTGCCAAGTCGGCGAAAAACATAATGCCAGGGGTTCTCAACCTGGGGTTCGCCAACCCCCAGGGGTTCACGAGCAGATTTCCAGGAGTACTTGGATGACAGTTGAGTTTGCATGTGTTGCTATTTTTTAATGTCTATTACTATCAGAGGAAAAAGCGTGCCGATTGAAAATTAGCGTGGATTTTCCCTGATCTTGAGTTGTTGTGACTGAACAATGTGAAATCAACAGCTTTGCAGCCAAACAGGGCAAATCTCAATAGACAATGTGCTGTTTGCTCCTCGAATTGAGAAACTTATTCGCAATAAACAGGGACAGCCTTCACACTAATGTTCTGTAAAAATAAAATGAATACTTTTGTTTAATATCATTTAAAACAGGGGTCCCCAACCTTTCTGGCGGACCGGTAAAATTAAATAAAATGTACTCGCAGACCGGCAAAAAATTGAAATGGAATAGTAAAATAATAACACATAGATCAAACTTTGTCCAGAAGAGGACCTATTCTCCTGGTTCTTATTTGAAAAAATACCAAAATGCGCTGTTGGTTAACTGATCTCATATTAATCCTTCTGCAGTTAATCAAACAAAATGAATTTACAAAAAAATGTCAAATTCGTCTGTAACTTGGCACCAGGTTCACAATCCTGCTGTGCATAACCTGGAAAAGATCTCTGCGGCCCATGCTTTTGTTGCGCGTCTTGTGACCACATGCAGGGTCGCAACAAGACCCTATTTTACTATATGTCAAAGCGAAGCCCTGGAATATTATATTGTCCATGACTGTTTTCCGGCTTGAACAAAGAAATATTCAAACCTGCACAATGTTCACATTAAGCAGGAAAAGCATGTAGAACAGAGAAAATACATTTTTGGCCTTCTGAATCTTGCGGGATTTGACGGACGCTTAGCGATGAATTTGAACCGAAAAAGCGTGATTACTTGGCGCCAAGCCGTCGTCGGGCCACAAACAGCAATATGTCGGCGAAAGATAAATTGTGTAATAAACAAACACAACGTCGTTATTTCGGGTTCGGTAAAGCGATTGAGACGATTGAAAAACAACAAAATTTCTCGCAGACTTATTAGTTAATATATGACAACTTTGTTTGGTGTCTAATTACCGGGGGTTCGTGTTGATTATTTCATGACTCGGGGGGTACTTAACAGGAAAAGGGTTGAGAACCCCTGACATATGCAAACAAGGTCCTAATTAAAATGCGATCCTCTAGTCGGGCAGTGAAGTGAGTTGTAGGTAAAAAGGAAGTTTCACGTTCTTCACATCTAGCACATAATTATAACATTGTCGCCTAATTCTGGCCTGCATGTGATCAGAAATAACTATTATCAGTTATCACCTTGTTAAACTGACTTAGCTGAGGCACTGGACATTACGACTAAACATGCACACAATAAATTCAGAAAGATTGTATTGCTTCAAATCAACAACAGGCAAATCTTAAAAATAGAGAAAAAAAACATCCTCAATTCACCAAGCTTATTACACATGCATGGTATGACTGGATTTACAACAATTATGGGTCACTAATGCCATTTTCATTGCCGAATTGAAACAGAAATATAAAAAAAAAAATTCTGGAAGCACTTAATTTGTAGGATAGTGGGTTGTTTGATACCAGATATTACTGTAGTATAAAGGCAGCAGCTATAAACAAACGAAAAAATATAAATTTTACATTAAAAGCTTATAAAATAATAAACAAAAACCAGAACTGCGAATTTCTGAACTGAATTATATTGTAAATGTTATTTTACCCTATGTCAACTCGGATCATAAAAGTGACGCTGCAAGAATGTATATAGCGATGACTGACTGATGAGTCACTGTCACTATTTGTCAGGAAAAATTAATTTTTGTTTTTAATCATAGGTAACTATGGATAACCTAAGTTAAGAAATGCGAACAAATTTCTATATCTAAACAAGCAGTCTTGATTCTAAGTTAACTTCCTAGTGCCATGTAGAACCTTGCTTACAAAATTCTGTGGTTTGTTTGAAAGAATGGCAATTTATACCTCTTCTTGAATATACAATCGAACTTATTTAAAATCAAACTTATTAATCTGATTTATGTTTGTAACAAGCTTGGAGCCATCAGGACTGAGTATACTACAACCATCTAAGATTTACGAAGTTGAGTATGTAGTGTGGGATCATCTTCACAAGTTTTTGAATGATGATGACCGAGAAGTCATCAAAAAAAATGCAAACAAGGTCCTAACTGAAATGGATCCTCCAGTCAGGCAGTGATTATTAAGTACAAAGGAAGTTTCACGTTCTTCACATACTTATAATATTGTCGCCTAATTCTGGCCTGCATGTGATCAGAAATAACTATTATCATCTTGTTAAACTGACTTGGCTAAAGCTCTGGAAATTAAGACTGAACATGCACACAATAAATTCAAAAAGATTGTATTGCTTCAAATAAACAACAGGCAAATCTTAAAAATAAGAAGAAAAAAACATTCACAAATCACCAAGCTTATTAAACATGCATGGTATGACTGAGTTTACAACAATATGGGTCACTAATATGCCATTTTCATTGCTGAAATGAAACACAGAAATATAATTAAAGTTTTTTCTGGAAGTACCTAATTTGTAAGATAGTGGGTTGTTTGATACCAGATATTACTGTAGTATAAAGGCAGCAGGTATAAACAATTTCTATTCTATTTCAAATTCTCTGCTGGCCATTGAAAATTTTTGGCGAATTTTGAAAACGGAAAATATATCATGTTGACATGTGCAAACGTCTGTTTGATCTGAACAATGAATAAATATTTGTACTCAATAACGAGTAATTCAATGAATGAAACTTATCCATAGATAAATGCTAACTTATAAACACTGCAAATTCATAAAATGTCATAGAAGAGAGAGGATTAATCAAATAAACATATCAGTCATCACACACTCTTTAGTTGCTATGTATAATCCATTTCATTCTGTAACAAACATTGAGGCAGATAGTTACGACAATTTATGTTCAAATACTCAGTACGACTAAAAGAAACAAAAAAATTAAAAATTTTACATTAAAAGCTTAAAAAATAATAAACAAAAGTCAGAACTGCGAGTCTTCAACTAAATTATATTGTAAATGTTATTTTACCATACGTCATATATTACAAATACCAATTGTGATATATTACAAATATCAACTCAGATCATAAAAGTAACGCTGCAAGAATGTAAATAGCATTGACTCATGAGTCACAGTCACCATTTGTCAGAAAAAAATAATAATTGTTATTAATCATAGGTAACTATGGGCAACCTAAGCTAAGAAATAAGAGTAAATTTACAAGTCTATATGAGCAGTCTTGTTGGCAATTGATTCTAAATCAAGAAATTGAAATTCATCTTTGTTGCTGATTGCTCAAATAATATTGGCTATTGTTATCTGCTTCTGCATTATTTCTTGCTTTGACTGAAGTTTTGAATAGAGTATTGCATAATGACATGGAAAGCTCAAATATCCTTAACCTGACAGCAGGAGTTTCTCTAGGGGTCCCTGCTTTTGTGGCACTTATGATAAAAAATGGAAACAGTATAGAAAATACACAAGCACTTATAACGGTAGGATAAAAACTATAAGTTACGCTTGTAAGTACAAAAAGTGGAGTACCAAATCCACAAAAATACGGCCAGTGAGTTTCAACCATCTGTATCCTCAATCGAACATCCAAGCCCATATTAAACCATTTGTATTCGAAAGCGTATAATGCATAGAGTAGGGAGTGATGTATGCAGAACATTATGTAAGTCAATTCTTGCATAAATGGAATATGTTTCACCAACATGGCCTGTGAGATACAAAATATACAATTAGAAACAAAATAAACAATTAGAAATAAAGAATGGTGGAAAAGAGAATATTGGAACATAATTAGAGTTTGAGATGATTAATAAGGATGACCAAAACTAGATATCTGATACTAGATAAATAGAAAAGGTACACATGGAAAGAAGAATGAAGAAAAACGAATAAGAACTGCGAACGGTAACACTTGTCGTTCAGCGTTCACTGAATATCGCTAGCAACTGAAACCAAGTGAGGAGCATTGTATGTGCCGTGGGTAACAAATGGGCCAATGGAATGGCAGTAAATTATTTGAAACATTATTTCTACGAAAAGACGTTTCATAACTTGGATATTTTGTATTTGAATATATTCTGAATTGAGTCTTAGTTGACAGAGAAGTTGAACAAATTATTGTAATTCCATAAAAAATAAAGTAGGCAAATTCAGAATAGTCAAGATAAACATTGTTATTATTGATTTTATAATTATACAGTGTCAGATGATAAATGAAGTTTATTCTTCGTCTGACCATCAATTCATATGCCCAAAATTCAAAATGAAAATACAAGTATTCTAAATTATTCCCCAGGAAGAAAAATTTAATAGAAAGAATGTAGCTAATTTAAAACTAATTTAAAATTTTGATATGTTTAGGAAACGAACTTTAAGATACTTGTATATGAAGCATTTTAACAATAACAAACAACAATAGGTGGCTGGTGAGATAATCAATCCACTGTGGATATAAACAGGAAATATATACTCGTACATCATTAATAAGGCAATATTACCTGCAATAAGAACACAGTTTCAATGACAAGTCCATATATAAAATCTGCTATCATTTTTCCTACGGTAGGAAAAGCACGAGGTCTACCATGATATAACTGATAAACAGAGTTTGATACATCGACAAACCAGAATCCATTGACAATCTACAAAGTGAAAGAACACTTAAATAAAAAGCAGTAAAAAATGTAAGAAGACAAATTTCTTCAGTAATTCAGTTTTAAAAAATATATATATTGGAATGGAGAATATGTGAAACTGGAAATGTTAAAACATTTAGAGCAAATATTTATAAACTTACAACTGTGTGAAATTTACATAGAGAATCATTGATGCTTGGGAGTTACATTGACGACAAGCATACAGATCAAGAGCAATCAATAAAATAAGACTATTATTATTAAATGGTAATTTTTTCCTCAAATAGTAGATAATTTTATCACATATAGTCAAGATTTGGAAACATTCTTTTGATTAATAATATACCTATTTGGAAGAAAAAAACATTTTAATAGACATCCACTATGCCAAAATTTCACAAAGGCATGAAACAGTTCATAGATTTTACTGTGTTTGGTGTTATAGAATGTAGAAAATTGATCTAAAGACAACAAGTTAGGCTCTGATTGTACTCAAATAAATATCAATTAAATTAATTTAACCTTGCTGATTATATACAAAGGCAACACCCATAATGAAGAAAAAATAAACTGCAGAACAAATTCTGTGTTTTCCCAAACTTTTCTTGTTTTTTCTACAGTTTCAACAGCTGGAGATCCAGGTAGAAGATTCTAAAGTACAATCGGTTAAAGTTATTCAATATCATTCATAATCATTCTGAAAGACAAGACAAACCACATATGCGTAATGATTCTAAGCACACTCATGAGGTATAAAAAAATTGGCAATGAAATTGAAACTAAGATTCAGATACCGAATATCAAAAATAATACTAAGCCAAATACTAATACACCATAGTAGAAAAAGTGAATAGTAAGAAGGAAAAAAAAAGCAATGATAAATCGATGAGAAATAACTTCTCTACATTTGAATTTCATACTACCAATCTGCATCAAGTTTACTATAATGGGTGACATAAATAATAAAAATTAGATTTATTGTTTGACAAAAATATATCAGAATTCCATCATTCCTAAGTATTTATAAAATGATAAATAAATCTTATAGCCTTCAACAGTAACTTAAAAAGCATCCGAATGTGTGCAAAATACACTTCCTTTACTACTAAAAAAATATTACCTGAGCATAGTACCGAATCAAGGGCAGCAAAAATGTATTAAATCCCCAAATACTAATCCAAATAAATGAACTCATTGTTGCACTGAGAGCAACTCTCCCCAATAAACGAGGTTCTGTTTTGACTGAAAGACTTTGATCATTTAATCTTGATGTTCCGGGATGTATTGGCCGTCGTACGTCAAATCTACCTCTTTGCCTCCTGTGGAATCATGAATTAATAATTTAGTGTGTGTCCTGAATCAAAATCTAGTGGTTTGAGTAAAACTCAGCCAATGTCAAATGCCACATTTTTACATATTAGTAAATCTAACTGAAATGAAGACGATTGTAAAGAGACAGGGACGGTTGAAAGATCCAACTTTTACAAGTACCCTACCTCGGTACCGTAGTCTACTTATTTATTAAGCAAGATACTCGAGACAGGGTCATAATTCATCATGTAAAGGTGAATATTGGATCGATTACAATTTAGGAAATTTACAAGCAACCATTGATATAATACAGTGCAGCAGGAGAGCACAGTTCTCTGATTCAAAGAATAGCCCTCATATCAATGACAAGCTTGGTGCAATTCGACGCACCCGCCGTCTGCCACATGCCATCGTTTCAATACATAAAAGAGAACTGAAAATTACGATATAATACATAAACAGGAAAAAATCGTGCAGTCTGGGTGTCAGATTGAACTACCTTGAATTGATTTCATCTTGAATTCTTTGTCGCTTTCGACGATTTTGATCTTTTACTTTTTTATCCAATTGATAAATATAAACAATTCCATAACCAGAGTCTTTCAGTCCTTGTAAATATTGATAAAAAGATCCTTTAATGGCTTCTCCCATTTCAAAACAGCCAAAGCATTCATTTAGGCTAAATTTTCTAAGTTCATAAGTTAGGTTTATTAATTTATCAACAGACAGAAAACATGGGTGTAAGAATTTCAAAACAGGTGTTTAAAGGTTAGTAACCCATGAAAGTCATATTTAAAGTGAGTGGCTTTTATCAACGCCCGCGATTTCCGAACTTACAAATTGAAATCTAGGCATTCAAAACAAAGAAACAAAGCAACAGTAAACAGGCCCAACTCACAAAGAAATCACCAATGTTCAGAACCCAGAACAGGTATAACATAGATTGCATAGGTAAACACACCGCTAGAGGGTGCAAGTAAACTGCGCGAAAAAAATCGTTGGTTCTCAATGTTTTACTTCAGGTCCAGATCATAGAATTCAATGCTCATTATTGGACACGTAGTGGGCATAACGATCGTTTCAGTATTATGTTGTTCTTGTTCTTGGACACAGAATAACACACCTAGTGGAAATATTAAAAAACCGTTTTTTTCTTCGAATACTGGACCAATTGCTTTGAAATTTTCAGTGGTTGAAGATAAAATTTTTCCCCAGAAGGCTATTACTTTTATTCATTTTAAATATTTCTGTTAGCTCTGTGAGATTTGTTTTTGTTTTCTATGACGTCATTAAACGTTCTGCGGACATCGGACGCCGTTTTGTGTCCTACTGTACTGCTTCGCTTGGTGTGAATATATTTGCAGACTGTGATCTGACGATACAGTAAACCGTACTGTACTGCGAACAGACGTGTCCATATATTTGGGCGTGGCTCTCTTGTTATTATTATCTCTGGTCGGTTACGTCTCTCTCCACCATCAAGCCCATGCACCTATAAACAAATATCTGGCTAACTAATCACTATCCAACGTGGACTGGCAATCGGACGAGAGGCCGCGGTTCGCTATATGGTTGAGCCATCTTGTACACTTTCCTTCCTGGGATAAATACGTAAATCTAATCCTATCTAATCTTTTCCTTTCTGTTTCTCCAATACTACAACTTAACTAAACTCACTCACAGCTAAAATTTTGAATTACGTGTTACTCGTGCCCATCTCGCATCTCGTGTCAAAATTACTATATCGTCACGCTAATAACCGAATTGCGTAAGTCATTTTTAGCAGTTTTGAGAAAAACGTAAAAAACTTCCTGTTGATATTGTTATGCCATTGAGAGTCAATAATTTGCCATGGTTCAATTTTTTGATCGTAGCAGGACTTAAGTTGATTTATATGACGCAGTTAAGTGACGTCATAATGGCGCACTGTGACTCAGGTAGAAATGTGTCTATGACTTGGGGACATACGCAATTTTGCAACTTTACTATATGCACCAGTCCAGAAAACTAAACATTCCAAAAACGAATGTAATTTTCAGTATCTACAATGTCTAATCCCCCAAATTGCTAATCAGTTTCAATTACATTATTTTTTATGTTTAAAAATATATATTTCAATAATATAACACGTTCTGCACACCCACCGAAATAAGACTAAGATTAAATATAAATAATAAAACAGCAATGCACCCAACATAAAAGCCAACCAAGGTGAATTGGACTCGGACAGTGAATATCACAAGTGCACGCCTTCCTATACTGCAGTATAAATTCAAATTAATACGCGCTAAGCTAGATTCCGAGATGCAAAAACTCGAAAATACTTCGCCGAGGTTATTTTGCCTTTCTGGCGTCACAATAGTCCTGCGGTAACAATGATAATTCATTATGATGAAACAATTGCACAAATGTGCATGTCATACTAAATCCACACTTTTATGGGTTTCGGAATTCTTAAAATAAAATCTGAGTTAACAGACAGGTGCGCAGCATTACATAAATACCTATTTTATAAAAAAACTCAAAATCCCAAAAAATGACTTACGCAATTCGGTTATTAGCGTGACGATATTCCACTTTTTCAAACTCAGTTCTTACATACTACCGCCAGGGGCCAGTGGTCCACCGGCATGCATAGTTGGTCTAGGACTTGACACGCACAATCGTGAAGTTTCTCGCTTAAAAAAAGAACCAAAACGACTTTTCCGGGAGTGCTCAAAATTGGGATCTTGCGTTGTCAATTTGGTCAAAAGCTTTTTTGGAAAGACCGGAATATTACAGGTTCGGCATTACCTACCCAACCTATTACAACATGGAAGAGACGGTCGTTATGGGACTTGAACCCAAGATTTTAACCTGCGATAGCGTCATAGATGTCAGTATATAGTATATATATATAAACATTTAATTTGTACGGAAGGCTTTATGGTTCTCAAGTGTAATGTTGATGGTGTATTTCATGCATGATACTCTTCTCTCTCTCTAGCGTAGCTACTGTCAGTTCTTTTCAGAAGTGCTTCCTTTGGCCGGGTAAACCTGTAAATATTGAATTCGTGGATTATATTGTTTTATTTGATTTATTTTTTTAGATTGCAGCACTAAATCGGGTGTGCCATACATGGTAAAAAGAGATTATGATTTAACATGCAACATGAATATTTATTATTGTGCCAGCTACCAGGTGTAAAACAGGGACTACTTTTGGTGTATATTTACGCTTGGTTGTAAATTAAAGAAAATAAAAGATAGGAACGACTTATTATAGTTATATTTGTCGTGTTCATTGATCACGATTTTGGTTATAGTATATATATATATATATACAGGAATCCAGCACATCAGCCTACCGTTTAACAAAATATATAATAATTGATAGAAGTAGAGATGCAACCACTATAAGAACGGGTACTCCAATTGTCATGAATTTCGGAATCGGCATTTCTGATTCTTTCTTGGCGTCATCAGGTGTCACCAAGTCTATTTCCTGTAATTTGGCAGTTTCTTCTTCAAGCATTGACGTAATTGAGGCTGAAATATTAACAACAAAAGTTTCAATAAAAATCTGTAACAATAGCCATCTATAAAATTGGCACTGCAAAAATATACTAAATTAATTTTTTGCATGAAAGTCATTCCAATCGTTCCTTTTCATTAAAAATGAATTGCATGTATTCAGCGACTAGTAGTTTAGAAAATTTACCAAGTTAATTTTCAACATATATATTCAAAATATATTGCAAGTATTATTCACAAAACAGATATTTATATCCATCGCAACGGTGGAATTATTCAGAAAACCCATTCATCAATTCATTCTACCACTGTTTAGTAGCAATTTAGTAATACCGTAATAACAATGGGCAAATGTTCAAATTTTACGACTATTCTCAAGCACTACTTAAGAAAAATAAAAAACCAAATACGCAACCTGTAGCGTTAGTAGCCATTATCACTGAGCTATATTCTCCAGATATTGTTTTTCCCAACACCTTCTCTTCAATGATATTTAAAGAAAGAAAATTGGCCTCCCGTATTATATTAAGAGTTAACGTGATGTGCAGCGTTCTAGTAGTTTCAATATATTTTAAATAAATTTATTGTGTTCTTAACTAACAATTAAATATTATTAAGAGATGATTAACTAAGATGAGAGCTTTACAAGTTATGCAACATGCGTTTTATCCCCAAATCTGAATATTACCCGCCTATTTATACTTCTCATATTAACGTGGTGCCTGGAGGATGTATTTCATCGACGAAAGCTCAAAATGTTGAATGACACGCATAATACCCATCGTTAACCGAACGCATTGATACGAATAAATGAACCAGCTTTAGGTGTGAAGTGATCTCATTTAACATACATTCATCAAAGATTCATGAGCATTGTTATTACTTATTATTCCGACTAAATTAGAATAAGAAAATGAAACTGACAGAGTAAAGATAATCTTCATTTCCTATTTAACACTTGCAGCTGAAACTATGCAACTACAATGCTGCAATGCAATGCAAGCCTTGCACCAACTCTATTGTGCGCCATAGCCTTCCTGAGTGTTTCACATTCCAAAATCAATCAAACATGTCTAGGAAAACTGGCTTGCACTATCAGAAAAATAAAAAAATCATACTGGTAATCACAAGTAATTAAGGTAATTTGTCATTTAATTACTATTTCTGTTTCTGACTAAGTATGCTGAGAATAGCCTACAGAGAATTAAAGCTAGCATGCAATTTGTCTAGGATCAAAACTGGTCTAAGGCAATGTCACTATTCATTTGTTCTTGAAAAATTAAATATCACTTCATCGGCAAACATGATAAGTCATGATAGATTGACTGTGACAGTTCTTTGAACCATTACAACATGAATCAATTGATCACGCTCTCGATTGTTTTAAATTCCAATTTCACCATTCGAATAGCTCGCTATTCTGTCACCCATGAATATAAAATTGTGTCGAAGTAATACTTAATGTCGATTCTGTTTTATGTAATGTAAGACAGAAATAAAACGTTATTATATTTGAATGGAGAAATGAACATATATAAGACATTAGTACTAACCTATACGACTTCCCAAAACAGCCGTACGGAATTCGTGTAGTGAATGGTTCACCCCGTGGTGAATAACGAATAATAGTGTGTGAATGAAAATTTTGTAAACAATTTAGAGACGCCAGGTTTTGCACCGATTTCTGCTTAATGTAATCCGTTGTCAGTTTTGCGGTTAGCTTCTATTATAAGTCCTATTAGATATATTTAGATTTTGACACGATATTATTTGCTTCCGAGTGGAATCCAAGTCCTTGTGACCTCTTCTAAGTTTCGAGAATTTTATTGTTAGCAGTTAAATTTGGTTTCTGAATATATTTTGTCAATTGTGGAACTAGTTAAAATTACACTGAATTGAGTTGTCAATTGAGGGTTTGAGTTTGAGTAGAAATCATAAGCAACCCTAAAATGGATAAACTCCAGTCACATTAACACTACGACTTTCACCACGCCATCCTCGTTATTTTTAAAATCAATCTAGGATTGAAAAATATGTTGATAGAATTTATCTTTAACAAGAACACCACGTATTGCAAGGTATTTCCGCAACAATCTAATATATTTCAACTTCCAAATACCACAATTATCAAGGTGGCAAATCATAATTGCCGAGTTTTTTTAATTTTAAAGACTTGCATAGAATTATTTTCTAGTCTCGCGCCAGGTCTGCTGATAGTTAGTTATTCATGTCGAGTCATCTCGAGTATTTTAATAAGGTGACCAAGCTTGTTCAAACTAACGTTAAATGAAAGGATGCTAGTTATGGTTTATTACCGACATTGGGTGGTAGATGGCTATGGCTCTTAATAAAGGTTTTTCTGGGGCGAACAAAATTTAACGATTTGTAGAAAGGGTGAAGGAAATTGAAAAAGATTAAAAAGTACTGATCTAGTGTTGAATAAGAAAATACGATTCGAACGAGAAATCAAAAATGTTTTTCTAATATTTTACCAGTATTTCAGAAGGCAATAACGAACTTAGGAAATCAGAAATAATTGGTACTTTAACGACCGTATTTTAGTGCTTCGTGTACATTAACTACTAATCGACCCCCCCGTTCGATGGGCTTCACCATCTCGAATAGGCTACAATAATTTTGTTGAAGATTAGAGTTCTAAATTTCGGCTTAGACGGACGCAACCTCGTAATTATTAGATCGATAAACCTAGTAATATTGGCTTTGTTGAAAATCTTGGGTTCTATCTCCATGCCCACCATCCACGCCACAGCAGGCAATGTCGGACGCAAAAATATCCAATCTTCCCCAAATATAGCATATTATTCTGACCGCTAGCTAGTTAGAAGCCTGTTTAAGGGTCAGACAAAAGAAGCGTGCTCTGGGTTGCTACGTAATGAACACCATTTGTTGTACTTATCACGATATTTCTTCGATGTAACTAATCGTTTGCCTTCCTTGAAATTACACGATTCTGCAAAGTAATTTTTATGCCACAATTAATAAATTTTTGCTCTTGTAGACTTTATTAGACCACTTTTGTAAAATCAGTAAAAAAATCGACAACAAATCTAACAATTTCCCACATGTTCTTGCAAGGACATTTCATTCAATCAAAAAGAGTGGATTCTTCTGGAATTTGTTGGTGTTCCTGATTACAATCTTCATCGTCTTTCGTCTAAAATAAAAAGTGAAGATATTTGATTTTTCCAAGTTCCAAGCTGTTACAACCACGTATTCAAATTGATTATGGCAATAAATCATATATCTGAAAATATTGCAATTTTAGGTAAGTAATTTTATTTCAGAGACATAGTAGAGATCGAAATCGAAATAATTATATCTTTGTAATTTATACAATGAACAGAATTTGGCTTACCTGCACACATTTTTTGTTGACGCATTCTAAACAAGTATCACATTTTCCTCGATGAAACCATGCTCCTCCGCATTCATCACCTTTTTGCTTAGCGCATACAGGGCAACATCTGACAATGATAAACTTCATTATTCTCAGCTAATACCAGAAATAGAGTTAGTGGAAACACTACATAAGAAAGATCACTAACCCGCACGAAATTCTAACTTTGCCAACGCGTGGTCCACATCGTAAACTTCCGCATTTTACTCCTCTACAACTACATCGCAAAGCATCAGCAAATATGAAACAGCAAGCTAACGTCAATAAAAGTATCTTCAGCATGCTCTTAGAATTGAATGCACTTTACTATCAATGGATGTCTTGATCAAACCCAGATTCAGTAACAAAAAATTCTCGAAATAAAATGCGTTTTGAAATGCTCTTGGTAAGTAAACAAGTCCGCTAATCCAAATGATGAATTGGTTTCGGTACTGGTCTCGCTAAGTTCTATTTCCCTAATTAGCAATTTCCGTCCTTGTGGTGAGGTAATATTACGACAAACAATAACTTGAAAAGGAAAACTTAATATTAAATAGACAAATTCGATTATGATTCATGGCTGTTTCAGTCAAGATGTTAGTTACCTGATTATAATATTGTATATATAAGTATTCAAGAAACCGAAGTGATGAAGCAATAAGCCAAATTTTCATAAATGAAAAATTCTTTAAACACAGGCAAAATAGGGCTTCACCAGGTGAGTTCATAAAAATTCCATCGAGCTCTGTTCGTGCTATTCTTCCACCATTTACAAGCCAGATATTAGCACTGCATCGGACGCTATTGTGTCACAACAAAGGGTATTTCGACGCGATGTGTCGATAACTAAGGTTACACGACAATGGCCCTGGTGGTTCCAAATTTGTCCAAAAAACTCAATTCCGAGGAATTTGTTGTGAAATATGTCAACCAAGAACGAGAAAATGTTCGAATAATTATGTGTAGTTATTCTCTCACTGCAATTTATGTTGCTTTATACCCAACAAATTCATACTCTCCAACAAATCCGTACTCTGTCTATTGAAGGCAGTTTGGGTTTCGACAAAATCTCCCAGAGTAATGTAGAGGTGCGAAAGGCTAGCAAAGTTTAAGAACAACTGGTCTAGAAAGAAGAAAAATTAATGAACTACTACATACGGTGTTTCCCCGAAAATAAGACAGGGTCCTATTTCAATTTCGAAAATAACGCAAGGGGTTATTTGGGGGCATGTATTTTATTTCCATTTATCGAAAAACAAAATTGTAAAGTAGAAAATTACGAAATTTTCAAATATAAACCGATATCCATTTTCTTATAAATAACAAGTTTCTATTTAAAAAAAATTCCTACCTACATAGAATCTTAATCATTTAAAACGTGTAGGAGAGATTTCTTGCTATCAACTAGATAAAAAAAAAATTCACGCTATCGAATATGCCTTATTTTAAAGGGGAGGGCTTATACACAGGACTACAAACGGCACATATACCACGTAAGAATAGAATTTTGTACATACATTTCCACTCAATATACAATACATTCGACAGGATTGCCATTATTATTGATAGTCGTGTGCACAAATTGTTTCATTTAAAAGGCTTAGTTAGTATTTGTTGAAGTTACATATTTTCAAGCTTCAGCTGACCAATATGAAACAAGAAACATGTTGTTACTATGTTGATTTGCTGCACTTGTTCGTTGGAAACTGATGTGAAATTGTTTGTACCAAAATATCAAAAATGCAGACAACGATTTCTCAAAAGCGTATAGGTCTGCTGTTGATGCATACTGTTTGAATACTGAATATCGCACTAGTAAACAGTCTACTGAGGCAATGCATAACTTCAGAGAAATGTCAGACCAAACTCTTAAACTGGATTTAGTATTTTGCTTTATATATGTATATATTCATTTTATTTTTTATCTTTCTGTGTGAGAATCTAATGCTGCCTCACAACGTTACAAGTTTAATTTGCAGTTAATTTCACATAAATTTTCTGCAGTGTTTTTCAAACGAATAATTTAGGAATATTTGTTGACTATATCATTGCAGTTCTTGTATTGAATAAAGTAAAAATTTACCTGCATGTTCACGATGGCTACGAAATATAGGCCTTCCGCACTTTCATATTCGTTTGACCATTCTCAGAATATCTGCTTCATCAATTACATCAAATATAATCTACATGAAAGCAGTAATAAATTATTTCTGGTTGCAAATATAAATATCTCCGAGTCATACGAATATTCTTTATAATATCTGTGCTGAAAATTTTTTGGCAAGAAATAAGAATTTTATATCCTGAAAAGTCGCCAAGTGTGAAAAATGGATTTTAAGCAAAAAGCACTGATTTTTGTGTAATGGTACCACCTATAATATATATTCGGGGCTTCCTTGTATATTTAGAGCAGAAATCTGTGCATGTTAACCTTAGGCAGCCAACACATGAATTCTTGAAAGTAAATAAAAAAAACTAATGTCAATATTTAAAATGATGGCTTATCTCGCATCATGCGGTCTAGAATCGCAATTTTAGAGATGAGTCAACACATTTAAAAATAAACTATTGTGCAGTCAAGTATATCTAGCCAAGTTTATTGTCAGATCTTAATATGTACGATGTTTTTCAAAATGCAAGGATATATAAATATATTCAATCAACAGATAGATATTCAATTTTCGACTTGGGTTTGAAAAGTTGTATATTATCAGTGAAATTATAAAACACAGCAAAGTTAAAAAAGTCAGTTTAAAACGTCCAACCTCATTATCTACTGTCGCTGTTGCGTTTTGTTCTTTTTCTAATATGTTTATCTTTGCCAGAAGGAACTTCAGTATAGACTTGCACAGCATATTATATAGGCTACTGACAAAATGTTGAAGCTTGTTGAAATGCCATTTGCTAGGAAATACATCAAAGAGCAAATCAGGAAGCCATCTTCAGGTTTTTGGGGATTCATCGCAAGAAAGAGTCTGCTGAAAGGCAATTCAACAATAGAAATAGACGTTGCTCGTGCGACAAATGCTGGGGCTGATGAAAATGTACTGGAGATTGGTTTCGGTCTTGGTGAGTCCAAAGTAGAAAATCCCACTGAATATCTTTGTTTTAAAATAAGGATCAGAGAATTTTATGAAAAACACTTGAGTAGGAATGCAATCAGAATTGTGATTAATCAGCTGACAAACCTCACCTCCAACATACTGATTAGTTCACAATAAACTGAAATTCATGTCGTCAATTTTTCTGGCTAGAGCTATTAAAATTACGACCACTATCGCATTTTGAATTCGAACAATTATTCAGAATTATACTAGAGGAAGCCCTATTTAAGTTTTTTTAAATATTGATTTGCTGAAATGAAAGCCGCAATTTATTGTTGTTTGATATAATTATGCACATTGGTGGATGCAAACGAGCGAACACTAATCAGTAGACGATTATTTCACAAGTGATAATATGTTTTGTTGAAAGTGCTCAAAAGTTCCAAAATCTATTCATTTGTGAAAACACAAGTCCGAATTGACAGTCAGAAACAGGATTAAATTTCGGACAAATATTTTCTCTTAAATATATAGCTATTTGAAAATGTCAGTCCTGTGCACATAACACATGTTAAGACCAGCTGTAGATCCAACAAGCATTGGTTCAAACAGTTTCTGTTAATAAAATTATAATTGACAGGTGATGGACTTGAATATGTTCTGCAAAACACTATCAGAAATGGCAAAGGTTCACTTTATGGTGTCGATTATTCAGAAGACGTGTGTAAATGGGCGCGGAAGTCATTGAAGAAGGACGTAGCATCTGGGAAACTTACAATACTAAATGAAGACGTTGCTAAAATGTCGATTCCTGATGCGACTATACACAAAGTATTCCACGTTCATTGCTTTTATTTCTGGCCTAGCTTGGCAAATTCAATCAACGAAATAAAACGAATCATGAAACCCGGTGGACTGATGATAGCTGGAATGCATCCTGAAAAGCTTGAAATGGTGAAAGATAAAGGCCTGTTAGAAAGCTGGATGTTTGAACCAAAAAGGTACATCAATGCTTTACAGGAAGCCGGATTTGAGAATATAAAAGAGAAGAATATGTACAATGGAGAAGTGAAATCAGATTTCAAACTCATTTTTGGCACAAAGCCCGATGATTAAATTGTGCTGTAGCCTTAACACGAACGATTATTTGATGAGAAATTTGTAAAAATATACCTAAAATTATTATATTACATTATAAAATTATCGGTTCCTCTCATATGCATGGCAAACTCGAGTTCATCACTGATGCCTCAAATGCCCCATTTAGTTTGAATATATTGCCCAGGATCTTCACAAATGCAAGTATTTTATTCTTTTACGACGGGTATCCCGATTGCAGTGAATTTTAAAATATATATTCGATGAATATAAACATAAAAGGTTCAATGTGCACTTTTTGCCTACTTTAAAAGGCATTGCTGTACATTTGTATTTGTTTTTTCTATACCATTTTCACGTTTTGTGCAAAGCCTCGTTAAACGATTGGTAGCTCAACAACACGTATGACGAAAGCTATCTCTCCCGAGATTCATATATATATATGACAAGACGTAGTAAGTTATGGGAACTAAAAGAAGATTAAAATGTCTTGCGTATTGATTTGTAGGTGTTATATTTTGATCGTAGTATTAAGTTCTTATTTTATAATGATCACATTTTGCAGTACCACTAATCCCAGTTTGAAAGTGTGCACAATGAAAGAAATTTGCAAATATTCAACATGTGCGCATGACTGGATATGCTTTGGCACTACATGCGAAAACGCCAACTTGCAAATTTTGTTTGCTCTGAATAGCCTTTTATATAAATAGCTTTAGTATATAAAAAAAATCAAGGAGTTTGTGAAGCCGGATTTAAGAAGGAATGCGAGAACGATGAGTACGATACGTATATTGCCTGCATATTGTAAAATTTATTGAGTCGAAATTGATTATGTTATTATAAGTGCTCCAACATTTCACTACTTTCATTCATTCGTTCATATTACGTATGTATTATTAATTCGTATCCGGTATGTATTACGACTATGTTTAGCAATTTCACGTTTTTATTTTCAGCAGCACGATTTATTTACAACTTCAATAACGAACTCTAATATCTTTTTATGTCTCTCGTTCAACATCTCCTGTAACCTCTTTCTATTTTATTGAAATAAAGTATTCATCTTCACTAAAAAAAATGATGGAAGCACTACGTACAGATATATTTAAATAAATGTGAAAACATAACAAATGCACTCGGTAAAAATAAACGAAGAATAGTTATATCACTACAAAGGGAAATGATAAGTTATCGATATGAGGGTTGTTTAGTGTTAATCGGTATTTCATAAAGTTTTTATTGACAATAAATTTAATTGTTTCAGATAAAGTTTCTTAAATTTTTTACTGATTAAATTATATGACCCGAACCCCCATAGAATGACTACTCCTCAAAAAAGTGCAATGTGTATCCTGGTTAATTGAGACAAAATCAGAGATGTTCAGCGAAACTACAGGCGTAAGTATGGAAGAGACCCACCATTACGTCTTTCAATTCGTTCATGGTAAATAAAACAAACACAATGTAAGAATTTGGGATCGGAAAACCCCCCAGGCGAGTAGAGAACTTCAGCGTGATAGTCTAAAAGTGAATGTTTGGTGTGGAATCATGTGCAATCAAATAATTGGGCCATTTTTCTTCGTTAACGAGGCATCAATTGCTGCAAATATTTACCTTAACCTTCCGAGCGAATATGTGGCACCACAACTGATTGAATTTCAACCAACCATCATATTTCAGCAAGATGGTGCAACATATTTTCCCGACCGATGGATTGGAAAGAATGGGCTGATTTCATGGCCACCAATTTCACCAGACATCACTCCCCTGGACTTCTTTCTTTGGGGTTACGTAAAGGATATTGTGCATCGAACAAAAGTACGGAACCTTAAACAAAAAAATTTCAATGCCATTGCAACCATTGATGAGGCTATGTTACAACGAACATGGCAGGAAATGAGTACCGTCTGGATGCGCTTCGTGCAACTAATGGTGCATATATATATAGAAGCGTATTAAATAGAGTAATTATATTTTTAATTAAACGTTTAGAAGTGTATTAAATGTGTCAATAAAAACTTTATGAAACACTGATTAACAATAAACAACCATCATTGCGATATCTCATCATATTTCGGTGTCTCAAAAAATCGAGTCCCACCCTTGTTTCACTTGTCCCACGTGTTCCGCTTGTCATACTCGTCCCTCTTGTACATTGTAAATTATCGTTTTTGAATATTTTCCTAATAGCTGATAAAAGATCATCACACACACACAAAAAAGAATAGCGAGAATCTCTTTTTATTGTATCGTAAAAATAACTAATATGCGCTCAAATAAACAAATTTAACATAAATATTCGTGTTTCAACAGTTTTGTCAGCTCTTGCCCTCTGAAAAATTAGATAAAGTCCGTAAAAAATATTTTTCCGAAGCTTTATGAGATCTCCATTGTCCCGGATACACGTGAACTCTACGTATTCCTTGGTTATCAGACCACCTGATGAAGTCTTCGAGTCTCTCTTCACTCCACCTGTAGTTTCGCTTTGGCTTGGGCAATACCTGGTCATTGTACATCAGTCCAAGACCAATTTCCAGCCTTTGATATAAAGAAAGCAATCATATATAGAGACAAAATTATAAATAACTTGAAACTAATTATTCCATCCTCCCTAATTGTTGTACATGAGATTATTATATTGAAGTTGGTATTTTGCCAATTTTATTTCGCGATTAATAAATTTTATTAATTCATAACTGACGTCAATTCATAACCGATTTTCACACCGGTAATAGCGAAGAATTCGTAATAACTAAATAATTTTTTTCGGCAAACGAATTTTATTGAAACACCAATTATTAAATTTAAGCCTGGTAAATTGTTATCTCAATCTGAGTGTGAATATTTTGGTTGATTTCCGGTATTTTCAAACATTTTTTACCTCGTTTAATTTTTGATTTTTGTGACGACTTTTTTTCAAAGTGAAAGCGTGAACCAAATCAAATGATGGAATGGTCCACAAGTAATCTTCTCCGTGAACTTGTGGCCACAAATTCTCAGACGCGTATCGATGAGGTGAATTATCAAAGTTATTAAATTACTCACTAGTTGGGGTTTAGCTGTACGTTTGAAATTCAGATAAACCTACCTATCTGTATCAATTTCTTTCATCATGTCCAACACATGTTGTTTATTGGAATCTGTATTATGCCCATAATATGTGCTGCTCATTGATCCTATGAAGTTAACTTTACTATTTGCGAAAATATCGTAGTACTGAAAATAAGATATATTAATACGCGTGTTAAAAATGGCAGGAACTTGAATGAACAGTAAAAACTAAGAAACAACGTTCAACAAAGTACTTTGCTACTGTTTTATCTAACGATTACTTTTTTGGATTGAGACGTTGGTTGTGGAGATATTAGAGGAATAAACTGATGAAAATATTGACAAAATAACTGAAGCATTATGACCAAAAGCAGTTGTAAGTCTCCAGTTACATATTTTCTGTAAATGAAACAAAATATATATAATGCAAGAATGTCGTTTATTCTTCAACTATTCTGATAGAAATAGCGAAGTTAGATACTGCAATATCAGAAAACGAGAAACAAACATAATGTCACGCTAATAACCGAATTGCGTAAGTCATTTTTAGCAGTTTTGAGAAAAACGTAAAAAACTTCCTAATGATATTGATATGCCATTGAGAGTCAATAATTTGCCGAGGTTCAATTTTTTGATCGTAGCCGGATGTAAGGTAATTTGTATGACGCAGTTATGTGACGTCATAATGACGCACTGTGACTTACGCAGAAAGGTGTCTATGACTTGGGGACATACGCAATTTTGTAACTTGACTATGTACACCAGTCCTAAAAACCAAACAATCCAATAACGAATATAATTCTCAGTATCTACGATGTCTAATCCCCAAAATAGCTAATCTGAGATGCAAACACTCGAAAATCCTTCGCCGAGGTTATTTTGCCTTTGTGACGTCACAATAGTCCTGTGGTAACACCGATAATTCATTATGACGAAACAATTGCACAAATGTGCATGTCATACAAAATCTCCATTTTCATGGGTTTCGGAATTCTTAAAACAAAATATGAGTTAACAGACAGGTGCGCAGCATTACATAAATACCTATTTTATAAAAAAAACTCAAAACCGCCAAAAATGACTTACGCAATTCGGTTATTAGCCTGACGATATATTACTTAGAGTCAGTCATACCTTTAATATACCCCAAGAAGAAACTACAGTTCCCAGGGACATGTTGTACTTGCTCAGCTCAGATGCCAAGTCGTCTAGAAATATACGGTAAGTGACAGCATGCTCTCTAGAATAACTCTCCCTGGGTTCATAATCCAATATAAGCCCATCGAGTTTAAGGTTTTTCGCTTTGTTGACGAGAGACGATATTATTTCGTGCCTGTTAAACAGAATTAGCAATAATGTCGAGTCTTGCTTAAAGTTTTTTTTCACGTAAAAATATTAGTAACATAGTTTACCTGTTTGTTGTTGCCGCTCCATATTTCATCATAGCGTCATACTTTGCAGTTACGTGAGTTAAAACTCTCACCGATGCGAACTCCCTGTGATACATTTCAACCAATGTTTTGAAATATTCCACAGAGCTACAAGAAAGAATATTCTTCTTTACAAAATATAAGTAAAGCGAGTTGTAATCTCTTGATAGAAAAATGTGAGAGCGTCCTCAGTTTTAGTAAAATATATATACCTCGTCTTTGCATGTATATTGATTTATCAGTTAAAATTGTCTATTCTGTGAAAAAAACTTTTACGTTTCTTAATTCGATAAGAATGAATAATATTCATTTAATTTTTATTTACACTTGAACTTCTGTTTGTTTATGATTGTACCCAAAATTTTCAATACTTTAGGACGATTTTGCACAAAAGTTATGTTATCTCTAGAATATGTTTCAAATGACCTTCTTGGCATTGTAGAGAAACTTGCATCCGTTGCGCGGAAGTGTCTATCACTCGCACATACTCCCAGTATGTTCCCCAGCTTTTCCATTTAGGAGGGGTGTTTTGAAATTTAGGGGGTGGTAAATAATTTGCTATTTGAGAAAAAACTAGGCTATTTGTATTCCTAAAAAATTGGTATGTATTTAAGAAACGATGTACAAGAGGGGCCCCCAAGTTGATTGACAGCGAGCCAAAATCCACAGCAGAATAAAATTGTGGGCCAGAAAAGGGCAGCGAGGAAAAGTGCGGGACGACACGGCTGGGGTTCAGGGCGCGCTTAAGCGCCCTGAGAAAATGTTGAGAAATAGGCACCAAAATAGGCTCTAAGCTTGATTTTAGATACACCTAGCATCGCAGTTTGTTATGTAATGAAATCAATAATTAAAATATTTAGCTGATAGAACTCCCGGGAAATAGATAACAAGCACGGCTTTCAACCGTAAATATATACTACTACATTTCACCAAGTAATTTGCAACTGATAGTAATTTGCAACTAACAATAGACGGTATCTAAAACTCAAAAGGTACCACATGAAGGGTAAACTATTTCACTCAAGTTCGGCGGGCCATTTTAAATCGTCACGCGGGCCGTAATTGGCCCGCAGACTGCGGTTTGGAACCCCTCATCTACACTGATGAATATGCCATAGGCGTTATATTTGAATACAATTATACTTGAGTTAGGAATTACAGTGTGGAATCGCACCTCAAAATTAGGGGGGTGTTTGAAATTTTAGGGGGGGGGTGTTGGGAAATCACTGCATACTCCTCTCCGATGAGTTCTCCATTTTTTCTACAATTGCAGCCGCGAGAGTTCACCAATTATTTGAAGATATTTCGGATTACACATTGTCCCTCAATCACCCCCCCCCCCACATTAAAATGTAGGGATATAAAGTCAGTGAATGAAGTGCTCACTCGACGCCCCAATTCCTACTGATCAGCCTAAAACTTACAACTTACAATGAGTACAATCTTACACATACGGAAGTCCGAAAGTAAACAAAATTAAATAAATTTCATTTTCGTAAAATAAATTTATGGTTTTTGTTTTTTCGGTCACCCTAGAGGCCTGCTAAATATAATTTGTAATACAACTGACTTACTATCGTTGCTTCACGAAAGGAGTTGAAGAACCACCAACATTATTGTATGTAATATTGAAGAAATTGCAACAAGTGTAGACAGACTTAAGCGACATCATCAAAGGAAAACGGGAGGAGTCATCATTTGATTTAGCAATCATCAGAGTGTGGCGCAGGTTGTAGATATCTGCAGGATCATTGGTTACCCACCAATTCACAGTTTTATTCGCATTCGACCCCACAGACATAGACTTCATTCCAGGATTGTTGAGATTACCTGTAAAAGATAGTTTTTATTTCCTAAAACAGTTCCATCATTTTGTAAAAATTAATCCGAGCTCAACAAACACTTTACTGAAAATGGACCAATGATACGCTAACGGCGGCATGATTCTTGCATGAAACCGGTTACACTTACTGTCAATAACACTTGGTTAAAGAAGTAAAATATTTCGCCAATGTAACAATAACGAGCGTCTTAGCGTCTATCAAGCAGGCGAAATATAGGACCTAAATACAGATAGTATGTCTAAAATGAGATTTATTCAAAATATTCTCGTTAGAATCGACGTCTCTAGCCCCTTCCTAATGAAGAAGCGTCTCATCTCTACGTTAAGAACAACTCTATTTTGGCCCGGTAGATGGCGCAACTTACCCATTACCACGAATCGAATCGGCATTGCCATTAAGCCAAGGTTTTGTGTCGGTATGTTGAAAAGATAAAAAATAATATTGGAAAATAATGCCAACGGGAAATCTATTATATTTCGGTAATATGCTGCTTTGGCTGTTTAAAATATGCCATGTTCATGAGAACTGTTTAACGTTTTTAGGTAATTCCGTGGAGCTCTAGAATTAATGGAGTTTGTGTTAAAATTGTAGGCTAAATAAATTTGTGACCGTAAAATATGTCGAACCTGATTCAAACCTAAAATTAATTTTAAAAAGCGCTAAAGCAGGTTTATCTGGAATACCCCAAGACTTCTGTATAAAAACAAAGCCTCATTCCCTGAAGTTTGCTGCCTAATTTCAACCTCAAATTTGAACACCGCCTGAACGTAGCCATAATCTATCGTTATACCATAGTTTTGTACATGTTACGTCACATACCTTTTGTACAATACGCTCCACTATATTTATTAATCGGTTCTCTTGGTGGTTTATAAATCGCTCCAACTGCTCCTTTCTCACAATCTATACTCGCATATTCTTGTTGTATAATCATTCCAATATGCATATCCCGTAGCCAACCAAAAGTGCACCTGGTGTAATTAAAAGTTAGTCTCTGCTCAGCAAATATTTCATGTCAAAAATTTATCGCTGTGAATCGTTATTCATAGTGATATGAAAAACATTTGAAAAATTTGAAGGGTTTTGGAAAGCAGGCAAAGCTACAGATTCAAAATGAGAAAATAGCATAACTATTGAAAATTTAATATATATATATATATATATGGATACATTATGGAATATTCGATCCACGAGTCATTTTTTCTTTTTACTCAGTAGTACGTTTTGATGACAAAATTACTATATCTAATGAAATAAAATTGTAGTTGTAGCATAGAAAATTTATTATCGTTGCGAGGCAAGTAAGTACTTTTATGATGTGTTTTTTCTATTGTATCCAGACAACTGACCTGATATTGATAACTACTTTAGTCAAGTATGGTCCGAAATAACCGCATCATATTCTGGTTAAAAATAAGAGTTTCACCTATTATATCCTCCTTTCCAAGCTTGATCTATATCTTCTTTTAGGGCTAGTTTTGTCCCTTCCCTTTCGCAAGCTTCTATCGCCTCATGAAATGTAAATGGCCCACTCATATAAAATATGGGAACTGTTAATAGTAAAAAATTTTTACGATTTATTCTTATAAAACATTGAAATCGCAACGAAAATATCGGTCAGAGACCGAAGACTTATCAATCGAAAGTTAGGGGATTCCCCAAAACAGCGCTCTTTTTCCATAGTGACACCTTGTGTCCCATCACTAATTAATTAATAACTCGCTAATTATACGACATAATTCGCCCAAAATCAATAGGCTTCTGGTCCGAGATAAGATGAATGCACATGCAAAATCTGGAGCAAATTCAATCTCGCTTTCGTGAGATATCGCGTGCATCTAACAGACAAACAAACAGACATACAGACAGACAAATACCTATCAACATACTTACCGATTAAAATCGATAAGTAATAAATAAACCAGGAGTTGTCTTTAGAAATTTTACTGTTTACCAAAGAATTTATCAAAAACAAAAATATTAAATATCGAGTTACGATGCTACATATAAAATATGCATATGTTATGATATTTTATATAATATCAAACGCAAAAAACATATTGGTGGAAATTTTACACATATATATAATTACGCCACAAAACATTTTAGATTCTCATACAATACTGAATTGTATTTGAATATAATTTCAACAAGTATGAGTGCTTTTTAAAAAAAAAAACTTTTCATCATATCTTCCACACAATTTTTTCAAAATAAAATGACAATATTTCTATATTCAAATTTACCACTTGTTGGCGTTTTTTCCACAATTGTTGTAAATTCACCATATTGAGTTGTTACATCGAACGTCGTGGGACTTGGTGTTGTCTTGGTGCTATATTGAATTATTCTGTTGCATGCACAATAAAATATATTTTCAAGTCAGTATGTGTATCAGGAAGTTAAAATGCTGTAGTAAATTGGCTCCAGAAGTGTGTGTATCAATAAGGAGTTAACTAATTTTGTTAGTCTACTTCACATCAAGTTGTGTAAAGGGACTGAAACCTATTATCAGGCGGTATATTTACTTGGCTAACACAGACAGTCCCCGAACTTGTAATAGAACTAATTTAAGGAAAAATCGTAATAAAATTATGGCTTACCCTAACCCGATACACACACTACGGGGGTACCAAAATTTAAAACTTCAATACACGAATAAGTATTGTTTTAAATCAAAATTTAACGACCAAAGTTACCGAAAAAAACTTCTTCCATGAAATTCTTGTGCTCAAAAATATTGTTCCAATTTATCAAACAAAACAAGCTTTACGTCTGGAACAAATCAATTGTAAAATGTTGCGGCTCTTATTTATGAATATATGTAAAGGGCATGGATACACCAAACACATTATATATAGGCTCACCATATATCTGGAACAAAAAACCGGGACAGTGCGGATCGGACTAACTTTGGTTCGATTCTGAGGCTAAGTAATATCTGAAACTTCTATCATATATTTGCGAGTAGATACCGGGCATTAAATTACCTAAATAAATTAATTCGTACGCGCAGTCGCCAAACATTACCGTATTTATAAAAGCAGTCAATTATTTGAACATTTCAATAATCGACACAAGAGAGACACGGAATGATGTTGAATTCGGTTTTAAGGTAAATGAGCCGCAAATCCTATGCCGGTCTCGTAAAGGCTCGTTTCAGTTTTATTTTTGAGTTTGAAAAAAAAACATTATTGTCCCTCGTCTTTCTACGCGTCCATTTGGCATTTTGATAATTTATCGACAGGTCAGTTAACATTGTGTGTCAAATTATCGCAATTAACATAATTATAAAACCTATGACCAGTGGCTTAGCATCCACCCCCGCGGTCGCGGGAGGGGGCCCAAGCGGTTAGAATTTAGAAATTTAAGCCGCAAAACCAAAAGCTGCATTGCAAAACCAGATAATCTGTTAATGCACATCTTATAACGTTGATGTTAGTTCTCAAATTGTTTCGTTACGTAACAATGCCAGGGAGTCGTCGATTTTTCGCGTCTTGTGGTTGTTCGCACCGGCAAAATTACGAAGGCTGTCAGAATGATGTCGAAAGCAAAACCTCTCAGTGGCGCACAGAAACGCAGAAAAATGGCAGTAGAGGGAGCACGTATGAAAAAATTAAAGTAACCAAGATAAACGGCAAATATTAGGTTACCATTGCCTTTCAATAACGGCATGCTATGCTTTTTGACAAAATAAAAAAATCGTTTTAGCTTATGTCCGAGAGTTTTTAGGGTCATTTCCACGAGAGTCTTGCTACGCCACTGCCTATGACACAACAAAACAGCAGTTCTCTCTCCCTCTGTTAACTAGTGAATCAGAGATAAATTGGAGGCTTCCGTTAAGAAAATAACTTTGTGATAATATTATATGAAAAAATTGTTTTTGACTGCCACGCTACATAACCGGGACATTTAAGTCTACCGGGCGGGACGCCGGGACAGCTTGTCAAAACCGGGACTGTCCTGGCTAAACCGGGGCGTATGGTAAGCCTAATTATATATATTATCAGTTTTAGAACCAACCTCGTTGTTAAACTTGGCGCTGTTTCTAAATAGGAATTTGAGATTGCCAACGGGGACGTCTGTCCTTCGGATGTTGTATAGGTATATGTCGTTGCAGAATACGGTACTTGTGGAACCTGAAAATAGAAATTAAAGGCTACTTCAGAATAAATACTAGCAGATAATATTTAATATGCGCTAGAAACTATTTAAACCAAGGTGACTATTTTTGTACAGATACTTTGTCTAAATGGGTATAGTACAATAATCCATTCAATTTGGTAAATAAATATTTTTTACTGGATTTTTAATTTAAGTAGGGATGATCACAATTCATCTGTGCATCTTGCTTACCTTCAATCCTGTAGGTATCACTGTCGCAGGAACGGTTGTATAAGCTGAAGTAGAATTGACTACAGATGGTGTTGCATAGATATTTGTCGAGGAAGCCGTGCTGGTTGAAATCAGTGTTGGTTCCGTTACATCGACACCCGGATATTCTGTAAATTAGATATCATTATACATGATCACTCCATATATATGAGTAGAAAAGCAACAACGGGACACTGATACTGAGAATAACGGTCGAAGGGCTAACTTAACATAGGGGAAAGTGGGGCACGTTGGGACATGGGGCACAGTGGAAAATCAGCTCTCACACTGATACTATATCCGCAATCCTGTCCGCGGTTCGATGTTTCAATCCGCCCTTTGGTGAGTTACAACGTCCCCGCGAACGGACAACGGAAGGATAGTGCGGCGCAAGCTATGAAGTGAAATTGGTTTTGGAAGGTTGAAACTAAAATTTCACCGTTCCAGTTTTTTCTTTTTTCTACATTGGACTTTCCAACATGACAAACCACCGTCTGATATTTTTCAGCTTTAATCCACTGTAGAATATTCATAACGTTGGCGAGTGGATGTGCCTTCCAGATTTCGCTGTGGGATAGTCTGAAAATATTTGTTGCCTATGAGGAACAATGGACCGGGGCACAGTGGGACTTGCCCTACAGTGCACAATTCGACATTGTTTGATACAATAAGTGCTTAGAGACCTAGATATGCGGTATATTAAGTGTAATATTATGGTTTCTTTTGACCCATGGCCCAATATGGGATATATTCGAGAATCAATAATATTTCCAGATTTAGATTCGAGGGAAGAAATAATCAAATTTGTTTGCGAAACTTTCTGTCTGATATCTGAACTATTTCAGTTGAACATTGATTTTAAAAATATTAAAGCTTCAAATTTGAAGTCTCCCTGTTCTTTAGACGATTATGCTGATTAATTGTTTTAGTTTTAAGGGCATACTTCGTTGAATTTTGACGGACTGACCCATGAGGCCCCAGGGTCTGTCCGAATGTGCCCCACAAGTGGGGTACAGTGGGACACTTGACAGACGTTTTTCAAAGCATTTTGGTAGTAAGATGTGTGTCGCAAGAAAATTCCTTATTCACTGAATGTAAACTACATTTACCCCTCTATGCATTAGTCCCGCCAACTTAAGGGAATATGCAGAATTAAAGGCTCAAAATATGCAAAAGAAAAAAAGTGTCCCAACCTTCCCCACTTTCCCCTACTATACCAACAATTTTCATATCGTCACGCTAATAACCGAATTGCGTAAGTCATTTTTAGCAGTTTTGAGAAAAACGTAAAAAAATTCCTAATGATATTGTTATGCCATTGAACGTCAATAATTTGCCATTGTTCATTTTTTTGATCGCTGCCGGATCCAAGTTAGTTTGTATGACGCAGTTATGTGACGTCATAATGGCACACTGTGACTTAGGCAGAAATGTGTCTATGACTTGGGGATATACGCAATTACGCAACGTGACTATATGCACCAGTCCTGAAAACCATACATTCCAAAAACGAATGTAATTCTCAGTATCTACGATGTCTAATCCCCAAAACAGCTAATCTGTTTCAATTACATTATTTTTCATGTTTAAAAATATATATTTCATCAATATAACACGCTCTCCACACCCACCGAAATAAGACTAAGATTAAATATAAAGAATAAAACAGCAATGTACCCAAAATAAAAGCCAACCAAGTTGAATTGGACCCGAAAAGTGAATATTACAAGTGCACGCCTTCTTATACTGTAGTATAAATTCAAATATATAAGCGCTAAACTAGAATCTGAGTGGCAATTTCTTGAAAATACTTCGCCGAAGTTATTTTGTCTTGGTGACGTCACAATAGTCCTACAGAAACAATGATAATTCATAATGACGAAACAATTGCACAAATGTGCATGTCATACTAAATTTCAATTTTTTGGGTCCCGTAATTCTTAATAAAATCTGAGTTAACAGACAGGTGCGCATTACATAAATACCTATTTTATAAAAAACTCAAAATCGCCAAAAATGACTTACGCAATTCGGTTATTAGCCTGACGATATTACATCGCTAATAAATTTAAACGATAGTAATTTTATTGCGTATAGAATTCACTATAAAGTCATTTACCATCATATACTTGTCGACTATATATCATGTAAAGTAACAATGTCTTTATATAGCTACTGTCCATCACCCTTTGTATTTTTGATCCTTCGATGCTGTGACTATATTAATACTACTAACTGAAGTGCGATAGAAATTAAAATCAGTTCAATGTTAATCTCATACATTTATACAAGAAATATTTATAGGTACCCCTCGATCTAAACCTTATTCAATAAATCATTCAAAAGCGAATTACAACAGTCGACCTGCGCATTGGAACAAATTACAACCAACTGGATTGAAATGAATAGAAAACATTTCCCCACAAAAGTTTTTAAAGAAAGTATTTAGTATTCTAAAATAGCTTTTAATGTTGTAAAATTCATTATTTAATTTTGATTGCTTCAGTTTACGATATTTTTCAATCTTTACGCGAGTGCACGTCTTTAATCGCTTCAACTATCGCTGCAAATTTTGCTAAAAACCCTGGGGCTGGATAAGTTTATGTCATTTCATAGTTTGTGTGTTTAGGATTCGTTTTGTGCGTTTTTTTTTAATTGTCGAAACAATCTAAGACTATTTTAGCACATGGAACCGAAACAAACATGGGTCAGTTATAAAATTTTGATTTCACGTACTATTATGTCATCACTATGTCATCTTACTTTTGAAGTTGAATTTCCTACTTCATCGGTGCTTGAAATGGCTATTCGTCCGCAAACGCTATATAAAATTTTCAAAAGTATGGTCGTAAACCTTCACGGTTTACGTGAAAGTCTGACCTGACATATAACTCTGTTCGCGATAATTTTTTTCCTTCGCAAATTTACCTCGACATATTAAAACGAGTGTGGTAATATCTGTAATGAATGGGAATAAATACTCACTAAAAGCCTTACCTCTATTGACGTTAGAATATTCTTTCATCTTGAAATATAAATTTACGATCAGAGCAGACGCGAGTAGAATGAAAAAAACGAATGCAATCACGAGAATCACAATCGTGGGTTTTCGACGACTTTTTTTGGTCCAAGCTGAGGTTACCATGCGATGCCTTTTGAGGTGCTCACAGTTGGTCTGAATACAAGTGATTTTCAAAATTTAATCATAAATAAAAGTGGTAATAATAAGAATAATAATTCAAATTGTTCGGACTATGGTCCAATAAAATGCCGGACTGAAATGTAGTAGTACTTTTGATTGAGTGCATTGCTAATATAACAACAATCGCACAATTCACAAATAGTATCTAGAAAGTACACGCTAACACACTGAAGTATATACCGTTCATGCACCTAACACGTACTTAAAAGTACTCAGAGAAAAATATCTAGTTGGCATCGCTGAAAACATGCAATTGTTTGAATAGTTAAAATTCTCGATGCTTTAGTAAAGACCTAAAATGGCTACATACTTTGCCTGAAATATTCCAATAATCCAAATTGCCAGAAATATAACGACATGATTGCCACACTGCTCTACCACAATTTGTTTGGTTGAAGTTCTTTATAAGGATTTAGATACTGGTCAAAGTGACAAAAATTATATGCATCTAATTCTAATATATATAGATTAATTTTTTTTAAATGTGGGGATGAGAAAGCTGTCACGGTGATTTAGTCACTCGAGTTCAGTTATAGGTGTTGCTGGGTATGTGACAAATTAGTCAGTTAAGTAAGCCGTCACCGACCAGCAGAAGAGTACGGCAATTCCTTTACGAATGGAAATATCCGAGCGATTCAATTTTGCACTCCATCTTCGGTAATTAGCATACCCGAAGAGTTGGCTAAATTATGCGCGAATGCAATTCTTAAAGGGGTTTATTTATTAAACTAATAAAACCAATTCAGTGAATTATAATTTGTGCTATAGATTTTATTCTGTATATCAGCATACGGTATATATATATATCTATTGCTTAATTAATGGCTCCCAGCAACTTTGGAGTTATTTTCTTCACTCCGAGTGACAGTATTTGTTGTAGTGTTTTGAGTCTTATATTCCCTCACCTTTTTATTTATGGTGACGTCATTGTTCTTTTCGCCATCATGAGAAGAAGCAATATTCCCAGAATTAAGTTCTCGTTGCCAGGTTAATGGATTTGCTTCTTCATTTCCTCTCATGATGTCATCGCCATAATTTCCAGTATATTGATAATTTTCTGTGTTGTTCATTCTCATCCGACAACTTCTTCATGATGCGTACATACAGTTTTTAAGTTGACTCATACCATATTTTCTGTATTTGTGTAAAAGTTTCGTTATGAATAAAAATATATAACACAGTCTCAAGCAAAAGCAAATCTTGGATTGTTAAATCCAATGCAATTCACCTTGTAATGGTTAGAAAATAGACAACAGTACTGTTGACCTTCTCGGATAGAAATTACACGAATGCAATCATTAAAATTGGTATGTTACACTCGTGAGGTTTTAAACTGAACGTTTGGGAAATTTGTTGCCCGAAGCTTTTTATTTATTGTAATTGAATATACGTCAATTCTTATCGAAATAATCTTGCAATTTATGTTGCGATTCACTGATTTAATGGACAACCAAAATACCAATTGACGTGAACTTGAAAGCATAAATTTCAATGATATCATCATGAATATCGAAGACGTCAATCAAAAACGTTTACGGAATTACAATGAAAACACAGCTGTAGCAAAATTGAAATATCATATTTCTAATGTAAGATCAGCTACAATTATAGCAACTTCTGCCTCAGCTTGTGATAACTCGCAGATTAAAAAATTAATAGAATAATTCCATCAACTGCATCTAGTATTTTTCTTCCGCATATCGCGGTCCGTCATTCGTGTGTTGACTCCAATATTTCGAAAATTGCGATTCTGTTTGAGACTCTGCTTCCCAAATGAGACAATATATATTAAAATAATAATGCTGCTCATAAGACTCAATAATGCCCATAAATACCGTGAAAGTTTAATAACTCTCAACTCATTAATTTGAATTATTTCATATGAATAGTCCACTTCCGACTTTCGAAGCCGTAAAATAACTTTGCCTCTAACTCAATTTTAGCTGATATTGACAATGTCATAACTGAAAACTCATGATTTCCAACGCTGTCAGATGCAATCCTCTAATTTTCTTGATCATTCGATATAGAGAAATTCAGTTTCATCTAACACCTTAATAATCGTTCTAATCGCGATTCAAATGGCCTCCACTGTAGAGCGTTATCAGACAGCTTTATTGACTTTTAAAGTAACTGTACAAAGGTACTTAAAATTTCACCGATTCCATCTATCTTTTAGGACAAGACAGCACAATATCTGTTGCTATATTGAGACGATTTGCCCAAAGCACATGTCTAGTCCACATAATGAACGTAAGAAAATTAATTTTGTACCTTATCACTTTAATAATGAGAATTGCGTTTCCGCTTAGACGCGAAATATGAACGGCATTTCGTAGAAACGGTACTCAAAATATTTATTAATTTAATACACGCCATGCCTGGAATGAATCATAATATATTTGCTCAAAGTAGATTGAGAAATTTGACTATTTCAGTAGAAAGTTATGTCTACATGCGGTTTATGATAAAGAACTTATCAGTATGAAGTAATTTGAATTGCTGTAATAGTACAGATTGTTAAAAATATTCATTAACATGAAAGTAAATGTAATCGTTCATTTCACGACATCCAAAACGTTTTTTTTTTAATTCAGAGCGATTGAGGCTCGATCGACAATTCCTAACCGCCCAGGGTCCGTAAGGTATGTACTGCTCAATGTTCCATTACTGGCCAACTTAGGAAAACACATTACTAAACAGTTCCAATTGTGCTTGATTGGAATTTTCTGGTGTCAATTAATTATTCCGAATGTACTTTATAAGTAAAATTTATTACAGAACTTGATTAAATATACCGATCTCCACCACCAGCATATTACCAAAGTCGTCTGAACGTTTATTGTTAAAAGTTTACTGAATAGTTGAGACACACGGAACCCTGTAACAATACACTCAGTATCGAGTTGGGTGAGCAAATTATACCTTACCATATGAACAATGGAAGCGAGATACTTTTTGTCGCCAACGACGTCTATCAAAAGATGTATTTTGCTAATCAATAGCCATTTTGGGGTATATTCAGTCGACTGACACATGAAACCAACATATATATATCAAAGATCAATGGCTGTCCGGAACTTTTTCAAGTAGAAATTGTTTACGAAGCAATAAAGGACACATTTTTATGATTGAATTCAATATGGGAAACTCAATCATTCAAATAGCTTTGATCATAATTTAGCTGTGCGTAACTTGACGGCTTTCTGAAATTATTGGTCATTATATTTTAGAGTCGTTTCTACTAACTAAACAGCGACAAAACTTCCTACTGAAAATATGGAACTGTAAATTATGTTTCCATAGCAATCAATACCGACACTTCAATACATAAATAACCAATATATTTCCTAATTTTCATCAAGAGTCAAATACCCACACATAGCCTAAACATCTGGTGAAGAGTACAAACAAAACCACATCATCTGAAGAACCCAATGCTATGAAGTAGTCAGTCCAAACAATATAAGAATCCGACATTTTGCTTTTATTACTATTTAGTCCTCACTTAAATAAAATCCGAAAGTCAATACGTTTTTAACCTTCAACCCTAACCTATCTTTCAAAGACAAAATGTTACTTCCGAGTGCCAAAAATAATAATTTCCACTCATTTCAAAAAGTATCACTTCATCTCAAGTGTACCCTCGGCAACTATTAAAGTGGACTGAACAACGCGCCAAGGAAATGAATGGGGTTGATTACGTAGTCTACGAAAACCACATTGTATGTTTTGTATTAGGTTATGAATGATTGTGTATACGGATAAATACAACTCACGTGAATGATTCCAGTCGAACTATTTTATATAGATGGTGAACAAAAAATGGAGATTTGAATCGAGTTTTACCGTAAAACCATATAAGTTCAAGATTCGCTGTTTATGAGGAATAAGCCGTTAGAAATTAGCCGACATCTATCACATATTATTACTCTATATCAGGGTTGTCCAACCTTTTTGGCGGAAGGGCCACCTTTAGTTTACGAATAATTGCGCGGGCCCCTTGTAATGATAGTTATGTCTAGTTTTCACTACACCGACTACAGGTTAAGGAAAAAACAAACGGAAGCCTGACACCAAAATTATAAGAACAATGAAAATACGAAGATACAGTAAAGTCAAAAACTCTTACCACACATAAAAATTCTAATGTGAAATATGCACTGATTTTATACAAAGTTGTCAAGATTAGGTGCTATGGGCGATGTAGAAATGCGAAGCGAATTTTTCATTTGAATGTTAGAAATTAGTGAACTGACTCACGGGGGATTTGACATAGCTCAATCCGTGAAAAAACTTGCTCGTATAAGTAATTGCTGTCAAATATTGAGGTAATGAAAACTGCCTTTTCTAGCTTTACAGAAAAAAATGGCAGTGAAACAGATTGAAATACATAGCAGACGATAAAAATGAATTCAAATATCCCTCTCAGACAATAACGCCCGCAAAGAGTTTAAAAATATTCCGATAGCTCGGTGGTGCTCATAGCGCGTTTGAACGACGAGGAATATTCAATTTTTTTATCAAAGGTTTCAATAGTGGCTCAGATTTGTGAAAGACATCGGACATCGAATAATACCGCGTGGGCCACTCGATAACCTTTGGCCCGCCACATGTGGCCCGCGGGCCATGGGTTGGACGACCCTACTCTATATCATTTCCATCATCGCAGTAGTGTTAAAATAAGCAACAGGTCAGAAAGAGATACAAAGCATATGCAAATATAGAGTGCACAAAAAATAGGTAGGAATATTCTGCTTACTTGTAATGGGTATTAAATTCCAAGCAAGTTGAGACGGTCAACGCAGATTCTAGACGTGTCAGAGGTGTCAGTAAGTTCGATACCACGGGTTTGTGAGGTTTATGTCATTGTTCCCCATCAGTTGAGCGCTAGATGGCGTAGGGCAGAGATGGCGGACCACTACTCACCGTGTTTTAAGGGATCTGCCAAGTCACATCTTAATGCAAAAAAATATAACATTTCCGTGATACAAATTCATAACAAAAACCGGCTTTAACACCGACATTACCACCAGTTGTATTTAAGCCTGTAATTTATGGCTTCTTTTCAATTCAGTCACACCTTGTAAGCTGTGAACAGGATAACTAAATCTAACAACATGAGAACTAATATATAATACCGGTATGGAGCTGCTGAAGTGATACTGTTACGACTTTCGCGATATTGATCTGTCCATTTCTCACAACTTGTCTCGTATTAACAATTCTCTTTTGGAGATATATGAACCAAAAGAGGCGCAGAATGTTTTTGGGAGTACACGAAGTTTGGAAAACGCAGCATTTTGTTATCTGGGAATTAGGAAATTCACTCCCGTTGGATTTTAAATTCTGCATACCACTGAATTCAATAAAAAAAACTATTGAAACCATAAACAACAAAAATAACATTGAATGTAATACAAAATTTTGTAACTGATGAAAACCGCCATAGGTAGAAAAGCCGAACCACCTACCAGTATAGAAAACCCGAACAAAATCTCAGAACGCCTCAAAACTAAAATAATAAAATATACAGTGCATTGAATAAAGAATGAATTTTGTAAACCCAAGAATTATTAGATTTACGGAAAAGATACAGTAACAAGTTTCTCATTGATGCAAACTTCGATTACATATCTATGACGCACAGTCTTGTGTTCCACAGTGAAATTACAATTTTTGACTCATTCTTTCGAAACAGGTTTGCAGTCATGAAACGGCCTTCAATTCGCGGGTCATGGGAAACTTACAGGAGCGATTACTCAAATTATTACTGAGCTATTCTCTTACAAAGAAGAGCTTCTCACATTTTTATGTATATGCAGATGTATGTAAATGACGTACTATATGTGAGAAATATTTTGTGATACGATATTCAAGTTTGTTTTAAAATGTTTGCTTGAAGTTTGATACGTAATACAAATTGATACAAAATGTAATTTCAAACGCATCAGTCACAAAAATCTCCCATCGTACTATACAAATAACTGGCGTTTGCGAATAAGATTGTATTAGAAACAACGTGGTACAAATTTTAATTTAACCGGAATATACTTAATATTTTTTCGAGTGGATATATATATAAAAACTCTTTCCATCCACAAAAATAAATGTCATCGAAATTTTTAAAACATCACTTTAACCATTTTTGTTGCTTCAATGAATAAATGTTCCAGTTGTTAATTCTGTACTTAAGAATCCACAAATGAGGAAGGTGGTGAGAAGGAAAAAATTCTTAGATCGGGCAAGGATTGAACCTACGCTCTTCAACTTTGGATACTAAAATATGAATTATGCCAGCTATATGTCAACTTGTCCACAATGTACAATTTGAGATAAGTTCGATATGTTTTTACATTTCCACTGGGGTTTTAGAGTGTTATTTGTATTAACTTTGCTTTATATGTATGATTATTATTTGAAACACAATTATTATATCATATTAAGTTTATTTCAATATAACTAATATATATATTTCAAATTTGACAAACAGTATTTGTAGATGTGCATATTATGTAATTTTCTAAAAATAAAGATAGTAACCTAGCAAGCTTTTATACCCAGCATCGCTGTGGTATACTCGTTGTGGTGTGAATTGTAGACTTGCACATTTGAGACGGACTTCAAGTAGAAAAGGATGATATGATCTTCATAAGCGTGTTGATGAATCAAAATGTATCTCTCCAACATTAGTACTTTGGATTATCTGACAATAAGATCGACCTATCATATAGAATCAATTATAAATTGGTAGGTATGTTTGTTAAGAATTATGAAACGTGAAGAACGTAATTGGTTGATAAATCTGAATACTTATACCTTTTAGACCATGACTATTTCTCTGTCTATAGCTAATGTAATCCACTCGACACAGAAACAGATAAAACTAGCTTTACAATCAGTATATTGCTTCGTTCAAGTATAATCAGAACCTTTCATACAATTCAAAATTTAGGATACAAGAGACAGCTGGTGCACAAGCAGCTTAACGGAGTATTACAAAAGTCATCTTTTGCATTTAGATTTACATATTGGCTACATCAAAACTATAGAATGAAACATGTAAAATGAAAATAAATTATGCCAGATGTGACATTACTAAGTATTCTATGCATTCAAAAAATTATTCAAATAAACAGACTCACTTAATGTAATCATTGAGTTTCGAATATTTAGAGAAATTTCATAATTCTACGCGAATCAATTAATTCCGGATAGTAAAACAAGTGAGAATAAAAATTCGATCAAAGGGAAAATAAGAAAAAGTTGGTAACAACATCGGAACAGAAAGAATTAGCAAATATGGTCTGCGCTTGTGACACATTTCCCACGAATCGATGCCATTCCGAAGCTGGATAAAGGACATGAACACTTGCGAACCACATTTTAAATGTTTGTTACTATTTTATTCATACAAGCTGGTTAAGGGGGGGGGGGGGGGGGGGGGGTTGTTCTTGGTTCAGTGCTTCAGTTTTTCTTCATTATTTCCCATATGAAAAATATAAAATGACAAAAAAAAGCTGTATTTGCAACTGATACAGAAAAATATTCATTAAATATCATAACGAGTAATACTGATTAATAGAATTTGTTTCATTTTTGATCTACGGAAAAATATCAACCCAGTCCAGAATTCTTTGTCCTATTTGAAGTATTGCTAATATAAAAAACGTAATGAATATTTCGCGTGGGTGCGTTTCTGACCGCTGTTGTGAGGCAAAATAACATGTATAACTATTTCATATTATAAACCTAATGACAACAATTTTGATAGATTGCGAATTAGATTTCAAATTACCTTCAACAATGTCTTATAATTATTGTTGCCGTATTGCTAGATATATGGGTTTGAATATATGACCGAACGTGGATATTATCAGTTTGATGACTATAAGAAAGAAGCAAACTTCACTTTGAACCGAATCATCTTAGACGAACTCGTGGGAAAAATCATTACACGTTTAAAACCCTATACACAAGTCTTCGTCATATCCGTATGAAAACTGATTCCCTAATATAGGGATGTACCAAGTATTTCAATTCCGTTTTACATTATGACATATTTAGTGTTTGCACTCACCAATGACGCAAATGACTTATAACATGGAGTGAGTAAATAATAATCGCCGGAACTTATACTAATTGACGCCACTCAGCAAAATGCTTTGTAACATCCTGCATAATCGTTTCACGATTTTGCCTTCTTCTTTCTTCCATTAATCATAACCTAATCCTATGTCAAAGTTGTATTGATTTAGGTGGGTTTAAATTGAACAAGTTTTCTGCATCAGAGAACCACTTGTAATTTTGTATTACCTTTGAATTATTTCTATTTCATAATTTTCTGAGTATAATTACTTACATATTATGCAATTTTAACCGATCTATTGTCGAAAAGATCGTGTGACAAATACCGTATAGAGCACTTTTTATACAGTACTGATAAGAATCATCAAATATCGAGTATATCATCGAATTGGCATTATGTATATTCATCAAGTGACAACGGATCAAATGTGGAATCCAACACAAAATGAAAGTGAAGCAAAGTAGGTTCAACTTTCTAAATCGAGAAATATATGCAATATGAAGTTTTTATCGTCGCCATAAGTTTAAGCTATAATGAAAGAAATAATGTTCTTTCAGATAAACAACGAGCAGTGCTCATATATACGCACGCGAAGGCCAAAACAAAGTAATACCAAATCGTTTACAGTATACCGATAGTCTTCCTTTTCAAAAACTCCCAAATTTGCCGACCACCAAATTGCTGGAATTCGATTGCGGTAATTTTAATAACGTCTCCACACAAAACCATAAATTGGAAAACGAATCCCATGGAGACCACAGGAATAAAATCAAAATAGTAATAGCCTTCTAGCGACAACAACCATCTTTAACCAGCACTGAATTTCAAAGCATTTGGCTCAGTAGTTGGAGAGAAAACCGATTTTTTTTGCCAACAACAATAGCAACAACAACAACATAACAATAACAAAACGATATATAAGTCCACTTGGTGTCTAACAATATGGCGACTCCTAGAAAACGGGCTTTGTTCGGTTCTCTTACATATAAACTACGTTTCAACTCTATGGGAGACCAAATCACATACAATTCCGCATGACAACCAGTGAAATTTCTCGGATTTTAGCAATGTGATGGTGAAATGTTTCAATATTATATATTATTACTATTACACGGGTTTTCTTTATCTAACTGTTCGTGCAAGTATCTCGAACGATGGCGTTGGTGAAAACATAGTATCGTCATTGGTGCCGTTAATGAAATATATATTAATAACGTTATGAGGACTTGGTCCAAAGATTGGAACATATTGCCTTGTTAAATGAACATCATTTGGCGTGAGAGTTTGGCAAGCTTGATACAATATAGTATACCATATGAGGATATACATTTATTTGCTGGGTACGGGCTCAAGTATTAGAAAGTTGGAAGTATACTCCATATGCATATGTACGATGAGTCAATTCACAATGTGGTGCATTGTTTGTGAATAAACCCAACGTATATGGAATTGTTTCAAATAGACGAAAAAATTTGGTTTGCTTATTAAGCATATAATCACGTTTAATTTATTCCAATGCTTCACAAATGTTACGCCAACCAAATGGTTATCGTATGTTCGGCCCATCTACAACTTCTCGATGACAATTCCAAAAAGAATCTAAACATAACCAAAGCTTATATCCACAATTATAACCGGATATTATGTAATAATCAATAGTCACGATATTATGATATTCAAGAAGCAAAACCAAATTCCCTAAAATATTTTTGAAGTAATTTTGGGATTATTAATAAACTTATTGTTTGACTAATTGAGGTTTGACGTAAACAATTTTTTTTTATTGCAAATAGAATTAAACTATTCTTCATTGATTACTTCA